TAAGCTTTGATTGGTTGCTTCCCTTTGTTGTTAAGTTTTCTCTTTACAGTTGCAGAATGAGCTGAATGGGGGTCTTGGCCTGAGGACACTCCCTTCTTTCTGTTTGCAGCGTGTCTCTCCTTCTGTCCTCCAGCACAAGCTTTGAATCCAACATTAAATTTCCTGGTGCTCTTTTTCTCAAATTGTACATTTTGAATCTCTTTTTGACCCATTTGCTCCTTTCCAATGCAGACCTGCATGAGAATGATCACTAATAACCAAGTGACAAAGTCAGTATTGGGCTGTCTTGAAATCGCCTCTACCAACAAAATTAGTTCAAAACTCTTCAATTTAGCCTCAGGTGAATTCTTACAAAAAATAAAAATAAAAAACCAGCCACATTCTTAACCAAAATATCCCAAGAAGAGAGTCTAGCCCAATAATTACTATTGTTTCTCTCTGAAACCTTTTGAGCTGGGCCTCCATAGTCCAAATTGCTCTCAGTACTATTGACTGTTAAGCCCCAATTACAGCATTCAACCATTTCTTAACCCAAAGTCCCAAAGTCTTCCACATTCCTCCAAATACAGCACTGTTAGGTCTGTCACAGCAATAACCCTCTTCCTGGTACCAGTTTACATCTTAGTTACTTTTAAATGGAAGTGATAAGGCATTATAACCAAAGCAATTTATAGAAAAAGTTTATTAGGGGGTTCAGAGGGTGAGTCCATGACCATCATGGTGAGGAGCATGGCCGCAGGCTGGCAGGCATGGCTGTAGCGCAGACGATGAGAACTTACATCTGATTCATAAGCAGGAAGCAGATAAAGAGGGAATGACCTGGGCATTTTGAAATCTCAAAGTCCACCCCTAGTGACACACTTCCTCCAACAAGGCCATACCTAATCCTTCCCAAACAGTTCTGTTGTGGAATAATCTTTTGTACACTATGAAGATGTGTCACTTGGATTAGTTTAATAAAAAGGTGAATGGCCAATAACTAGGCAGGATTTGGGGGGCAGAGAGAACTCTGAGAAGAAAGGGCTTGCCAGACAGATGCAGAGGAAGCATGACATGTAGGAGATGAGATAACAAGCCATCAGCCATATGACAATACATAAATTAATAAAAATGGGTTAATTTAAGTTATAAGAGCTAGTTAGAAGCCTAAGCTATTGGCCAAGGTTTCATAATTAATAATGTCTCTGTGTGGTTATTGGAGAGCTGGCTGGTAGGACAGAGAAAGAGACCCTACATAGTTCTACCACTTGGGTACCAAGTATTCAAATATAATGAGCCTATGGGGGCCATTCTCATTCAAACCACCACAATGTGTGGGTCTGTATGTTGGGTAAATGCACATGAGTGCAGGTGTCTCCTAGGCCAGGAATACCAGATCTCATTGGTACTAGAGTCACAGGTGGCTGCAAGTTCCTTTTCACTGATCTCTACTATTATTCTAAGCTCTATGAGGGCAGGAGCTCCATCCTTCATTTCTGTCTACTACCCATGCCTAGTCCTTGGCACATTATGGACGTTAGTATTATGCATGCCAATTAAGTAAATATGAATGAAATGTTCTGGTTTTGCTCTGTCTTTTTTTTTCATTTTATTCATTTATTTATTTATTTTTCTATTACCAGTTGATACAGTACAAATTCTTATCCTAATAGTGAAATGTTTCACTGAGGCTTGCCCAGTGATTGAGTAAAAACTTATTATAAGCCACAGTCATCCTAGGGTTCCCCTGCTATGTAGCCTCCCTGGATCTGTGGGCTGCAGTCTGATTGTTCTTTGCTTTATATCTAGTATCCACTTATGAGTGAGTACACACCATGTTTGTCCTTCTGGGTTTGGGTTACCTCACTCAGGATGATATTTTCTAGTTCTATCCATTTGCCTGCAAATTTCATGCTGTCATTGTTTTTCTCTGCTGAGTAGTACTCCATTTTTTATATGTACCACATTTTCTTAATCCATTCTTCAGTTGACGGGCATCTAGGTTGTTTCCAGGTTCTGGCTATTACGAATAGTGCTGCTATGAACATAGTTGAGCATGTATCTTTGTGGTATGATTGTTTCTCTAAGTCTTTTAGTTATTTTTGCTTTATTTTGTTGAGATAATGTCAATTTCTTTATTTTTGAGACAAGATCATGTTAGGTAGCCCAGGTGGGACTGGAACTCATTAACCCAGGCTGGCCAACTCACATCCTTCTGCCTCAGCCTTCCATATGCTGGGATCACAGGCATGTACCAACACATGCGACCTCAACTTGACTTGCATTTCAATACAATCATTAAAGCACAATGCTTTTCATAGTTGAAATAAGTATCTGAGGACTCAGATGGTTTGGCCTGTAAAGGCACTTGCTTGCCAAATCTGATAACCTGAGTTCAATTGCTGGGACCCACACTGTGGAAGGAGAAAACTCTCTCTCACAAGTTGTCCTGTGACCTCCACACATGCACTTTGGCATGAACTTGCTCTTGTGCACACTTGTGAATGTGCACATACACACTCACACAAGTATAATATGTGTAAAACTTAAATTTAAAAATGGTGTAGAGTAGGGCATGGTGGCACATGTCTTTAATTCCAGCATTCAGGAGACAGAGGCAGAAGGTCTCTGTGAATTTGAAGTCAGCCTGGTCTAAATATCAAATTTCAGGAAAGAAAGCACAGAGAGAGGGATCTTGTCTCAAAAAAAGGGGGGGGAGGGGTAGAGTTTGCATATAACCTATGCATATCCTCCAGAATATTTTAAACCACTGGGCAGTGGTGGTGCCTTTAATCCCAGCACTCAGGAGGCAGAGCCAGGCAGATCTCTGTGAGTTCAAGGCCAGCCTGGTCTACAGAGCGAGATCCAGGACAGGCACCAAAACAACACAGAGAAACCCTGTCTCAAAAAAACAAAACAAAACAAAAAGAAAGAAGAATACTTTAAACCATGTCCAGAACACCTACAATCCTTAATAAAATGTAAATGCTATGTAAATAGTTATCATACTCTATTGTTTCAGGAATAATGACAAGAAGTTAAAAGTCTATACATGTTCAGTACAGACATGATTTCGTTCCCAAATTGTTTTTTTTTCATGGTACTAGGGGCCAAATCCAAGGTCTTGCACATGCTAAGTTCTTTAACACTGAGTTACATTTATCCCAAATGTATCTTGCTGTTGTTTTTTGAGACAGGTTCCCTCTTTGAACTCCAAATGTTCTTTCACCTGGGGCTATATGAATAGGGTAGGCTGGCTAGGCAGCCTGCCCTGGGGATCCTCCTGTCTCCACCTCCCCAGCCCCGATGCTGGGTTCATCAGCATGCACTACTAATTGTGGCTGCTAGGGATGGATCTTAGCTCCTGCCTGCAGAGAAGCATGTTACCACCTGAGACATCTTGACAGCTATCCCTTCCAAAGGTTTGTTTTTTTAGATTTTTTTTTATTTGAGATTAATTGAGCCCACAGATGTGGAACTCAACAACGTGGAGGGCCAACTATTCGTACACATACATGTTGCAGAATATTTGTTTACACTGTGTGAAGATGTGTCACTGTGATTGGTTTAATGAAGAGCTGAATAGCCAATAGCTAGGCAGGAGAGAATAGGTGGGACTTCTGGGCAGAGAGAGGAACTTGGGATGAATCTAGGAGCATGTGAGACAACAGAAAGACACTGAAGAAGTCGGACATGTGGTACAGAGGAGAGGCAACCGAGCCATGCAGAAGAAGGTAGATTAATAAAAAGATTAATTTAAGTTATAAGAGTGAGTTGGGGAAAAGTCTAAGCTAAGGCCAAGTTTTCATAATTAATAAGTCTACATGTTGTTATCTGGCAATCCAAAGATAGTTCAACAAGAAAGCTTGCTACACACACAGACACACACATATATCTGCATATTTTTTTTTGCTTTTTGAGATAGATTCTCATCATGTTACTCTGGTTGGCCTGGAATTGGATATGTAGACCAGGCTGGCCTTGAGTTTAGAGATCCAGTTGCTTCTGCCTTCCTATTGCTGGAATTAAAGGCATCTGTCACAATGCCCAGCTAGAATCTAAGTCTTAAGTAGGACCGCGACAACCTTTCTTTTCTAGTCTCAAATTCTTGCTATGATGTTAAAATCAGATAAAGGCTATAAAGAGAACAGCACATAGCAGGTAGGTAGTTAATGTTTGGTAGTTAGTTAATGTTTGGCTCAATCCGCTCATCAGTATTCCCTGTGGACATTTCCTCACAGGGTTTCAGGATAGCCCGGGCCTGGTAGAACATGCCTATCATCTAGCAATCAACTGGGAGGCTGAGGAAGATCGCTAAGAATTCAAGGATAGCCTGGTTTGCGTAGCAAGACCTGTCTCAACAAAACAAAAGTTTCGTGACATTTTTTTGTAGTCTCCTATCCTTTTTTTTTTATTTTGTTTTGTTTTCGAGACAGGGTTTTTCTGTGTAGCCCTGGCTGCCCTGGAACTCACTCTGTAGACCAGGGTGGCTTGAACTCAGCGATCCACCTGTCTCTGCCTCCTGGGATGCCACCACGGCCCGGCTTCCCTATCCAGCTTTTGTTTGGCTTTTATACTATTTGTCCTCTGATACCCTAGGCCTTCCATACAAATGACTGAGTGAAAGCTTTCGGGAGTGGCTGGGGGGAACTCCAACACAAACACACCTCGAGAAAAAGCTCTAGGCCCTTGACGGGCGCCAGGGCAGCGGCTCCTTCTCACAGCTCCGTGGTGCTCTTACACCTAGACTGGCTGTCCGGATGCAAACCATTCATTTAAACTAAAATCGTGGCTGACACTAACTAATACCCTGGAACCATCCTATCTCACCAGCGGAACAAGTGGATTCTTAAGTTTTAGAACAGCTTCGACAGGCCAAAAATATCCCACCTCCCTTCCCAGAATATCCTATCAGCGCATCCCTATCGATGAGCGACGGCCGACGAGGAGCCAATCAGTTCCGCTCTTTGGAAGAAACCCGCCCATGCCTTGTGTCGTCACTGGGCCTCTTAAAAGGCTCGCACCAAGCCTGGCGCTTCCGCGTAGCTGGGCGGCCGGTACTAGCGTTGACACGTGACTGTGGGTGACCACCCCCCCCCACCTTAAAGGGGAGGGAGCAGCGGGGGGACCCGAGCCCTTTAAGACAAGGCGGGCTGGGACCTGCCCCTTTAAGGGCGGGGCGTCCGACGGCAGAATCCGAGCCCCAGATTACCTTGAGTTTCCGTCACGGGCAGCGAGGAGCGGCTCCTCGGCTGGGTCCGGGTGCTTGGCGGGCGGCGGCGGCGGCGGCGGCGGCGGCCTCATCCCCGCTCGTCCTCCCCGGGCCCGGAGACACCCCCGCCCCAGTCATGCTGAGCAGAGTATGGAAGCAGCTGACTACGAAGTGCTATCCGTGCGAGAGCAGCTGTTCCACGACAGGGTCCGCGAATGCATCGTGAGTGCGGGACCTGGGCGGGAAGGGGCCGGGCCGAGGTGGGAGGGGCGCGGGCGGGCAGCGGTGGGGACAGGAAGTCCTGCTGCCCGGCCTCCCAGCACCTCGGTCCCCGAGAGGGCCGGGGGGCGGGACGGCGAACTCGGGAGTCGGGTCCGCCGGGTCCCTGAGCCGTAAACAAAGCCGCGGGGTTTCCGTTCCTCCGCTGCTCGCCCCTCCCCCCCGCCCCCTTCTACTCCACCCCGGTGGGCGTTCCTGGCGGTGGGTCCTCTTGGCGAGGAAGAGTCTGATCATCTGGAAAAGGATGGATTTGCTTCGGGACAGGTTGATGTGCGTGTTCCCCTTGAAAGTAGATGGAGGGCGATCGTAGCGGGTGTTGGAGACCCGGTCACATTGAGCAGTTAACTAAGGGACCTGCTCGGCTGGCGCGAGGGAAGAAGAGTAGGGATGTCGTGGGTCCTCCCACTGAGGAAGAAAGTAATCCTGTCCGAGGTGGGTTGTCAGATAGGGGAGATGGGGACACCCCGAAGTCTGGGCGGCGCCTGTTTTCTCTCCCCTTCAAGGATGGTGGTTTGTTTTCATTCGCGTTGTGTTTGAACCCTGGGCCTCTGGCGTGCAGCATGCCAAACACAAGCCAACACAGTGACGCACACCCCGCAACACTTCCTGATCATGGAAGACTGAGTGTCCAGCTTTCTGGCCATTCAGGGGAGTTCTTCTGTGAGGGGGGTCCGCGGTAGTCCTGAGCACATCTAGTGGACTCCTTACTCCTTCGGGGTAGCCCGTAATTGCAGCTGAACCTTCCACACAGTGGTATACTGCTCCAGGATAGGAACATCCAGTGGAACTTAGGGAAGCATATTTTCCTTGGATCATCTCTCCGTCTCGGCTGTTTCTCCCACAGAGCTCTGCACGTACTAAATGAAAAGAGAAGGGTCTGGAGGAATGGAAAGAAGTCTTACTAAATTGAGGGGAGACACAGATGGAGTCAGCCTTCATTTTTCTCAGGCCGAGCTTTAGGCTGCCCCTAGGCGTGCTTAGATTGAAGAGAAAGTAGAGGGAAACAGGATATACCTAGGTCTCCCTTATCGATGAGGGCTGGAAAGTACAAGTGTATGGCCCGAGGTGTAAGAATCAAGTAGCATCCCTGGTGTGTTCCTTGGTGGAGAGGTACTCATTGGGACGTTGGGCATATCACAGAGGCACATCTAGGCCTTGAGATGCTGTATAGGGGCTGACAACCTGGAGGGATGAGCCCTCAGAAACTGCTTGTATGTTTCTGCCTTCTAAAGCATTAACTTAGGACATCAGCACCAGCCAAGGGCAGCTGAAGGTTTCTACTACCTCCTTCCACATGGCTCCCATCTAGAAGTTAGAGAACCTAGGCCAGGTGGAGGTGGTGGTGTCACACGCCTTTAATCCTAGCACTCAGGAGGCAGAGGCAGGGCTGATCTCTGAGTTCGAGGCCAGCCTGATTTACAGAGTGAGTTCCAGGACAGCCAAGGGCTACACAGAGGAACCCTGGAGGGAGGGAGGGAGGGAGGGAGAGAGAGAGAGAGAGAGAGAGAGAGAGAGAGAGAGAAAGAAGCAGCAACAGCCTTTCCTCTATCTACTGGGATTGGGTGGAACCCCACGCCTGACCTTTTGAGCTCTCTACCTCCTTGGCTATTACGCAAGTTCAGGGAGGAATAAGGCAGAACACTTGGCTGTAAAAATGCAGTTACAATCTTTGTGGGCTTCCCTAAGTCAAAAGCTCCAGCTCTGTTCTAGGTACAGGACTTCCTTGGTTGTTCTTGTCACGGTACAGATTTCCTATAGGGTCAGTTCCTCTTGGAGACTAGAAGACACATGAGGCTGATCTTGTCTTTGCCTACCTCAACTGCAATGAGGTAGCTGCATTCTCCAGCTTTGAGGTAGTGTAGAGATGTAACCCACACACTAATTATCTGTCCTGTCAATTGAAGGTCTAACCACTCAGGGCCGTGGGTAGGTCCTAAGAGACCTGGCCCTGAAGTTGGAAGTCACTTGTGGTAGGGTCTGAGGACTGACTAAAGTGGCAGATAACCAGCTCTGGAAATGCTGGGCCTGACATCTCAGGCTAAATGATAATTAAATGGGCTCTAGTTTAGCACAGAGCAGACCTGATGTTTCAGGCCCTGATGAAACAGAGTAGAAGTTCTGATGTGGTCTAGAGACGTGATTCTCTCATAGTAGTTCACGGAGTACCCTTTCCCTTGACAGCAAATGGAGTTGGGTAAGAGGCCATACCAAGACAATGCACACATCTTTCCTCAAGCCTTTACTTTCCCAGAATATTCTCAAAGTATAGTCAGTCTCTCTTGTTCTATGGCCTGATTTAGGGTATGGGTTGTTCATGAGTATATGTATTTCTAGGAGTGTCTCTGCTCACCTCTAAAGATATGGTTGAAGCTTGTAGCTCCAGCAGAGTACTGGGGCTGGGTTGGCACTGTTTCCCCAGGGACTTGGGACATCCTCTGTTTGGTTCTTAGCTAGAAGGAAGGCATCTGTGAGAATTGTAGAATCCTGGATGTATGGAGCTTTATATTGAGGCCCTTGGGGCTGTGGAATGTGCTGGAAACTATAGAAGTTCTCATTCCAGGCTGTCTTTTGCCACAGATCTCGATACTTCTGTTTGCGACACTCTACATCCTCTGCCATGTCTTCCTGACCCGCTTCAAGAAGCCCGCTGAATTCACCACAGGTGCTTCTGACTTCCTACCTCAGCCACAGTGCCGGTTGCCATGGAGCTAGCCTCAGAGGAGTGGGTGACGGTGCCTGTGGGGACAAGAGAGGTGGCTGTGCTGGGCTGTGCTGGAAGCTTGGCTGCCTCGGCCCGTCCTTCCACGGGCAGAGCTAAGGTGGCCTAGATGGAAATAGCTTTCGTTTCTTTCTTGTAACTTAATTACTTTATTTCTATATATTTTAAGGTAGAGTACAAAATAATGTATTGTGGCTTTTTCAAAGTCAGGTACCCCTTTCTTGGTTTTATTTTGTTTTATAGACAATATCTCATGTAGTCCTGGCTGGCCTCAAACTCTTTATTTAGCTAAGGGTGACCTTGAACTCCTGTCTCTATCTCCCAAATACTGGACTTCATGGTGTATTGGTGTGTGCTACCACATCTCTATCCATGTAGCTTTTCTTTCTCTTTTTTTCTCTCTCCTTCCCTCCCTCCTTCTCTCCCTCCCTCCCTCCTTCTCTCCCTCCTTCCCTCCCTCTCCCTTCTCTTCTTTCCTTCCCTCTTCCTTCCTTCCTGTCTTTCCTTTTGAGACAGGGTTTCTCTGTGTAGCCCTGGCTCTCCTGGAACTCACTTTGTAGACCAGGCTGGCCTTGAACTCAAGAGATCCGCCTGCCTCTGCCTCCCAAGTTCTAGGATTAAAGACGTGCGCCACCACCGGCCGGCATCCATGTAGCTTTTCTAATCCTCAGTTTCACCCTACAAAACGGGCATAATTAAGTCCACCTAGTACTTTGTCACGGGAGGACCAAATGAGAGCCGTTTGTGACCCTGAAGTGGGCAGCTGCAGGCTGAGTGTCAGGGGCACTTGCTTTGTGCCATCTTCTTTCCTAGTGCTTTCCCACTGGACCTGGCACCTCCCAAGGGTTGGCAACGTTCATCTTTCTAAGTTTTCTCAGAGTGTAGCTTTGGGTCCCATAGATCTCAGTGGGTCTAGAGAAACATGCCTAGCAAGTTATCTCCATTAGTGCTGCCCCTCGGGGACTTTTCTCTGTGAATCCCCTCTTCCCCTCACCCAGCCACTGATATGAACAACCTCACAGACTGCAGTCTGAGCCTCTATAAAGAGGAACCTGTGGTGATAGTGATGGTGGGGAGGAGGGAGAGGAGGGAGAGGAGGAAGAGGAGGAGGGGAATTTGGGGCTTATATTCTGTGTACCTAGGACCACTGATGATTAAACTGCCACCTTGGTTGGAGAACAGGTTGAGGTTTATAATGTAAGATCTCCCAGAGCCTCTTCTTCAGCACTGTTGTCAATGGTGGGGACAAGGGACACATTATAGTACATCTGACTCCCAGAACTGCCCACTGCTGTCCTGCTGAGCCCCCTTCCTGTCTGTCTCTTGCAGTGGATGATGAAGATGCCACCGTTAACAAGATTGCGTGAGTGTTGCTCCCTCAAACCCCGAATCCAGTGACTTAAACGCTGGGATCTGGAAAGTCCTTTAGGGCAGCAGGAGAAGGAGCTGTCATCTGTCCAAGAGAGAAAGAGTTCCTACTTCCACCCTGTCTCTGGCTTCTTCCGGCATTGCCTTATGCTGGGGATGCTCAGAAAAGCTGCTGTTCCTGTCTCCCTGGTTGGGCCAGGTGCTTCATGATCAGGATGTTGGCTTGGACCTGCCTGAGTCACCAAGAAATGGCTTCAGCTTGGCCTCACTTCCCAGCAGTCAATGTGGGTGGGGAATGGAAGGGGGAGACAGATTAAGGAAACAGGACAGGGTTTGGTGAAGATTAAAAACCCCTGAGGAATCAGGGAAACCCTGTCTCGAACACCCACTTTCCCAAAACATACACACACACACACACACACCCTGAGGGCAAAAAATGCTTGGTTCTTAGAGGAAGACCCTTATTATGGACATTTTTTTAAATCTTATTTATTTTTATTTTATGTGAATTGGTGTTTTGCCATGGGTGTGGAGTTCCCTGGAACTGTAGTCACAGACAGCTGTAAGCTGTCATGTGGTTGCTGGGAATTAACCACTGAGCCATGTCTCCAGCCTCCTATGGACGGTTCTTATTCACTAGCAGCACATACAGAGGAAATGTGGAGGTGCCCCCTCTGGCTTGACAGACTAGAAGGCAGCACTCTCCTTTTGAATTTGTTTCCAGCTGGTGCGGCCCATGGCACAGGCCTTGCTTAGGAAGTTGGGTTTTAGCTTGTCTTTATCCTCTGCACTAATGCCTTCTTAAAGGGCATAGCCATATGGAGTGACTGAGCTCTTATCTGTAGGGAAAGAGGCAAGCTCAGAAATCTATATCCCTAAGCAGAGGAGGTGCCACGCCCCTTGCTTTGTTAGCATTCCTGGCATGCCCTATGGGCTTGTATGGGAAGATCACATTCCCAGGATAGCCTAAACAAGTGACATGGCCGGTGATCAGGTGCCCATGAATGCCTGAGTTGGCATCCATCCCAGGTGCCAAGGCTACCCTATAGGTGAGGACTAGGATGGGATAGCAGTGGGCAGAGCCCAGCTCGGTAGCTCCTTCCCATCGCTCTGGCTGGTTCTAGAAGCCATAGATGCCCTTGGAGAAAATGGGCCTTCTAGGGCAGCAGGGTGGTGAGTGCTGGGCAGACACCTCCTCTTCCCTTCTTAGGCTGGAGCTGTGCACCTTTACCCTGGCAGTCGCCCTGGGGGCCGTCTTACTCTTACCCTTCTCCATCCTCAGCAATGAGGTGTTGCTCTCATTGCCACGGAACTACTATATCCAGTGGCTCAACGGCTCCCTCATCCACGGTACGTGGCTCTGGACTGGAGCTGGGGCAGGGAGTAGGGCAGGTAATTAGGCAGACCCAGGCAGCCTTGGGCTAATCAGTCATGGCGCCCACCTCCACTGGCCCCTTAATGACCACCTCTGCTTTTCCTTTTTGGCTCTAGGTCTTTGGAACCTCGTTTTTCTCTTCTCCAACCTGTCCCTCATCTTCCTTATGCCCTTTGCATATTTCTTCACGGAGTCTGAGGGCTTCGCTGGCTCCAGAAAGGTAATGTGGGAATATTAGTCAACTCTGGTCTAGGGAGTTGACATAGGAGATAATTTGGAGACTTCAATCAGAGTTAAGGGATGGAACAAGGAGTCTGAGGCTGTAGCAACATGAGAAGTCATTGTCACCCCTAGCCTACAGGGCATTTCTAGAACTGTCGATAGGTAAAATTGAGAATATGAGCTGCTCATTTAGCAGAAAAGTTACTGTCTTACTGTCATAGCTGCTGCTGGAAGCCATTATGCCACAGGTGAGAGAAAGCTGCATAGGAAATCCCAGACTTGTTCCACTACCTTCCACTTCCCTGCTGATCCTTGCATTGGGCAGGCCGAACCAGAAGTCAGAGCAGAGCCTGTGTGATGCAGATGTCAGGGATCATCTCCTCGGAACAGACGAGGAGATTGAATGATTTGAGGATGGGTTTACAAGTGGATCCCCAGGATATGAAATGAACCCAGATTGGGGAGTAGGAGGGCAGAGCGATTCAGAATTAGAAGAGAGAACCAGCCCCTCCTGCCTGCTGAATCCAGACCTCCTTGGTCTCCCAAGCCCAGCCGCAGCTCTAATGTCTCCTTCCTTCCTCAGCCTGCTGTAAAATTGACCCCCTTCCTCTGCTTTACCCGTTTCTTCCTCCTGTAGGGTGTCCTGGGCCGGGTCTACGAGACAGTGGTGATGTTAATACTCCTCACTCTGCTTGTCCTGGGCATGGTGTGGGTGGCATCCGCCATTGTAGATAATGACAAGGCCAGCAGGGAATCACTCTATGGTGAGAGTTCAATTTTCTGTCACTGATCTAAAGGAGGAACAGTTTTGGCTCATGGGTTCAGAGGTTTCGGTCTGTGGTCATTTGGCTCTTGTTTCTGGGCTGTGGTGAAGCCGAACCTCATGGCAAGGATCATGTGCTGGAGCAAAGCCTCTAAACCCGTGGATGGCTAAAACTATGCTCCAGTCACGTCCTAAGAACACCACCTCTGCCCATTGTAATGGGGGCCCAAGCCTTCAACATTCACGTTTTGAAAGACCATTTTATATCCAAACCACAACAGAGCGCCAGCCTTTTCCTCTTTTACAAGATTTATGTGTATTGGGTGTTTTCCCTGTATCTGTGTCTGTGCACCACATCTGTGCAGTGCCAACAGAGACCAGAAGAGGGCATCAGATCCTCTGGAACTGGAGTTACAGGAGGCTGTGAGCTGCCCTGTGGGGCTGGGAACCAAACCTGGCTCCTCTGTAAGATCAACAACTGCTCTTACACTGAGCATCTCTCCAGCCCCTGTCAGTCCACCTCCTCTCAGAGCTTGTAATCTGAGCACTCGGGACTAAGGGTGACTTGCCATGAGTTCATACAGTGAGTTTGCATCTTGGGACACAGAGGAAGACGCTCTGTCTCTCTCACTCTGTCTTTTGGAGAGTGTTTCTTTGCCACACAAAGAAACCCTGGCTGTTCTCCAACTCACAGAGATCTGCTTGCTTCTGCCTACCAAGTGTTGGTATGAAAGGTGTTCACCACCACCACCACCACCACTCATCTAAGATTCTGTCTGAAAAGAAGAGAAAAGAAAAGAAATGAAAAAAAAATCCTGGCTCTTGAATTGGCCGTGTGCATTTAGTCAACTGTAGTCCCCCTAAGTGGAGAAGACTGGCAGCGTTCCTATAGGCTGGAGTTCCAAACTGATGGACTTTGGACACATCCAACACATAGAAATATTCCCTGGGTCCACGCAGTGATTTTAAAAAATAGATAATCAGCCAGGCATGGTAGCCCACAGTTTTAATCCCAGCATTCAGGAGACTGAGGCAGGTGGATCCCTGTGAGTTCTCAGCCAGCCTGGACTACATAGAAAGACCTTGTTTAAAAATAAACAGGGGCTGGAGAGATGGCTCAGCAGTTAAGAGCAGTGGCTACTCTTCCAGAGGTCCTGAGTTCAATTCCCAGCAACCACATGGTGGCTCACAACCATCCGTAATGAGATCTTGTGCCCTCTTCTGGCCTGCAAGCATGAATGTAGACAGAACACTGTATACATCATAAATAAATAAATCTTTAAAAATAAACAAATAAATAATAGATAACCAATTGTTGACTATGAAGCCCAGGCTGGCCTTGAAATCTTTCTGCCTCCACCTCCTGATTCTGCTGGGGTTACCAGGCATGTGTGCCACCATATCTGGCCTCCCACTTTAAAACCGAGAAGTTTCGCCGGGCGGTGGTGGCGCACGCCTTTAATCCCAGCACTCGGGAGGCAGAGACAGGCGGATCTCTGTGAGTTCGAGGCCAGCCTGGTCTGCAGTGCGAGATCCAGGAAAGGCGCAAAGCTGCACAGAGAAACCCTGTCTCGAAAAACCAAAAAAAAAAAAAAAAAAAAAAAAAAACCGAGAAGTTTCATCTCAGTTTCTGCCTTGCTTGACAAGGGAGAGGATCTGGCTATACTTAACCCTGCTCACCTGGACCAGACAGCAGCTGTGTCTTGTATAATTCAGGGTCTCTAGTTTGCCCGGCACTCTACCACTAACCTGGACCAGCTTTCCCATGTGTGTTACTTGCCTGTAGCCTGCGGTGTTTGAATTGTGTTCTTGTCTAGACCCTGAGGCCTGTCACTTCCTGGTAATCAGGAGGAGTAAGACAGGCTGACATGCCTTTTCTTGTCTTTAGACTTCTGGGAGTACTACCTCCCCTACCTCTACTCCTGTATCTCCTTCCTCGGAGTCCTCCTCCTCCTGGGTGAGTGCAGAGTCGGGGAGGCTCCAGCAGTCCGGGTGGAAGGAGAAGGGCAGGGGAAGGATCTAACGGGTGACTGACAAGCTCTTGTCCCAACAGTGTGCACTCCACTGGGTCTCGCCCGCATGTTCTCCGTCACTGGGAAGTTGCTGGTCAAACCTCGAGTATGTAGCGCTCCTTGCCTTTTGTACAGGGTGAATCTCCTGCATCTGAAGCCGAACACTGAAATGAACCTAGGGTTGTGTTGTGCACAGCCTGCAGAAGGGCACAGCCTCGGTTGGCTTCTGTGTCCTTTGCCCCATCCTCTTGAGCTGGTCAGAACTCGGGTTGGAAGGGATAGGACAAAGCTGCTGGGCATGGGGGGTGAAGGAGAGTTAGAGCCAAGACTGGGACTGTAGAGGGCTGTTGGGGTCAGAGCCTCTGACAGCCCCCTCTCCCCCCTGCCCTCAGCTACTGGAAGATCTGGAAGAACAGCTGAACTGTTCAGCGTTTGAGGAGGCAGCTCTGACTCGAAGAATCTGCAGTGAGTTCAAATACTCCCTTGCTTGGGTGGTGGACTGACTGGCCTTGGCAAGCACTGCAGGGAAGTGTGTTCTCTGCCCTCAGATCCCACCTCCTGCTGGCTGCCTTTGGACATGGAGCTGCTGCACAGACAAGTCCTGGCTCTGCAGACACAGAGGGTCCTCTTGGGTATGTGACTTGTGCTTTACCCAGGGAGAGCAGATCCTTGTTCCAGGTACTTGCTAACAACCTCCCATTCCTGCACAGAAAAGCGGCGGAAGGCTTCAGCCTGGCAGCGGAACCTGGGCTACCCTCTGGCCATGCTGTGCTTGCTGCTGCTGACGGTGGGTTTACTGGCCTTGGTGGGCATGGGGAGTATGGGTACTTGAGCATCCTCAGGGAGGACAAAGGTGTACGTGGACATGGTTGTCGTCCATTGTGGTAGTTGCCTGTCAAGTGCCTGCTTTGTGTCCCTTCCTGTGCTAAGAACATTAATTCCCATTTTGTAGATGAAGAAACACAGCTGACTTGCCCCAAATCCCACAAAGTCATTGAGAAGACACACAGATTTGCCTTGGAATGAGAACAAAGGTTAAAATCTAGTGTCTCTTCTGTACTGGATTAGGACTTCAGGAATAGTTTCAGAGGAAACAGTACCTTTCTCCAGGTCATTTCTTGTGTGTGTGTATGTGTGTGTGTGTGTGTGTGTGTGTGTGTGTGTGTGTGTGTGTGTGTGTGTCTGGGGTTGGACCAGGCCTTGGCGTGTGGTCAGTGCTCTGCAGAGTTGCACTCCTTGCCCCATAGCTGTGCTCTCTCTGGTTAGGCTTTGCAGTCCGTCCATTTGGAAGCAGTTCATCCAGTGATACCCTCAGAGCGCTGTGTTGCCAGCAGCAGATCGAGGAGGTCCCTAAAGCTGCTTGGGAGCAGTGCTCTTACCAACAAAACGCTCAACTAAAGAGATGCTCTTACCGTTGAGCTCAGAGCACAGCTGTGGGCTGGAGCAGGGATGATGGGAGTTGGTGCCCTTGCTGCACACAGGGCCTGTCTGTGCTTATCGTGGCCATCCATATCCTGGAGCTGCTCATCGACGAGGCTGCCATGCCGCGGGGCATTCAGGTACAGGGCTCTCTTCTTTCCCACCACTTCTTTTGGAGAGGACTTAAATGAGAAAGGCTAGGGAAGCTGGATATGGTGTCTTACGCCTATTATCCTAGCACTTGGAGGCTGGAGCAGGTGAATTGCCACAAGTTTCAGGACAGAATGGGCTACATTGTGCTATAGCATAATGTCTTAGGAGGGGTGGGGGGATGCTGGAGAGAGAGAAAAACAGAAGCTGAGGACAGAGAGGAGGCTGGGTAGAGCTGGTGGTACTCATGGTGGGAATGTCCCTAAATCATGCCACCCCACCCCCACAGGATGCCTCCCTGGGCCAGGTCTCCTTCTCCAAACTGGGATCCTTTGGTGCCATCATCCAGGTCATATTGATCTTGTATCCTTCTGGAAATTCCCATGGCTTCTGCTTACCAAACCTGCCTCCCAGGACTCCAATAGACTCCTTGGGAACACTGAAGAGGAGGGGGGGGGCGCAAATCTTCATCTAACTTGGGTTCAGACAAGGAAATATTTGATCTTGAGGACTGGGGAGATAACTCAGTGGGCTAAGTGCATCTGCCTGTAGTCCAGTGCTGGGAGGCAGAGACAGGAAGATCTGGTGGTTTGTTCAAGAGCCAGTCTAGCCAAACTGGTAAGTTCTAGGCTTGAAAGAGCCTGTCTCAGAAAAGAGTAAGGTTGTAGCTGTCGAGATGGTTCAGCGAGGGCTGGGAGAGGAGTCAGCGGTTAGGGGTAGTGGTGCTCTTACAAGAGCACCGAATTCAGTTCCCAGCACCTGAATTCAGTTGGCTCACAACCATCTGTAACTCTAGCTGCAGAGGATCTGACTCCCTCTTCTGGCCTTTGTAGGTGTCCACACTCATATGCACATACCCTACACACGTACACACATTGAGGAAAGTGTTTTAAAAGGTGGCTCAGTACGTAAAAGTGTCTACCCTGCAAGTCTGATAACCTGGGTTCTACCCCTGGGAACTCACAGTGGTGTGAGAGACTGACCCCTGAAAGTTGTTCTCTGTAGCATACCCTCACACACACCAACAAACGTGATAGTAAAAAAAACTAATAATGGCCGGGCGGCGGTGGCGCACGCCTTTAATCCCAGCACTCGGGAGGCAGAGCCAGGCGGATCTCTGTGAGTTCGAGGCCAGCCTGGGCTACAGAGTGAGTTCCAGGAAAAGGCACAAAGCTACACAGAGAAACCCTGTCTCGAAAAACCAAAATAAAAAAAAAAAAACTAATAATGATAGAAGACGCCCAGCCTTGACCTGTGGCCTCTGCAGACACATGGACATCACATACCCCACACAGAAAACTTTCATCTTGGAAAGAGGTCTGAGGAGTCCTTTCTCTGAGACAGGCAGTGGTTACGTAGAAGCTGGCCAGTTTTTCCCTAATCCAGGGCAACAGTTACCTGATGGTGTCTTCGGTCGTGGGTTTCTACAGTTCTCCACTCTTCCGAAGCCTGAGGCCCAGATGGCATGACACAGCTATGACACAGGTATAGCAGGGAAGGGGAGAGGCCTCCTGGGGGGCGAGCCCTGAGTGTTGGCAGCCCCCCCCCCCCCAGGTTTCTCTGTGCAGTCCTGGCTGACCTGGAACTCACAGAGTGGGCCTGCCTCTGCCTCCCGGGTGCGGGCAGCTCCTGCTGTTTTGCTTCTTCTTTGTTTTCTCTCACAGATAATCGGGAACTGCGTCTGCCTTCTGGTCCTGAGCTCCGCGCTTCCTGTCTTCTCTCGGACCCTCGGTAAGAACTGGAAGTCGGGAAGAGAACTGATTTGCTTTGTTTTCATAACTTTAAAAATGAGGTTTGGGGGCTGGAGAGCTGGCTCAGTGGTTGAGAGCACTGACTGCTCTTCCAGAGGACCCAGGTTCAGTTCCCAGCACCCAGATGGCAGCTCACAACTGTCTGTAACTGCAGTTCCAGGGGATCTTGGATGGATATGCAGGAAAAACCCCGATGCACAGAAAATAAAAATTAAAAAAAAAATAAGCCGGGCGGTGGTGGCGCACGCCTTTAATCCCAGCACTCGGGAGGCAGAGCCAGGCGGATCTCTGTGAGTTCGAGGCCAGCCTGGGCTACCAAGTGAGTCCCAGGAAAGGCGCAAAGCTACACAGAGAAACCCTGTCTTGAAAAACCAAAAAAAAAAAAAAAAAAAAAAAAAAAATGAGTTTTAAAGGCCAGTCTGGGCTTCATAGGGAGTTTCAAGCAAGTCTGGGCTACCCAGGGAGACCCTGTAACAGAACAGAACTGCCAAGGTCTCACTAATCATTCTGCCTCAGCCTCCAGAATGCTGGAATTACGTAATACACCACCATACCCAGCTGGGGTTTATTTTTTTTAGGATTTAGTAGTTTATGAGTGTTTTGCCTGTATGTGTGTTTGCACTTCTTTCATGCATGCACCTGTGGAGGTGCCAGAAGAGGGCGTCAGATGCCCTGGCACTGGAGATTCCCATGGTGGTAAGCCACTCATGCCTGCTGGGCACTGACCCAGGTACTCCTGCAAGGGCGACATATGCTCTTAACTACTGGCCATCTCTCCAGTCCCAGAATTGTTTTTTTCTTTAAATATTCTTTACATGCGTTGGTGTTTTGCCTACATGTATGTCTGTGTGAGGATGTTGATCTCTGGAACTGGAGTTACAGGTAGTTGTGAGCTGCCATGCAGGTGCTGGGAATTGAACCTGGGTCCTCTGAGAAAAACAGCCAGTGCTCTTAACCAATGAACCAGCTCTAGCCCCGGGATTTTTTTTTTTTTTTTTTTTTTTTTTTTGAGTATGTACTCAAAAAAGGTATTCAAGGGTCAGGGTCAAAAGGGGATATCTCAGTGGGTAAGGCAGTTGCCACCATCAGGCCTCTTGACTGGGGTTCAATCCCTGGAGCCCACAAGAGAGGAGGGAACCCATTGTCTCCAGTTGTCTTTTACCTGTGCATGTGCACTCACACACACACACACACACAGAAGAAGGAAAAAATACTCTGTAATTAGATGTGCTCCCTAGTGTCCACAACACACCCACCAAGAGCTCCTCCCTTCTATGCAGAAGGAGAAAATGTAGCTCCATAAAGGCCTGCACCAGGCTTTGGGTGCTTGTTTTCGGTTTTGTTTGTTGTATGTGCATGTATGTCTGTGCACCATTTGTGTGTCTGGTTCCAGAAGAGGCTAGAAGAGGGTAGGAGCCAGTCAGTGGTGGCACACTCACACCTTTAATCCCAGAACTTGGGAGACAGAGCCAGGCAGATCTCTTAAGTTCGAGGCCAGCCTGGTCTGTAGAGTGAGTTCCAGGACAGTCAGGGCTGCACAGAGAAACCCTGTCTCGGGGGGAAAAAACAAACCAACCTCCAGTTCTTAGTGATCCTCAGCTACATAGCACAGCCAGGCTGGAACACAGGAGACTGTCTCAAAGAGAGAAAGAAGGGGAGATTGTAATAGTGCCTGGTACAAACAGGTAAATGTGTGTATTGCCTTAATTACTATAGCCCCATTGTTTTCTCTGTTTTAAAATTGAAGAAACTGAGGCCCAGAGCATTTAAGGAATTTGCCATGCATCACCCAGCTATGGAGAAGTGGAATTGGGATTTAAAAAAAAGAAAGGCATGATGACAGTTTGCACTCTATGCTTAGTCTTTCTTAGTTACTGAACTGTGCACTACTGAAAACTTAGTAGCCAATTTGTAGATTCTTAGCTAGGAACCACTTGTCATCCTGGGAACTCCTAGAGCTACCTGAGGCTAGAGGCAGCCCTACTGACGGAAAAGATTTGAGTCTCTGGAAGGAGAAATAGGAGCAAATTTAGGGGCTGATGCATTCAGTAGTCCTGAACTGGCCTTGGAATGGGCTTGAGAGTAGTAATTCATGCACAGCCATGCTAGCCGATGTGATGTTCTGATGTGGCCACGAGGGGGCAGCAGAAAGTTGGGCTCCTTTGAGGAGAGGGCTTGGGGGATTCCCCTTCTTATTACTTCAGGGCTGACTCGCTTTGACCTGCTGGGTGACTTCGGACGCTTCAACTGGCTGGGCAATTTCTACATCGTGTTCCTCTACAATGCAGCCTTTGCTGGCCTCACCACACTCTGTCTGGTGAAGACCTTCACTGCAGCTGTGAGGGCAGAGCTGATTCGAGCCTTTGGTAAGGGAGTGTGAATTGTGGGCCAGGGATGTTCATTCTGAGGGTGGCCCGGCAGAGAAGAGGGTGTGCTCCCTTTTTATGTTACCTGTCTCATTCAGCCCTTGCCTGCCCTGGTTGCTTCACCTCTGAGGAGCTGGACCTGTGTCCACTCTGTCTGTCTGCTTTCTCTTTTCTAGGGCTGGACAGACTGCCGTTGCCTGTCTCTGGTTTCCCCCGGGCTTCCGGGAAGAAACAGCACCAGTGACCGACCCCTCGCTAGGGGTTGAGAAGGAGAAAACTGGACACTGCCTAGGCCTGGAGGCGAGCCAGGGTGGTTGGAATCTGAGAGAGTGGGTGGAGGAGGGAACCGAACCATCTGTACTGCTGCATAATCTGAGCCAGAGTTTGGGACCCAGCCTCCGGCCTTTTCAGATGGAGCTGTGGCCTCAGCAGAAGGTGGAGCCGGGGGACTGGCTCTAGTTCCTGGTCCCAGATCCGTTTACACATCAATCTGCCTCAATCCTGTTCCAGGCCATGCCTGAAGCCATGTTTACATGATGATGTGCAATAGGGTGGGGGGGAGTGGGGGGAACTAGGCCGGGGTAGGGTCTGGAGACAGGCTGTCTTCCTGCCTCTGGCCCAGCAGAGCCTAAGCACTGTGCTATCCTGTGGAGGGGCTTTGGACCACTGGAGAGACCACGGGTGCAGGGAGGAAGAGCGGCACCCATCAGCAATAAAGTTGATCCCAGGGTTCTCTTGGTTTTTGTAAAGAGCCTGTCTCTGTGTCTATAACACCTGTTCCAGCTGGTCCTGTGAGTCTACCTTCCCCTCTGTGCTTCCAATGCAGAGAGATGCTCTTCTTCTCTTAGTTTACTTCAGGTTGGCTGGTCTCAGCTGGTGTGTCGACCCACACCTTTACTCCCAGCGCTCAGGAGTGAAGGGATCTCTATTTTTTTTTTTAAGATTTATTTATTTATGATGTATACAGTGTTCTGCCTGCACTCCAGAAGGCACCAGATCTCATTACTGATATGTAATGAGCCACCATGTGGGTGCTGGGAGTTGAACTCCGGTCCTTTGGAAAAGCTGCCAGTGCTCTTAACCTCTGGGCCATCTCTCCAGCCCAGCTTTGTTATTTTGAGACAGGGTGTCACTTTGTAGTTCAAGCTGGCCAGTGGGATCTCTATTTTTTAATTGCAAGTTCCAGACCAGCCAAGGTTACATGGTGAGCTGAATGCACTCTACTACTTGGGGCTTTGTTTCTATACCTTGGAAATTGGGGTACTATAGCATATGGGTCCCATCCTCTGTCCACCTACACCTTCAGCCCTGACCTCCCATACTTAACAATTGTAGAGTAAAAGTGATTGGCTGGCAGTTTTTTTTATTCCTACCTTAGAGAAGAACCTGACTTCAGTTTTGTAAAGACTATCAATTCCTTGATGTCCTCAAGGGACAAACCTTCTGTAGACATCTACAGATTATACATTGCAAAGCTTCAAAGGCAACCATTTCCCCCATAGTTATTTGTAATTATTATTTTTTTGTTTGTTTTGTTTGCGACAGAGTATATAGCCCCTGGCTGGCCTGGAACTCACTGTGTGGATCAGGCTGGCCTCAAACTCATAAAGATCCACCTGCTCCTGCCTGTTTAGTGCTGGGATTAAAGGCATGTACTACCATATCTGACCCTAGAATTTTAAAAATTCTGTTACTGGGATCAGGAATATCATGGTGTGTGTGGAGTCAGGATAACTTGAGTCTGTTCTCCCAGTGTGTGGATCCTGGGGAATCAAATTCAACAAATGCCTCTGCCCTCCTGTCCTGACCTTTCCAGTCCTGGGGGAGGTGTCAAACCCAGGACCTCACACTTGCTAGGCACTTGGCTCTACCATTGAGCTACATTGCCATCACCATGATCATCTCCTTGTAGATGGAAGTCAGAGGTCAGAAGGGTTTCTTCAACTTTTTCTCCTAGTTCATAGAAAGTCACTGAGTGCTAGCCTTGGAACTGGGTGGAGGGAGGGTGAACGTGGAATACAAAAGTGTAGATTCCACAAATACTTGCCAAGTACAGTACTTTAAGCTAGACGGCCTTGGAAATACCCGATAAACAAGCCTGTGCTGAAGAGTTGCTTTGTCTAAAGGGTGCCAGTATTCTAGTACTGCTGTGGCAGTGAATCACGGTCCTACAATGGGACGTAGGTCACAGTGTCAGGACATCAGGGAAAGTTTTTTGTTTATAACTTTGTAATGTTTATTTTGCACGTGTGCGCATGGGCACACATGGTGTTAAGTGTAGAGATCAGAGGACAACTCGCTTTGGTTCTCTCCTTCTGCCATGTGAGTTTGGGTTGGAACCAGGTTGTTGGGCTTGGTGACTAGTGCTTTTACATACTGAGCCATCTTCCCAGCCCTGTTTGGTTTTGAGGTCTCATTATATAGCCCAGGATGGCCTCCAAATCTCGGAGATCCACCTCCTGCTGCCTCCTGAGTGCGGAATTAAAGTTGTGCAACACCATGCCGAGCCCCTTTAAAAAAAAAACAAAACGAAATAAACTTTGGCCAGGTATACTGGCACACACCTTTAATCTCAGCATGTGGAGGCAGAGTCAGGTAGATCTCTGAGTTCAAGGCTAGCCTAGTCTACATAGCAAGTTCCAGGACAGTCAGGGATACATAGACTCTATCTTAGAATATTTATTTGTTTTTCGAGACAGGGTTTCTCTGTGTAACAGCTTTGGCTGTCCTAGAACTCACTCTGTAGACCAGGATAGCCTAGAACTCACAGAGATCCGACTGCCTCTGCTTCCCAAGTGCTCAGATTAAAGACGTGTGCCACCACTGCCACAGGGCTTCAAGAAATTTTTTTTAAAGATTTGCTTTTAGCCTGGCATTAGTGGTACATGCCTTTGATCCCAGCACTTGAGAGGCAGTGACAGGCAAATCTGTGAGTTCAAGGCCAGCCTGGAACTATAGAGTAAGTTCCAGAACAGCCAAGGCTACACAGAGAAACCCTGCCTCAAAAAACCAAAATAAATAAAATTATTTGTTTTTAGCTTTCATGTATGAATGTCTGTGTGCATGCATGTGTATGTACTGTGTGCATGCCTGGTGCCTCCTAGGGTCCAGAAGAGGGCATCATATTCTCTGGAACTGGAAGTATAGGAAGTTGTGAGTCACCACGGGGATGCTAAGAGCCAACACAGGTCTGCTGCAGTGACAGCAAGTGCTCTTAACTGCTCTTGGCCGTCTTTCCAGCACAAAAGCTTTTCTTATTATTTATTCACGTGTGTATGTGTGTGTACATGTGTCCACGGAGGCCAGAGAAGGAGGGTATTGGATGCCCTGGAACTGGAGTTACAGTCACTTGTGAGCTAGGAAATAACTTGCGTCTTCAGTGAGAGCAGGAAGTAGTCTTACATGCTGGAACATCTCTCCAATTACCCGAGTTTAAATTTTTAATTGACTTTAAAATGTTTTATTTAGGTTTTGTTTTTATTTTATGCCTATGAGTGTTTTGCCTGAATGTATGTCTATGCACTACGTGAGTTCAGTGCCTGAGGAGGCCAGAAGAAGGTGTTGAATCCCCTGGTATTGGAGATACGGACCACTGATCAGCTGTCAAGTGGGTGCTGGGAATTAACCTTGGTCCTTTGGAGAAGCAGGTGACCCATCTCTCCACCTTTAATTGCCTTCCAGTAGCAAACAGAGTTTGTTATTGTCCTGGTTGGTTTTGTCAACTTGAAACAAATCTAGGCAGACCTGGGAAAAGAATCTAACTTGAGAATCCCCTCCATAAGACTGGCCTGTAGGTGACTCTGGACCATTTTCTTGAACAATTGCTGCACAAGGGCTCAGCCCACTGGACTCAGGCAGGTAGTCCTGGGTCGCATGAGAAAACAGGTAAAACAAGCCTGCACATCCTCTGCTTTGGGTCCTTCCTCCAGGTTCCCCCCTTGAGGCTTCTGCTTTGGATTTTTGTTGCTTTTATTTTTATTTTATGTATATGAGTGTTTTGCCTCCATGTAGGTATGTTTACCGTGCATGTGCCTGGTTCCCCTGGGGAGGTCAGAAGGTGTCAGATCCCATAGAACGGGGGTTATGGATGGTTGTGAGTCATCATGTGGGAGCCGAGAGCAGAATCTGGGTCCTTTAGGAGAGCAGCCAGTGCTCTTAACTGCTGAGCCGTCTCTCCAGGCCCCTTAAGTTCTTGTCCTGACGTCCCTTCATGATGGACTGTGGTTGGGACTTGCAAGCTGAAGTCCTTTCCTCCCCCAGTGGGTTCTGGTCTTTGTGTTTATCACTGCAACAGGAACTCTGAGGACAGCAATGTAACTGAGGATAATGAACCCTGATCCACCTGCATGTGCTACCTCATGTGCCCCACTACACTCCTCATGGAGGAACTGATTAAATGATAGGAGTTGGTGGATAAGTGTCTGTGAGACGAGGCCTGGGAGATATGAAATAAATCCCTTGGTCCAGAGGGAGGCCTGAGAGCACGGAAGGTAAAGAGAACTGGTCCCCATCCTCTTACAGACAGGATTTTGGGTGCTCACTGCCTTTCAGCAGCTTCCCAATGACAAATTACTTATTCAAAATGCATTGTGCAGGATGAAGTACATGCTTGTAATCCCAACACTCAGGATGTCAGGGCCATCTTGGTTGGTTGGTTGATTGGTTTTTGGAGACAGGTTTTCTCTGCTTAACAGCCCTGGCTGTCCTGGAACGTGCTCTGTAGACCAGGCTGGTCTCAAACTCTGCCTGCCTCTGCCTCCGGGCCTTGGGCCATCCATCTTAACACAGCAAATTTGAAGCCGGCTAGGCTACATGTGACTGTCTCAAATGAAAAAGAGAAATACGGATAAGTCTCAATAGATAGAGATAAATTGTGTGCTTGCCTAGCATATTTGAGGGCCTGGGTTTTTGTTTTTAATTATTTTAATTTTAAAAGTTTTATTTTATATGTATGGGTGTTTTGCTTGCATGTGTACTGTACCAATTGCATGCCTGGTATCTGAGGAGGCCAGGAGACAGTATTGACCCCCCCCAAAATGGAGGGTGCTAGGAATGTAACTCGGGTCATCTGGAAAAGCAGCCAGTGCTCCCAACTGCTGAGCCATCTCTCCAGCCCTGGAGGCACTGGTTTTGGTCCCATCACTACATAAACCTGGTACATGACTAATCCCAGCATTGGGAAGCTGGAGGAGAAAGCGTTCAAGGTCAGCCTTCCATGAAGTGAGTTTGAGACCGAGCCTGAGCCTGAGCTACATTAGATTCTGTCAAGGAGGGGAGGGATGAAAAGTGACCCTCTGGTGCCTGGCTGAGATTGAGGGGACACAACTGGAGAAGTGCTAGGCTGGCAAGATGAATCAGCAGGTCAAAGGACTTGCCGCACACACCTGATTAACCGGAGTTCAATCTCTAGAACTCACAGTAAAAGAACTGATGTCCAAAAGTCCTCTGACTTACACACACACATACACACACACACACACACACACACACACACACACACACGCACACGTCCTAAGCTGGATTGTGACTGTCAAACTCTGTTTCCCAGAAGATACAAACTCACCAAGGACAATGATCCTCTGGGATCCACTCTTGGTTATGGGTGATTGTGGAGAGAGAGAAATGAGGGAGACCTGAGGACCACAGAGGAAAGAGGCTTTGATTATATGCCCAAAGGACTTGCTTGGATGGCCTTGAGCAGAAATTGGAACTCAGACTTCCTGGATAACAGCAGAGGGGCTTTGACCAGAGTCGACTTTGGGAGCAAAGACTAGCAGGGGACGGTAGTTTGGTTCCTAATTTAGACTCGGAGGTAGAAGGATGCTTATCCAGGCAGCCAGGACTGTAAAGCTTCAAGGATTTCCTAAGCAGGTGCCTGCATGGTTTCCAGGATGGGACACACTTCAATGGAGTAATGAAACAGCGGTGACCGCTAGATCCCCAGCCCGGGTGGGAGGGGGCGGGACAGTCCTGGGAGAAGGGCGGGGGGGCGGGGCCAGGGACCACTTAAGGCGGAGTCAGGGCGGTTCTGGGAGCCCGGGAGCTGGGCAGCAGAGGCTGGCTGGGCCGGCACTCACCCTCGATCCACCTGCCCTGTAATGGTAGTCTATCAGTAGTAGGTTCCAGGTTCCCCGGGGCATGTAGGCAGAGTTAGCGGCTGCCCGGTGTTGGGAGCCACAAGCGCTCCAGGAACTCTAGGGGCTTCTCTATCTGCGGTGCTGGCTCCCGTGGAGATGCTCAACTGACAGCAGAGCTAGTGAGGACCAGAACGCTCCCTTTCGACCCAATTCCACTGCGCCCATGGCTCTGCCGGCCAGTCTGTTGCCCCTGTGCTGCTTGGCACTCCTGGCACTGTCTGTCCAGAGCTGCGGGCCGGGCCGCGGACCGGTCGGCCGGCGGCGTTACGTGCGCAAGCAGCTTGTGCCTCTGCTGTACAAGCAGTTTGTGCCCAGTGTGCCCGAGCGGACCCTTGGCGCGAGTGGGCCAGCGGAGGGGAGGGTAGCAAGGGGGTCCGAGCGCTTCCGCGACCTCGTACCCAATTACAACCCCGACATAATCTTCAAGGATGAGGAGAACAGCGGGGCTGACCGCCTGATGACGGAGGTAAGGAGCGCTTCTCCCCACCTGCTCTCGAGCACACCACCAACTCCTCAGTTTTCCTACCACAGCCCTGGAAGATGAACTGTCACTTCATCTCCCGAGACCTTAAACTAAAATAAAGTAAGACCTCCATCACCACATCCTCCAAGAAAGCAAATGACCTGCGGGCTGGTAGTGGTTTGGAGGTATCCGAACGGGGAGAGGCTGGGATGGGGAGGGGGAGGAGGAACTGGCTAGTGAGAGTGAATCAGGGAGAGGCTGGAGGGAGGGCGGGGAAAGGAGGATGGCGGCAGGCGAGACGGGAAATGGCTGAGGCGTGGACCGGGGGTCAGCCACCGAGCCAGGCAGGAAGGGCTGGGGTGAGCTGGGGGCCAGGAGCTGGCTAGAGTAGGTAGCCTACAGAAGGCTTTACAATTAGCCTGGCTCTTGGCCTGATGTCCAAAAGCTCTATGAGCCAAAAAGAAGGGGGCTGCGAAAGGGATAGGCAAGTCAGGTTACCAGGCCATCTACCTGAGAACCGGGTGGTCAGAAATTGCCCTTGGCATGAGAGAGGGCAATTCCTGACCACCAGGGCAGGCCTGTATTAGGGTCTAAACAACAGACTTGGGGTAAAAAGCTGTGCTCAGAACAATGGGTGCATCTGAGAATCAAAGGGTTCCTGGGCGTTCAAACAGCTCAGCTTGAGGGCTTTGCTTAGAATGAATTAGATTCAACTACCATCATGGAGCACCTGCTACAGATGGTCACTGAACCTACCTGGAATAAGGTGGGCCATGTCTTGGAAAAGAAGGACCCCCTCTGGCCATTGTTCTGGGGTGTCAGAATAGAAAGGAAATTCAGAAGGCACCCCCACTCCACCCCTCACTTTATAGCTGAGAGCTGGGCCCCGAGAGGAAAAAGCAATCTAATCAGGGCCTCACAGCTAATTAGCGGCCTTGCTGAGACTGGAATTCAGGACTCCAGGTTCCGAGTCCTATATACTTTCCATTACACCACCTAATTGTGTGTGCAGTAGGGAGGTGGGGGGGAGGGAGGGGGACGGATTTCCTCTAACTAACTGCCATAGCTCTCCAGGTTACTTTGTTAGGAAAACCTGTACAGGGAAGAGAGATTTTTTTTTTTTTTTTTGAGACACTATGTAGCCCCTGCAGGCCTGGAACTCGCAATGTAGAACTCACAGAAGTCCCGCTTCTACCTCGTGCTTGCTGGGATTAAAGTCTTGCCGGGCCAAGACTTCCAGTGATGAAGCCATCCTCTTTCCAGAAATTGAGAAGGGGCATCCATTTCCCACCGTGGTCATGGACCACTGCGGTCCTTCCCTTTAGTTGAAACCTACAGCAGGGGGACAGAAGAAGGGATAAGCTCAGGAGGCCTCAAAAGGCCCAGGAGCACCCCCGCCCAACACACACACACACACACACACACACACACACACACACACACACACACACACACACACAGTCTTGCTTATCTCCCACACCCTGGCTGCAAAAGGACTCTATTGAGTTGGCTCTGTACTGGGCTACTGCCCCCGCAGGTCAGGGCCTTCTTAGAGGCCAAAATGACACCAAGTGGGAAAGAGCTGCCACTTCTGCGCCTCTTGAGAGGTGCAGTTGACCTGAAAAGAGAGTAGGGGGGGACGCCCCTCTAGCAATCGTGTAGAATCCAAGTTTGAGGTAAGGGATGTAGAGGGACAAAGGAAAAGAAGTTGTTCTCTGCGCTCCTCCTGCGCTTCCTGCTCCCGTGGTGTCGCGGCTCTGGTGCGCGCCAAGGTCTCCAACTCCCAGACCGGAGCCGCCAAGATAACTGTGGCCTCCCTCCCCCGGGGTGCAGGCCTGCGTCTGTGGCTCCTTTTCCTCCACTCCCACCCTGCGCGCGGAGGTGGGGGTAGCTCCTGCCATTCTCAGGTGCTGCTCCTCCCACGCCTTTCAGGGCTGATTCTGGAACAGAGATGGGAGAGATGGGGGCTCCCAGGGCTGACACAGTGGCAGGCTGGGCACGCTGGGGGAGGGGACCTGGCGGGCGGGAGCAGGGATGTGGGGCGCGGCGTTCTGCCCTTTCCTCTCCCTGAGCCGGGGCGGCTGAAAAGCGTCTTTGTAGCTGGAGCTGCTGAGTCCGCTTCTCCCGACGCGTTCCCGGCCTCGGCCCGAGATTCTCGCTTAGTTAAGTCATCTCAGAGAATGGCCATTGTACTTCATGCAACCCCCGCCACCCAACCCTTTTTCCAGCAGCCTTGATCCCACGCGGCTCCTCTCGGGCACCTCTGTAGGGGCGCACCCAGACCACCAACGGGTTAATGCTAGAGGCTGAAAGGAGGAGGAGGAGGAGGAAGGAAGGAAGGAAGCGATGCCCAGTGCCAGGGAAGGCAACCAAACAAAAGATGAATCAGACGGAGGGAGGGCAGCTGGGGCCCGGGGCGGGGGTCAGGCTTAAATAGGGCTCAATTCGGGGAGCCAGGCCCTCCCTAACCAAACTTCCATCCTCCCTCTCTACGGTTCTCTCTTTGATTGGACTGAGATCCTGGAACAAATAGGGGAGAGGGGCAGGCACTGAAAACGGGGGAAATAACTGGGAATGGGGACCCCTTCTCCACCTCAGAGGGGTTAACACCATGGTTCGGTTTTCTAAGCACACCCTGGCAATGAAGTACAATTGGAGACTACACCTGTTCAAATCCTCGCTTCCCCAGGACATTCAAAAGGCGGGAGGGAATGAGGTTGGTCCAGAGGATAAAGATGCACCGATTCCTTAATGGTCCCTTCCACCTACCTCCCCCTTCCCATCCATCGCCTGCCTGGCGATGGTAGTGGAGAAACTAAAGCCTTTTACACCCCCACCCCCCCCCCCCATCCTCCAGCGTTGCAAAGAGAGGGTGAACTCTCTGGCTATTGCGGTGATGAACATGTGGCCAGGAGTGCGCCTGCGTGTGACTGAAGGCTGGGACGAGGACGGTCACCACGCTCAGGACTCACTCCACTACGAAGGCCGTGCCTTGGACATCACCACGTCCGACCGTGACCGCAATAAGTATGGTTTGCTGGCGCGCCTAGCCGTGGAAGCCGGCTTCGACTGGGTCTACTACGAGTCCCGAAACCACGTGCACGTGTCCGTCAAAGCTGGTACAGTAGAGGCCAGATGGTGGTTCACCTAAAGGGGGCTCTCTCAGGGAAACCGAGTCAATTGTAGCCTTCTTGCTACCGTAAGGGGACCAAACGGGCATTAGTGTTCTAATCCACCTTCCCACTTCCATTCAAGGTGGGACTAGATCCCTGGGAAATTGAACTGTCCCGTGACTGGTGAGGCCTGCGTTGGGCTTGACCCACGTCTTCGAGAATCTATACTTGTATTTGCTGATCTGGACTTACTCCTCTTTATGGTTGTGCCTTGCAGATAACTCACTGGCGGTCCGAGCGGGCGGCTGCTTTCCGGGAAATGCCACGGTGCGCCTGCGGAGCGGCGAGCGGAAGGGCCTAAGGGAACTCCATCGCGGTGACTGGGTGCTGGCCGCGGATGCAGCGGGCCGGGTGGTGCCCACGCCGGTGCTCCTCTTCCTGGACCGGGACTTGCAGCGCCGCGCCTCCTTCGTGGCTGTGGAGACCGAGCGGCCTCCGCGCAAACTGTTGCTCACACCCTGGCATCTGGTGTTTGCAGCTCGCGGGCCAGCGCCCGCTCCAGGTGACTTTGCACCGGTGTTCGCGCGCCGCTTACGCGCTGGGGACTCGGTGCTGGCTCCCGGCGGGGACGCGCTCCGGCCGGCTCGCGTAGCCCGTGTGGCGCGCGAGGAAGCCGTGGGCGTGTTCGCACCGCTCACTGCGCACGGGACGCTGCTGGTTAACGACGTCCTTGCGTCCTGCTACGCGGTCCTGGAGAGTCATCAGTGGGCCCATCGCGCCTTTGCCCCTTTGCGCCTGCTGCACGCGCTCGGGGCGCTGCTCCCCGGGGGTGCAGTCCAGCCGACTGGCATGCATTGGTACTCTCGACTGCTTTACCGCTTGGCGGAGGAGTTAATGGGCTGAGCGTCGGAGCACAGAAGTCCTCCAAGCTCTGGACGAAACCGAAGACGAGACATGCTAAGATCTGGGGATGTGGGCAGCTGGTGATGCTGATTGGGAGAGTGGGTGGGGAACGAGAGGAAGAAAAGAAGGACTGTACTGGAACTCCTTGGTTTAAGAGCAACTTTTAGCTGAGAGGAGTGGTCCCCGGGTCCTTGATAACCGGGTTTGCTGGTAGGCACTCTTTAATGAGGGCTTTTTTTTTTTTTAAATCTTCTGCAGTGCCTCAGTCCCACCCGATAATTTTATTTTCTATTTATAAATTGTAATATAATGATCTGCTGGCCCAGCCCACCAAGGTGAGGACCTGGAGTGGGGCGTTAACACTGACACAGCCAGCCAATCTGACGTCTCACACTTACATTTTCCTGCAGGTGGCTTAATAAAGGGAAGGCTTATTGGAAAGCACCTTCACTCAGAGGCACTTCACCGCCAAAGAGCGGGAGAATGGGGATTAACCAGAATCAACACCTTCCGTCCAACCAACCCTCCCTTCTTCCTCAGCAGGGCCTTTCAAACTCTTTTGTTTCAGAGGGTAATCCGAACCCATCAGCAACAGACCAGAAATGTCCTGCCCTTTTTTTGGTACTGGTCCTACCCCCAGCTGGGACTGGTACTGTGCTTATGAGTATATATACCAACTTGAGGGTGGAGGTGGGGCTTACCGAGGGAGCCTGAAGATTGATGCTCAAAGCATTTGGAGTCTTCTTTTTTATGTAAATTTTAAAATTCATTTTACATACCAACCACAGATCCCCCTCTCATCCCTCCTCCTGCTCCCTGCATTTGGAGTCTTCTATTAGCTGTTCTGGCCTATCCCTGTAGACTGAATCAGCCCAGCTGCCATCCTGCCTGCTGATGAAGTGGTCTGATTCTTTTTTTTTTTCCTAGGATTTTGCTAGGCCAACTTAGGAACTATGCGTGTTCCTTACAGTCCACACACATTTGTGGCCCAAACAAAAACTCTAGAGTGACCAAGAATGGTGGCACATGCCTGTAATTCCAACACTCTGGAGATGGAGAAAGGACAACCAGGAGGACCATGAGTTCAAGGCTAACTGGGCTTAATAGTGGGGGGGCGGGGCAGGAGAGGACAGGTTTTGGCTTGGGTGTATCTGAGGGAGACAGGCTCCTCTGTTAGGCTCTAGCGTTACAGTGTGAGTTTCTTCCCTAAGTCCTGGTGATGGTTCTGCCAATTTTCCAACCCCTTCCTTCCCTTTTCTGGTTGCTGACTGTGCTTCTTTGGTGTGGGTGTTTTGGGGAATCTTTGGATTCCAACATGGCAGACACCTGAAATGCAGGTAGATTGATGTCCCTGAGCTAGGAATGCGCAGGTGGGCCTCCTCTGGAAGTAGAGTAAGTAGGATCCAAGGGATGGTCAAGAGTGGTTGGTATTTCCAGGGACTGGGCCCAAGCCTGCTACATCTATGTTGCCAGAAAGATTGGCTCTGTTCTGAGCATCTGAGTCCAGCCTATGTGTACGCTGCCCTCTGGTGGCATTAGGGAGAATTCTAAGCCTAGGCACATAGGCAAACAGTCCCCCCACCCACTACCACCACCACCACTCCTCCCCTTTCTCTGTCTCTCTGTCTCTCTGTCTCTCTCTCTCTCTCTCTCTCTCACCGGACTTGCTCACAGGAACCATGTCCCAGAAGGCAGAACTGACGCCCGGGACTTGTTAAGCTTTTAGCACTGTGCCACTGTGTCCGGAGACGGTGAAGGACCTGCTTGCTTCTCTTTCAGTCCTTGGCAGTTTTACAGCCCTGTGCCTAGTTCAGCTCTGTGGCTCTGGGAAGCCAGAGGTATAGGTAACGGTGTAGACTTTCTCATGTCCCTCACTCTGGTGACCCTCAAATCTTGTGGTCCAGAGGTAAAAGTAAATAAGAGTTCCAAATAGTGCCTGATGAAGGCCCTCCCATTCACCAATGTCCTCAGTCTACATTCTCCGAGTACCCATTACCACCCTGCCTTCCTTCTCCTTGTCTCAGAGACACATCCCAAACAATAGCCTTTTCTGCTTTCTTTCCCTACTCTTGTCCTGCTTCTCGAAGACCTTGGTACCTTCTGTCTTATCACCCTGTGATGAGCAACCTGATAAGCTAATTAGTCTTTGTGTGTCGCTGGGCAACCTGTGTTTACTACCTTTCCTAAGTATGACATGTATCTAAACTGCTGAGACTAAGGCCTTTAACCAGAAAACCATAATGACTGCCTGGGAAACTAGCTCAGTAGCAGAGCATTACGCTAGTGTGCACAGAGCCCAAGGTCAGTCCCCAGCACCACTCAGATGACTATGTATGTATTTGGGGATAAGGAGAAGAGCCCGGTTATCATTAAATCGCATTCTGTAGGTTACTTCCCAGGCTTGAGGTTCACCTTCCCCCCCTCTAACATCATCCCTTGAGGCCCCTCCCAGCTATCTAAAAAAATACCCTCTGTCTGCAAACAGGTCAATGCACCATCTGCTTGAAGCAGGCGGGCACACTAACTTGCCACAGAGCACCTTCCAAGTGCAGCAACTCTTTCCAACACGGGAACTGCGCAAACATTGTCCATTCTTTGCATTTTTTTTTTCTCATTGCTGCGCTGCAGTCTGCTGTCTATACTCCACTAAATGCAAGATTTAGGGGTTGAATTTTGTTTTGATTTTCAAGCTGGGCACGGTAGCTGGTGTCCATAATCCCAGCACTGAAGCTAAGACAGGAGGATCCTCTTGTGTTCGAGGGCAGCCTGGGTTACCTAATGAGAGCCAGCTACAAACAAACCTTTTTTTTTTTTTTTAATCAGATGCAACATGACACATTCGAATTTATTTATTTATTTACTCAGAGATTAGTCTCCCCTTGAGCTCATAATATTCCTGCCTCAGCTTCCAGAATGTTGGGACTGGGTGTGTTTTAGAATGAAAGTATAATTATACAGGCGGCGGCGGTAGTACATGCCTTTAATCCCAGCACTCAGGAGGCAGTGGCAAGCAGACCTCTGAATTCGAAACCAGCCTGATCTACTGAGTGAGTACCAGAATGGCTAGGGCTACACAGAGAAACACTGTTTCAAAAAACCACGGGGGGGGGGGGGGGGGGGGGGGGGGGAGAGCGGGCGGGGGGGGGGGGGACAGAAAGAAAGAAAAGAAAAAAGAAAGTATAATTACGAGTAATTGTGGCTGTACTGTGGCCTGTTAGTGCACACCTTTAATTCCCACACTTGGGAGGCAAAGGAAGCTGGCTCTCCATGAATCTGAGGCCAGCCTGATCTACTGAGAACTCCAAACTAGCCAGGGCTAAACAGAGACACCCTGTCTCAGAAACAATAACAAACCTTCCAAAACAAAGATATAAAAAATTTTGGGTAGAGAGATAGCTCAGAAGTTAAGAACAAAAAAAGCCTAACCCTCTTTTGAGAATTTCAGACTATTTTGTGATAACCCTGGTAAGAGCTCTACATACAGGGTCATCTGAGTTAGAACCTGCTACCCAAAGGTTCAGCTGACTTTAAGTCCATTCTTTTTCCAAGCAAGAATTGCTGAACAGTTACAGTTGAACACTGTATTAGGCTTTGAAAACCACACAAAAGATCAAGAAACCACATTCTAGAGAAATAACCATTAATGTATAAATGCATAGGCTTACTAAAGCAATGTTATTATCTAGGATGAATCCAACTGCCAATATATGCCATATTGGTGCAGAGAAGGCCTTGTGGGTAGAGGAGGGTTGAAATAGGGTTGTTGACGGGTGTGTAGGTGGGCAAGGCTGGAAAGGATGTCTCAGGCAGGAACTTGGCATCTGGGAGGATGTGTGGCCTTTGACAGTAGAGATGCTGGGACTATGTAGCTTATGTTACTGAGGACTCAGTACGCACTGGGCCGAACTCAAGCACGCACGGTATGTGTATTCTCATTCAATCCTCACACAGTTACAGTAAATCCACAGGTGAGAAACTCAGGAAAACACGTTTGTTTGCCTTCCCCCTCCCCCTTCTAAGACACGGTATTATTCTGTAGCCTAGGCTTAGAGCTCACTGTGTTGCTCAGACTAGCCTCAAACTCCAGGCAGTCCTCCTGCTTAGGCTCCAGCATGCTGGGAGTCCAGGTGTGAGCCAGCCACCACATCCGGTTCACAGCAGAGCTGTAAGTCGTTATCCGGGGGTGCTCCAGCCAATGCATGACAGAGTGGGAGAGGAGAGTGTTCTGATGGATGCTGGGATTTGTGGTCTTGAGTTGCTATTCATTTTGCTTGGCCCTCTCATTACGTGGCTACAAAGTCCACGTAGCTCCCCTCCCCCACTTCAAAGCAGCGGAGCCATTTTATTTAAAGCAAAGAAGTAGAATACACTGCAAGAGAGCATAGGACACATGACTGAGGAAACTCAAGGGACCATTGCAGCTTGAAAAAAAAAAAGATTTAGGCTGGGTGGTGGTGGCCCACTCAGGAGGCAGAGCCCAGGTGGATCTCTGTGAGTTTGAGGCCAGCCTGGTCTACAGAGTGAGTTCCAGGACAGGCACCAAAACTACATGGAGAAACCCTGTCTCGGAAAACCAAAAACACCAAACCAAACCAAACAAACAAGCCTGTAAGCCTGTATTTAAGACCTCCGACCTCCTTCAATAAACGGCATTCGGCATTAAAAAAAAAAAGAAAGAAAGAAAAAGAAAAGAAGAAGCAAAACTAGCCACCGGGAAAAACAAAACAAAAACAACAACAACAAAAACCACTGCCGCCCAGCTACCCCATACATCTTTTAAAATTATTTTTATTTTTATTTATTTCTATTGTATGTGTGTGCTTCTACTTCACCAGTGTACCACTTGAGTGTAGTTCTGCTCCAGGTCAGAAGAGGGCATTATTCCCTTTAAACTGAAGTTACAGCAGTTGAGAGCTGCCATGTGGGTGTTGAGAATCAAAGCCAGGTCCTCTCTGTAAAAGCAGCAAATGCCCTTAGCCACTGACCATCTCTCCAGCTCCTCCCCACCTCTAGAGGAAGGACCATAGGTGAGAACATGGGGGAAGACTTTGTCTCGAACCCTTACTAGAAACTGAATCTGGAAGAACATTGGTGTTGGGCTTCCAAACTCCAGAATTATGACAAATTAATGATTGACTTATTGTTATTACAAGGGAGGATCTCATTCTGCAGCCCACGCTGGCCTGTTGCTCACTTTGTAAACCAGGCTGGCCTCAATCTCATGGCAATTGTGCCTCAGTCTCCGAGTGTTAGGAATACAGATGTGAGCCAGCATGTCCTGCTAACATCTGTGACATTTTATCATGATAGCAGACTTCCGGTCTTTAGGAAGAGACCAGTGTCAAAGCAAAGACTTAATGAAAAGAATCTTCTCTTTTGCTGGTCATAGCAGCTTACATTATCACCCTGCTCTCCGGAGCAGAAGCAGGAAGATCAGAGCTCTGGGCCAGCTTTGGCTACTGGAGAGTTTTAAAGCAGCCTGAGATTCTGTCTCAAAAAACAAAAAGACCTGGGGAAGCAGCTCAGCCATGAAGAGCACTCACTGTTCTTTCAGAGGACTAGAGTTCAGTTTCCAGGAATCATGTAGGGCCACTCACAACTACTTGTGAACTCTAGCTCCTGGGGGTCCAATGCCCTCTTCTGGTCTCTGCAGGGGCTGCACCCATATGCACACACATAATTAAATGCTAAAAGTAAAACCTTTAAACAAAACAAAACAAAACAAAAAGAGTTGTTGAAAATCATCATCTATCCTTTTTTATACATAATTTATTTGTATTTTATGTGCACTGGTGTTTGGCCTGCATGCGTGTCTGTGTGAGGGTGTCAGATCCCCTGGACAGCTGGGTGGGCGAGGACACAGCAGGACTTGGTGGGCAAGGACACAACAGGACTCTGTTACCCTCTAGTCTCGGATTTGCTTCTTTGGAAACCCAAGTCCAGACCTGCCTCTAAACCTATCTCCATCGGGCCCTAGCACCTAAGTACGGCGTCCAAATAGAACTCTTTCTTTGTTGTTCTCTGTGGCTTTCAAGCAGTCCTATGAGGAGAGCCTTGGCTTAGCTTGGAGCCGGTGTCCACAGGCTGAGACAGAGCTGCCCCCCTAACAGCCAGGCCTGGGCTGGACACTGCAGCTGCCCAGGGAACAGCTGCTTAAGCCCCAGCAGCTGCGGCAGCTGACACTCCTCTCATTCCCACCACGCATGCCCCTTCGTTGCCGGAGTCCTTGGCTAGTCTACGTGATCTCACAGACTTTTTCTTTTTAAAGACAGGATCTCACTATGTGACCCTGGCGGTCCTAGAACTTGCTATATAGACCAGCCTGGTCTTGAACTCAAAGATATCCTCCTGCCTCTGCTGGAATTAAAAGGGTGCACCACCATGCCCGACTTAAGATTGCCTAAAATCTTTGAGAGTGGGTATTATGGATTTTTTTTTCCTTTTTCTTTTAAAAGATTTATTTATTATGTATATAGTGCCCTGCCTGCAAGCCAGAAGAGGGCACCAGATCCCATTATAGATGGCTGTGAGCCACCATGTGGTTGCTGGGAATTGAACTCAGGACCTCTGGAAGAGCAGCCAGTGCTCTTAACCTCTGAGCCATCTCTCCAGCCCCCTTTTTTTTCCTTTTAAACTAAATGAGCCAAGTCTCCTATCTACTTTTCCCTGGCACTGGTGGCCCCCAAACCCCCAAACCCCTTGGACCGCTGTAGGAAGCATAGTGTGAGTCTAAATCTCACACACAGCCTCCCTTTTCTCTCTCCTTTTATAAACTGATGGGGATGGAGTTTTTGAGGAAGAATGTGGAGGAAGAATGGAGTTTGGTTTTGAATGATAAAGTTGTCTAGGGATGACGGCACATGTCTGGTAGGATGAGAAGGTAGGTAGATTTCTCTTTCTTTCAAAGACTCTATGATAAGTCATAGAAATTCTTGCAAGCATCTTGGAGAGAATGAGTATCATGCCAGAAGCAGCCACTTTTCTTTTATTTTGTTATATGTGCACTTCTGTCTGTGTGAGGGTGTCGGATCCCCTGGAACTGGAGTTGCAGACAGTTGTGAGCTGCCATGTGGGTGCTGGGAATTGAACCCAGGTCCTCTGGAAGAGCAGCCAGTGCTCTTAACCACTGAGCCATCTCCTCGGTAGTCACTTTTAAACTGACTGCTTCTCATGGGATGGTGATTGTACATCTAGAAACCAATAGAGCTTTCTGTGTCCTTTTAGGCTCTTATTCATCACTTGTGTTCTCCAGGAAATCACTTTGTCTGGGGTGCCAGAGGCCATGGCGAAGGGCTGGACAGGAGGCTGGAAAACCCGAGGTGCTGTAAGATTTAAACAAGGTGAATTAACACTCAAGAAGAGGTCAGATACGGGGACTGTCGCTGCCGTGACTATTTATCAGGCCCTGCAAATACTGGTAGGCTTTGGACTGTACTAAGGATATCTTACACCACCTCTCTTTCTGGTTGATGTTGAAATCGAAAGTCTTGCTGCCTTGCCTCGACAGCCTTGATCACCTGGCTCCACTTGAGCACCAATGAGACACTCCTGCCTCAACTAACCCAAAGGATGAGGTTATAGGCATCTACCTATACACAGGAGACTTTGAAGATGGAGTTATGTGAGTAGAGAAATGAATGCAATTAAGCTTGGGGGAAGTGGTAGGATCAGACTTGAGCTTTAAAAGGACTGTTTGAGTCCCAGCATGATAGCAGGTCTGCTGTCTCTGCTATTCTCACAAAACCAGGTGTAGTAGTTATAGTGACCCTGCCCAGGAGGCTGAAGCGGGAGACTTGTGAGTCAGGCCGACTTGGGCCTGTAAGTTCAAGGCCAGCCTGGGTAACTTAGTAAGACCCTGCCCCAAAATACAAATTTAAAGATTTATTATTTTTATTTTATGTGCATGAGTGCTTTGCCTGCCTGCATGTATGTGCACCATGTGGGTGCCTGGTGTGAGCAGGGGCTCGAAGAGGGCATCAGATTCCCTGGAACTGGAGTTACAGATGGGTGTGGGCTGCCATGTGGGTGCTGGGAACTGAACCAGAGTCCTCAGGAAGAGCAGCAAGTTTATTTAACTGCTGGGCCATGTCAGCAGGCCTTTCAAAATATAAATTGAAAAACTAGATAGGGAGGTAGCTCAGGCTCAGTACAGAGCTTGCCTAGAATATATGGGCCCTACGCACAATTCCCAGGACTACCACTACCAGTACTAATACGTATATAAATATATATGTATATGTTTATGTGTAAGTAAATGAGACCCAAGCACATACTTGTAATCCTAGCCCTTGGGAGGTGGAGTCCACAGGACCCAGAGTTTAAAGCCAGTTCTCAGTTTTACAGCAAATTTGAAGCCAGCATAAGTAACAAGAGACCTGTCTCAAAAACAAACACAAGGGGCTGGAGAGATGGCTCAGAGGTTAAGAGCACTGCTTGTTCTTCCAAAGGTCCTGAGTTCAATTCCCAGCAACCACATGGTGGCTCACAACCATCTGTAATGAGATCTGGTACCCTCTTCTGGCTTGCAGGGATATGTGCAAACAGAACACTGTATACATAATAAATAAATAAATCTTAAACAAACAAACACAAAAAACAACTAAAAATACAATCAAAAGCCACGTGGTGGTGGCGCACACCTTTAATCCCAGCACTCAGGAGGCGGAGGCAGGCGGATCTCTGTGAGTTCAAGGCCAACCCGGTCTACAAAGAAAGTTCCAGGACAGCCAGGGCTACACAGAGAAACTGTCTTGAAAACAACAAAACAAAAAATTATAATCTCATTTAAACTTTGGAATATGAAAATGTTGCTTTTAAATATCAATATAAAATATTAGAATTTAGATGTGATGCCTGAAGGTGACCTGATTGTGTGGCCATGGGGTGACGACATCAGAAAAGAGTCAAGAACTGTCGAGATGCCGGGCCATGTCAATGCCACTTCCCTCAGCTTTGTTATGTGAGGTTTGTTTAAAGTGTTGGAACTGTGCTTTCTGTATTTTTTTTTTTTTATTAAATTATACTAGCGATTAAACACAGGCTTGTGTTTGCTCGAAGGTACTTTCCCACTGAGCTATATCCTCAGTCTCAAGTAGGTTCTTACCACTCAAGTAGCTACAATAAACTAGATACGAGCAAGTTCAGGTTGCTGTAGGTTAGATACTCAACTTGGAGGTTTGTTTCCTCAGTTGACATAGACAGCCTCGGTGTTTGCTATGAAGCAGGGTGTCAAGAGTGGGTGGAAGTTGCCTGGCGGTGGTGGCACACGCCTTTAATCCCAGCACTCGGGAGGCAGAGGCAGGCGGATCTCTGTGAGTTCGAGGTCAGCCTGGTCTACAGAGTGAGTTCCAGGAATGTCAGAGCTAGGTAGAGAGACCCTGTCTCAAAAACACCAAACTCAATCCAAACAATAAAAAAATATAAAATACAAAAACAAATAAAAATCTCCCCAAACCCCAGATAGTGGTAAAAAAGCCACGGCTGCCAAGTATTAATGTTTATTATTGTTGTTTTTTTGAGACAGGGTTTCTCTGTGTAGCCCTGGCTATCCTTGATCTTACTCTGTAGACCAGGCTGACCTCAAACTCAGAGCCTGAGTGCTGGCATTAAAGGCGTGCACCACCACCGCCCAGTGTTGTTTATGATGATAATGATTTTTATTATACATCAGCTAGGCAGTGATCTGGAGTTGTAGAAAACAAAGAAGCCCTGTGAAGCACAGCATTAGTCAGAATTTTGTGTCTCTGTGACCAAATACCCAAGAAACACTACTTCAAGGAGGGAGAGGTCTATTTTGGCTCAGAATTCCATAGGGTTGGTCCATGGTCACAAAAGGAGGCAAACAGGAAGGGACCAGAGTGAACTAGAGCCTCAGGAGCGCCCTCCACCAATGGCCTTCTTCCTCTGTTCTCTCTCTCACCAAGGGATGAATCCATTTATTAATTTGGAGCTCCCATGACATAATTGTCTCTTTTAGTTTATTTATTTATTTTTTTAATTTTTTATTTCATGTGCACGGATCCCCTGGAACTGGAGTTACGGTTGTGAGCTGCCATGTGGGTGCTGGGAATTGAACCTGGGTCCTCTGGAAGAACAGTCAGTGCTATTTAACTGCTGAGCCATCTCTTCAGGCCCCCCACCCCCACGTGTGTGTGTGTGTGTGTGTGTGTGTGTGTGTGTGTGTGTGTGTGTGTTCTGGGGGTTGAACACAAGGCAGGCCTCATATATGCCACAAAGTCACAATTCTAACCTCTGTGAAGAAATTGAAATGCCAGGAAAACCAGACTTGGCCTGTCATGTCGATCTCTTTCAACAAACCTCAGGCAGTGTCTGGTCCAGAGCGTGTAGAACATGTTCAACACACTTTGTTGTTGTTGTTTTGAGACAGAGTTTCTCTGTGTAATAGTCCTGGCTGTCCTGGAACTCACTTTGGAGACCAAGCTGGCCTTGAACTCAAGTGCTGGGATCAAAGGTGTGCACTACCACCGCCCAGCTCTCTCTCTCTCTCTTTTTTAAGACAGGGTCTCTTGGGCTCAAACTCACTCTATGGCTTAAGGCCATAATGAGTTTGAACTCCTGACCTTCCTGTCTTCACCTCTTAAATCCTAGGGCCTAGGCCACCAAGTCTGTTTTTTTTTTTTTTTTTTTTTGGACAATGTCTTACATATGAGTCTTGGAAGGCTTGATAACTGTTTAGCCCAGGCTGGTCTTGAACTCACAGTGTCTTCCTGCCTCAATTCTTGAATTTGAGTTCAGAGATCAAAAAATATTTGTTGAGCCAGGCAGTGGTGGCACACATTAATCCCAGCACTCAGGAGACAGAGGCAGTTGGATCTTTGTGAGTTCAAAGCCAGCCTGGTCTATGGAAGGAGTTCCAGACAGCCAGGGCTACACAGTGAAACCTTGTTTCGAAAAATAAACAACAACAAAAAGTTAAATAAATGAATGCCCTGATTAAGATAAGGAAACATCAGACTGCACAGTCACACACTGAAGCAATTTCCCCAAGACTAAGAACTCCAGTTCTAAGATTATATCCTAGACGACTAAAAACTACCAACAAAAGGTCCAGGCTGAATGTTGGGGAAAGCAGGTGATAGACTGGAACTCTGTCTTTTCCTAGCCCAGAGACCATTGAAAACAGAAGCCTAGAATCCTTTTTTTTTTTTCCCCCCACAAGACAAGGTTTCTTCATGTAGCTCTGGATGTTCTGGAACTCACTCTGTAGACCAGGCTGGCCTCGAACTCACTGAGAGATCCACCTCTCCCTGCCTCCTGAGTTCTGGGATTAAAGGCGTGCACCAGCACTGCCGCCTTCAGAGGCCTAGAATCTTTTCAACAAGACCTCCATCCTAAAGCTACTTGTAGTGGTACCCCATTTTAATCTAGCACTGGGGAAGTAGAGGCAAGCCAGCATGGTGTACATAGAGAGTTAAAGGCCAGCCAGGGTTACAAGATCAGACCCTGTCTGAAAAACACAAAAACCAAAACCCAACACTCCAGCCAACCGCAGCAGGTATCTTCCTTTTCATTTCGTATTTTCACAACGGGTGTTTTTCTATCTACGATTCGCAGCCTCTTTGGCTAGGCTGCAAAGCAAATGGGCAAGTACCTCTAGGACCCCGGGTTCCTTTCTCTTTCTTTATGAATGAACAGGCTCGGGTCTACGCATGTGCAGCTCCCAAAGCTCCCGCTCCACGTGAGGCCCACCCGTTCCTCCTTGTGGGAGACTCCGCCCTCCTTCATTCTAATGGACCAATGGGGAGCAGCCTAGGGGGCGGAGCCGGGAGCCGCCCGGCCGGGTATTCCGCCCCTCCCCCGGCCCCGGCGCCCGGCTCCCTTGCGTAGAGCTGCTGTGTTGTGATCACGTGGCCTGCCTGGGGCGCGCGGCTTGTTTTGGTTTTCCTTCCGCTTGCCCGGCGTAGCTTGGGTGAGCTGCTGCCCTTCCCGGGCTCCACCGCCTACTGCATCCCGGCTGGTCTTCGGGCTCTCTCGGCCCGCGCTCTTAGGAGCCCCTCGGGGCGGCGTCTTGTCATGCCGCTGGTGCGCTACAGGAAGGTGGCCATCCTCGGGTACCGCTCCGTAGGTGAGTCTCCGCCCTCCCGAGAGCACCAGCGCACCGATGCTTTGTGGCCAGAAGAGGCGCGCTGTCGCGGGAACGTGATGCGAGGAGCCAGTGTGGCCTGGGAAGAAGTCGGGTTTACTGCCAGGCGATGGAAGGGTGGAGGGATGCTGGAAGAGGAGCGCTTAAGGGTTAAAGTGGACCGGGCTGTGGTTGCATCAGTGGTCCCCGCATTACTCTGGGAGCAGGGGAGCGATCAGCATTTGAAGGCACAGTGGAGGTCTACGTGGGGCTGACACTTGCAAGTGTCTTTGGGCTGGTGCACTATATCCTGGATCTTCCGAAGGGTGAGGTGGGGTGGGGCAGGAAGAGGCTTCCTGCGACGCTGCTGAATGCATCCCAGTAGCCAAAATGCTGCGGAATCAACGCGTAAGGATGTTGGTAATAATAGGGCCAAGGGGAAGCATTGCTTGGGGTCTCTCACTGACTGGGAAGCTGATTTGGGGTGCGTTTTGGTACTGGCCACAGTCCGAAAGGACACAAGGTGTGACTATGGATGGATGATTGCATTACAACAATCTCTGGTCCTTAAAGGGAAGACATCTTTGGCACATCAATTTGTGGAAGGCGAGTTCCTGGAAGGCTACGATCCTACAGTGGAGAACAGTGAGTAGTGTTCTTTAGTGTGAAGGGGATGGAACCTAGATGGACTGGCTGCCCTCTCCAACTCCTTAATTTGGGATTTCTTTGTTACCAAGGGGCTGATTTATTTATGTATTCATTTAATCAGTTCTGGGAATCCTGTGAGTGTCAAGAGCAGTGATTCTCAACCTTCTAATGCTTGTGACCCTTTAATACAGTTCTTCGCCAGGCGATGGTGGTGCACACCTTTAATACCAGCGCTTGGGAGGCAGAGCCAGGCGGCTCTCTGTGAGTTCGAGGCCAGACTGGTCTACAGAGTGAGATCCAGGACAGGCACTAAAGCTACACAGAGAAACCCTGTCGGAAAAAAAAAAAAAAACAAAAAAACAAAAAAAACCCAGCCAAACAAACAAAAAAACAGTTCCTCATGTTGTGATGATTCCCCAACCATAAAATTATTTCATGGCTACTTCATAACTGTAATTTTACTACTGTTGTGAATTGTAATGTCAATATCTGATATTCAGGATATATGATATTCGGCCCTTCAAAAAGTTGTGACTCACAGGTTGAGAATCAGTGGTCTAGAGAGTGGAATTTGCAAGGTTCTAGCCCAGGATAGTATAGAATCTATACTACACTATACTGTAGATAAGGAGAGCAAGAACCCTAGCATGTCTCTCCAGTTTCCTGGAGAGTTCCCTGGAACTCATCTGTCTGTGTCACCCCCAGGGTCAGGAATATAAAGGAATACACATCACTGGCCCTTCAACGTGCCTCACAGTCAAGAAGTTTTCCTCTTTGTTTTTCCAGCTTTCAGCAAGACAGTGACTCTTGGCAAAGATGAGTTTCATTTACATCTAGTGGACACAGCGGGCCAGGTACCAGTTGGGGTAGGGTGTCCAAATGTTGCAATTCAACCCTACATAACGTCTTGTGGTCTGTGTGGTTCATGTGTGACATAGCATGAAAAGAAAAACATTTGATCTGTTAACAGTGTGCAAAGGCTCATTGGAGCTGCTTCATAAATACTTTGTTTAATGGGAGCCAGGAATGTCCCAGGGAGGGTCACTTGTATGCAGTCCCACCTCGGCCCCCTTAACAACAGATACTCACGCTTCTGTTTCTTGTCAGGATGAGTACAGCATTCTGCCCTATTCCCTTATCATTGGGGTCCATGGTTACGTCCTGGTGTATTCTGTCACCTCTCTGCATAGGTACGTGACTAAAATTTTGAGTGGGGCTTGGCAGGACTCAACAATTACCCTAGAACTAAGATTATAGCTCTATTTCTTATGTTTGAAGCTTCCAGATCGTTAAGAGCCTGTACCAAAAGCTCCATGAAGGCCACGGTAAAACTCGGTAAGTGGCCCTAGGAAGTAGAGTGTGGGCATGAGGGTGTGGAAGAAAGCAAAATTGTGAATTCTTCAAGGAGGCTGGACGTAGATCGTTCTTGGCTTGTTTGGGGAATCATCTAGCCTTGCTGTAGTTGGAGTAGTTGGGGTCCATCGAGAATGGGGAAGGGGCTCTTCTAATCCTACCGTAGTAACCACTGTTTCATCACAGGCTGCCGGTGGTGCTGGTGGGGAACAAGGCAGATCTCTCTCCAGACAGGTGTGTAAGTCTCTGCTGCTCACAGCAAAGGGAAGTGAGTTTACTGAGGATCAGTCAAGCTGTAGCCCTTCCTGGCTCTGTTTGAGACAGGATCTTCACCGTGTAGCCCAGGCTATCCTTTAACTCCTTTCTGATAGTGCCAGCTGAGCTTATAGGGGTGGGTCACCATGCCTAGCCATCATTACCTTGGTGGTTATTTACGGACAGTCTTATCATAAATCCATAATCCATATTTCAAGCTTCAGTCTTACATACCCATGCTGCTTTTGTTTCCATGTGTTTTCTCTCTCCTCACCTCGCCCTCATCAAACCTGGGGGGAGGGGTGTGAAGCGCCAGAGGAAATCTAAATCTCAAAAGCACTTTCAGAGAACTTGCAGAGGTTGTTATCTGCCTTCCATCTTTATGTTCTAAATGTGCTTCCAGAGAGGTGCAGGCCGTTGATGGGAAGAAGCTAGCCGAGTCTTGGGGTGCGACGTTTATGGAGTCATCTGCTCGAGAGAATCAGGTGCTGAGCCCACTTGGTGACGGGTTAACAGTGTCTTTCTTCCTTACGCACCGCTTGGTGGTGGGGCTGGTAAGAGAGTGGTGTGTTTGCCTCAGGGCTGGGTGGTATTGGCACCAACTTACCTCTGAATCTGCTTATTTCTTGTAGCTAACTCAAGAGATCTTCATCAAAGTCATCCAGGAAATTGCCCGTGTGGAGAATTCTTACGGGCCAGACCGCCGATGCTATCTCATGTGAGCTCTTGACATGGACTAGCTGCCTCGTTTCTGCTGCAGGCATTTTCCAGCCTGCAGTGGGGAGCAGACCCTCGGGACTCAACTGGCATGGATGCCAACTATGTCCCTGGCCCTCTGGGCACACACAGTGTGGTACCCTCATTTTTGCACACTCATCCCAGGTTATGGTAGCCTGGTGTTAATGTTTACAAAGGGGCAAGATGTCTCATGGACACTGGCTTCTAACTCCTTGTTTTTCTAAATGAACTTTTACACTCTGCACAGTTGGAATATGAGTCTTGGGCATTGATTATCCAGGACCCACCCTCCTGGGTAGGTTTTGGGTGTTGGTTGGGTGAGGGTGTTGGTTGCTTGGCAGTTCTGAAGTAGAGCTGGCTCCTGGGGTGACAATGTATATTTGCAAATAAACTGAGAAATCCTTTGTTGTTGACTTCCCTGTGTCTGAAGAGAGCTGAGGAGTGATGGTTTCATTATTTAGTATGGAATATTATCTTACTCCTCACTAAGGACCATGACCCTAAGATTTAACTACTGGTCTTTTTCATCTATTTTGCTGTTTCTTTTTTTCTATACTTCAAGTTCTGTTGGGCTGCCCCACCCATCTGAGTTTGTGGGTTCTGAAGCGCCCCCTTAACTACAGATACAGCGCCCTCTAGTGGCCAGCTGCCGTATGCTGAGTAACTTGTCCTGGGACCTTGACACGGAGGAAGGAAGCCCCTTGTTTCTAATGATGTCAAGGAGAGTAGAGGCAGAGACTAGAAGTGTGTGATAACCAAGAAAATTGAGAAAAGCAAGAAGTGATGTGCTTGGTGGACATTAGTTCTGCTAACCCTCATGTCCCTTTCCCCTTTCAATATAGTGTTTTGTTTTTTCTTTTATCCATTTGACTATCTTTTTGTGCCTTGCACACCTTTGGAATTGTGCTATATATTTTAGGTGTTTCTGCCCTATGTGTTGCAGTAGGGTGGGTATTTCAGCTAGTAAGGGGTGGGTCTTTTTATTCTACTTTTAAAATTACAAGTGTGTGGGGATATACACGTGAGTACAGGTATCTGAGGAGGCAGAGGCATCGGATTCCTTGGAGCTGTAGTGGGGAGCTGTAGTGGGGTGGCGGGGTGGTGTAGCAGGGCCGTGGGGTGGTGAGTCACTGAACATGGGTCCTCTGCATAAGCTGAGCTGTGTCTCCAGCCCCTCCCTCTATCTTCCTTGACTACTCACCCACCCCCACAAAGTCGTCCTCAAAGGGAGTTGTAAGGGTTACCTAAGAGGCACTATAGCATAACAGAGGACAAAGACCTTCTCTGCTAAGTACCAGAAGCTGAAGTACCCAGGCAGCCTGAGTTCCCCATTTGTGAAGTGTGGTTAAGCTGGCTTCAGGTGTGGTGGTATGCTGTGGATATCGCCTCTGGAATCCTAGCATTTTTGAAGGCTGAGGAAGGGGACCATCCTGGCCTATATATATAGCTATAGTTCCAGTCCTTTTTTCTGTTTGAAACAGGGTTTCTCTGTGTAGCCCCGGCTGTCTTGGAACTCACTCTGTACACCAGGCCGGCCTCAAACTCAGAGATCTGCCTGTCTTTGTCTCTCCCAAGTGCTAGGATTAAAGGTGTGCACTACCACTGCCCAGCTATTGCTTTTTTAAAAAATATATATATTTTAGAAGTATTATGTGTGTGGGCGTACTGTAACTTTTAAGTGGAAGACAGAAGGCTACTTTCTAGAGTTGATTCTCTTACAATGTGGGTTCTGGGGATCGAACTCAGATCTTCAGGTATGGCAGGAAGTGTCTTATTCATTGAGCCATCTAGTCAGCCCTCAAGAGAGTTTTGATTTGCCTTTTTTTTGGTTTTTCGAGACAGAGTTTCTCTGTGTAGTTTTGGTGCCTATCCTGGATCTCACTCTAGACCAGGCCGGCCTCAAACTCACAGAGATCTGCCTGGCTCTGCCTCCCAAGTGCTGGGATTAAAGGCGTGCGCCACCACCCGGCTTGATTTTCTTTTTTGTAAGAGTTATTTTTAGCTGGGTGGTGGTGGTGGTGCACGCCTTTAATCTCAGCACTTGGAAGGCAGAATCAGGCACATCTCTGAATTTGAGGCCAGCCTGGTCTACAGAGTAAGTTCCAGGACAGCCTGGGCTTCACAGAGAAACCCTGTCTCAAAAAAACAAAACAAAACAAAAAAACCCAAACAAAAGCAATCATCCAAATAATAACAAAAAGATTTATTTTTACTGTATGCTTTTGCCTACATGTACATCTGTGCACCACTCCTGTATTGTGCCCTCTGAGGCCAGAAGAAGGCATCAGATCTCTTGGAAATGGAGTTATGGATAGTTGTGAGCCACTAAGAAGGTGCTGGGAACCAAACCCATGTCAGCTGGAAGATCAACCAGTGAGTGCTCTTAACCACTGAACAATCACTCCAGCCTCTGATTATATTGAAATAGGGACTTGCTAAGTTGCCTAGGCAGGCCTTGGCTCTGCCAATGCTGCTTAATCCTCCCAGTAGCTGGAATTTGATGGATGCCACAAAGCCTGGTATTTAAAAAATAATTTTTTTTTGTTCTTTTGATGAGAGAGAGAGAGAGAGAGTGTGTGTGTGTATGTGTGTGTGTGTGTGTGTGTGTGTGTGTGTGTGCATGTATGTGTGCTCGGTGGTGCAAGTATGGAGGTCAGAAGACAACTCTCAGGAATTGATTCCATCCACTGTCCTGGGGATCAACAGGTGTTATTAGTTATTTTTTTCCTCTTGTTGAGGGGCCTGCCACCCAGCTCCCAAATAAATCAATCACACACAGAGGCTTATTCTTAATTATAAATGCCTGGCCTTAGCTTGGCTTGTTTCTTGCTTGCTTTTCTTAACCTAAATTATTCTGTCTACCTTTTGCCTCTGGGCTTTTTCTTTTTCTTACTTCTGTATATCTTACTTTCACTCTTACTCCATGGATGCCTGGCCCTTTGAGTCTTCCTCCTTCTTTGACTACTTGATCTCCCTTCTTTTCCCTTTCTCTCTTTTCCCACTTCTATTTATTCTCTCTGCCTGCCAGCCCCACCTATCCTTTCTCCTGCCTTGCTATTGGCTGTTCAGCTCTGTATTAGACCAATCAAGTGTCTTAGGCAGGCACAGCAACACAGCTTCACAGAGTTAAACAAATGCAACATAAAGGAATGCAACACATCGTTGCATCATTAAGGCAAATGTTCCACAGCATAAACAAATGCAACACACCTTAAAGTAATATTCTACAACAAACAGGCTTGGTAGCAAACTACCTCCTGAGCCATCTCAGCTCAGAGGATGACTTTGAAGTCCTCATCTTCCTCCTGCCTTCACATTACCACGTTACAGGATTGCAGTGCCAAACTCAGGTGAAGACCTTGTATTAAAAAACAAGCCTTGGGGCTGGAGAGATGGCTCAGTGGTTAAGACTATGTCCTGCTCTTACAAAGGACCTGAGTTCAATTCCCAAGATCAGGCAGCTTACAACTGCTTGTAACTCCAGCTCCACGGAATAGCCCTAACCCTGATATTACATTCACATATACAGACATACACACATGTACATGCACATATTCAGACGTACACATAAAAAAAAAAGCCTTGGAGCTCAGTGGTTAAGAGTGCTTAATGCTTTTGCAGAGGACCTAGGTTTGGTTCCCAGCCCCCACTTAGTAGATCACAACCACCTGTAACTCCAGTTCTAGGGTCTCTGATGCCCTCCTCTGGCCTTTGGAGGTTCCTGCATCTATGTAGTGCACATAAACTCACAAAGATACATACAAATACACATATAAATAAAAATTTTTAAGTGTTTCAGAGGATTAAAGTGGGAAATGAGGGGCCAGGTGTGGCACATGCCTTTAATTCCAGGTCCTAGGAGTCAGAAATAACATAGATCTGAGTTAGAGTAGCCTTGTCTAGATGGCAGATTCCAGGTGGGTCAGGAATGCATAATAAGACCTTGTGTGATTAAAAAAAAAAAAAAAAAAAAAAAGCAAAAATTGAGGTAATATACACAATGTTCAGGGTAGTCCATCATAGATTAATCAGTCAGTACTAGTGTCTTCTAGTGAGGGTCTGCATTTCCTTTTTGGGTACAGGCAGCAGGGAGGTGCCTTCCGCTTTTCAACTCCTAGTTAAACTTCTTTAAAAATTTTGCTGAAATAGGTTTCAGTGACCAGACTAGAAAACATGATGGCAATGTATGGCTAGCAGGATGTGTCTACTACTGATCCTTCCTGCGACCATGGCCTGATCCGCACTGTCCAACATGGAAGGTCACACACAACTAAGTTTAACATAGTTATAATTAAGTTACTGAGTTGCACCACCTACCAACATTTCAAAGCACTGAATAGCTACATGTATCTAATGGCTATATTCCTGTGGATACAGCACCTTTCCATCAGAATGAATCCTGCTGTACTTTTCCCACAAAGGCAGCCTCAGATCGACTTTGCCAACTTCTTTCCACTTAAATTTAAATTAAAAAAAAATTACATTTACTTATTTATCATGTGTGTTTGTGTGTGGGCACAATGGGTATGTGAAGGTCAGAGGACAACGTGTTAGCAGTTCTCTTCTTCCACTAGGTGGGTCACGGGGATTGAACCCAGTTCTTCCATAAGTGCCTTTTACCCTCCAGGCCATCTCACGGCCCTTAAATCTTTTTTTTTTTTTTTTTAAATTTAAATCTAAGGGGAAAATGTTGCCTTTGGTTTGAATTATGGGTTAACTTCTCAGGGTGACTCCTTGGACATTTCCTCTAGTTTAGCCTCAGGCTTTTCGTCTGTAATATGGAGATAATGCCCCAATGCTGGTGAGGAAAAACTAAGACGATATAAAGTATCAAGTACACAGTTAATTTGTCTCAACCTGCTTACTCCATGTATAGTCTATGCAGAAAAGGTAATTCTTTTTTTTTTTCCTCATTCAGACTTGGGGTGAGAGCGCTTGCCAAAGTCTTATCCAGATTAACAATATTCCAGCCAACTATTTAGCGGGGGTGGGGGGGTGGGGGTTCAGAAGATTTTCGGGAAAAATTAAATGCGGGGTGGGATACTCTAGATTAGATAGATGTTTTGGTAGGGAAGTGGTGTTTGGGGACACCGACAGTCCTTCCGCACGAAAGGGTCTTGGAGTCAGAAGACCTGAGACTCGTCCAGCTCTCTTTCGGTCCCCCGAACGTGACGAGAACCCACCCTTTGCAGCGCCAGGCGCCGTGCCTCACTTTCTCCATTTGCGGACTCCAGTTCCCAGGATGCAGAGCAGCGGCCAATCTCCAGGCTCTTTTTCCATTCCTCCCCCCCCTCCCCCCCATGGCAAAGATTGTCCCCAGCCAAAGCATGGAGTTTCAAGGGTCAATGACTTTCGGGAAGAGAATTAAGAAGTGGCTAGAATCCTAGTTTCACCACCCAGAAGGTAAAGGAAGCAGTTCCTGGGCCGCGGCGGAGAAGAAGGGGGGCTTTATTCCCACGTGTCTGCTTGGCGGCCAGCCTGGCGCAGTAGGGGTTAACCTGCGGCGGAGGGATCCCGGAGCGTGTGCGTAGAACTGCAGAGTCACAGCCTTTCCTCCAAGAGGTTGTACCCCTCCGCCGCCCCGCTCCAACACAAAATAGGGCCTCCTCTTCTCCTTTCTCCCCTTCGTGAGTGGGGTTCCCCAGGCAAAAGGCCCCCCCTGGATCTCGCGCCGGACGCTCCTCGAGTCTCTGCGACCGCTGCCCAGCTCTCTGGCGAGGAAATAGCCTCTTCGCAGGAACCACCCTACCGGCCGAGCAGGAGGCGGAGGGGGGGAGGCGGAGCGGCGCCGCGCTGCACTACTTTCCTCTCCGGTTGCAAATGGCTGCCTCGTTCCCCACTTTCCGCTCAGTTTCCTGACCCCCCGGCGCCGGGAGCCGGGGTTGGACCATGCACCTCTAGACCCCCCGCGATCACAGCCTGCCGGGGGTCTAGGGGGTGCTGCGGACCACAGCCGGCCAGGCCGGGGGCGGGGCAGCTCCCGAGGCCAGAGGGGAAGGGAGGCGAGCGCTGGGCCTGGAGCGGCCGGAGGGGAGCGGGCAGAGGGCTCGCACCGCCCGCCCCTTCCTCTTCCTCGCCCACCAACCCTCCTCCCTTCCCCGGGGGGGAGCAGAAGGTGGGGGGCTCGAAGCCGCCGAGGGGGGACGCTCGGGGTCGCGGAGCCCGGCGCTGGGTGTGTGTCAGGTTCGGCCCCGCCGGCTCCGCGTCGCCGTAGCTCGCGCGGCCCCGGGGCGCCGGCCGGGCGGGGAGAGGGGCTCGGCGCGGCTGCGAGGGGTTCACGTTCCATCCGGGCCCGGCGCGCGGCGCGGCGCGGCGCGGCATTCCTTCCGGGCTGCTGGGGAGGCGCCTCGACGTTCCATCTGGAGAGCCTCGACGTTCCGCCCGAGCCCGGCGCGGGCGGCCGGGGCGCTGGCCGGGCCCTAGGACTGGAAGGCCGCCCGGCGACGCGGATGCGGAGCCTGCTCGCCCAAGATCAAAGCCACCGGTGCTCTCTTTGTGTCCGCTCGGGATTCGCCGCCCTGGGGCTGTCCATGGAAACCTAAACTGCTGGAACCCGAGGCAGAGAACCCTTCTTGGCTTCTTGCTTTTTTTTTTTTTTTTTTTTTTTTCCTCTTCTTCGGGGGAAGGGTGGCCACTCCGACCTGGATTTACCGTTCTTGGCCCCCCTAAGCCCCCCCGAGTGGGGGGCGGCTGTGATCGCTCTGGCGGTTGGAGGTCGGGGAGCGGCCCGGGCTCTGGCCATGTTCTCGGATGAAGATTTCTGGATCGCCCTGTGAAGAGGTGAGTGAAGTCCGCCCGGCCTGGGCCCAGAAAGGGTTGGACTGGGGGCACAGCCAGATGGACTATCTTGGCCGGTGCTGGCCTTTAGGTTGGAGAAGGGGGTGCCAGAGCTGGGGAGGCTCCTTTGGCAGGGTCTGTCAAGGGAACCTGAGCCAGCCGCCAAGGCAGAACTGAGGCCTGGTTTCTTGGGGTGTGCCTCTTTTAAGATTGGGGGTTCGGGGAACTACAGGAGTTTGGGAACATGTCCAGATAGCCTCTCTGCCTGTTTATTTTTGTGTTGAGGGAGTTCGACCAAACTAGTACCCAGGCCCCAATGCCAGCACCAATCCCAGGCTGCTGTCCCCCACCCCCACCCCCCAGGGTTCCTTGGGACAGAGCAACCTGGGGCGGGGGTGCCACTGCCAGGTCGGACTTACTGCCAGATTGGACGTTAATGTTGTTCCTACCTAGCCGGGCACCCAAAACAGTCTGGGAAACTCAAGGAGCTCTGGGTCCTTCACTCGGGGAAGGGTGGGTGGAAACTGGTGTGATGAAGTGGGTGGCTGGGGCAAGAAGGAGGTGGGGCTGGGGCAGCTCTGGCCTTGCTGTTCAACTTTAAACTACCCCTGTCTGGCAAAGTGACCCCAGCAAGGCCTAGTGGTGTCTTAACCTGCTTTGCTTCCCCTCCTCTCGGGATGGACATAATCTCCCGGGGATTATAGAGGAGGCCGTTGAGATTTGTTCTCTACGAATGTGGGCTGCAAAAAAAAAAAATGGCTTTTGTCTCCTGCTTTCTCTGGGCCTAGTGTAGAGAGTTAGCTGCCCATGAGTCCCCGGCCAATCCTGAAAGCCCCTGCCAGACCTCTACAATGCTTTTCTGGCCACTGAGTGGTAACTAGTTCTCTGACGCTGTCTCAGCCCTGCAGGATAGGGTGGCCTGTCTCTCTTTGGTGGAGAAATGACTTTATTTGTGCGATTTTCTGCTGGAAGCCAGTGTTTCCACCCCTGGGAGGAGGTGCTGGGGAGAAGGGGTGTGTATATGCCGCAGGAAGGGTGCATCATGAACCTCCAGCCTCAGCCTCTGGGCCCTGGGCTGGGACAGTCTCTCTCACACCTGTCATGTTGCCCAGCAGGGATTTGGCTAGTGCATTTTGCTCCCTCATTTCACCCCCTCCAAAATACGTTTGCTAGATCTCTTTGAGTCTTGTCTCAGAAAGGGGAAAGTGGGGGTTCTGTCCTTGGAAGATTTCTGAGAGGTAGCACAGGGGTGGTGGAGTAAGAGGAGCTGTCACCTGTGGTCTCTGATTCTGTTGTCTGCTCTTCAGTGACTTCCTCCGGTGGCACTGTACCTTGTTAGCTCTAGCTACCCCCTAGGCTGACCTGTCCCAGGGACAATGTGTTACCATTTGGCTCCTTCCTAGAGGGCTGCCCGAAAATGGGGGTGGGGAGAGGTGTGGTTTGATTCTCTAGCTGGGAACCAGGAAGTCCTGAGTCCCACTGAAGAGCTGTTCACTCAAGGGCCTACTCCAGCCTTTCACCCCTCCAAGCCTCCATTTCCTCCCTCGAAGAGAAAATGGAGTGAAATCTATTGGTCTAGGGTGAACACAGGAAGGCGAGTGGCTGAGTAAATCTCTGCCTCCTTTCTTGCTGGTTTGGGCCTTTTAGATGTAAAGCTAAGAGGTGTCCACTCCTAGAACTGAGGAAGCCTGGCCCAGGTACTAGCCTAGTTTCGATCCAGGGAAAACCCCCTTGGGATCTATGTGTGTGTCTGTGTTTACTGGCTGTGAATGGTGGGCTGGAATGATGGGCCGGGGGAACCTTTTGCCTTTATTTGTTTAAATGCCTCCAGGGAATTGATTGCCTTGGCACTTGGTGTTTCGGTCAAGATGCTGGGCTGCAGGCTTGAGGAGTCGGGCTAAGGTTTCAGGCTTCTTGGAGATGCTCCTGGGTTCTTGACGGCACAGAAAAAGGACAGGTGGCTCTTTGCTGTTCAGTCTTCCATAGCTCCATGAGTAAGATTGTACCTCTTACTTTGGAGGGCATTGCTACTCTGTTCCTCAAGGCTAGATGAAGAAGGTAGTTTCTGTACCTTCTTGGGCAGTGCTAGCTTTACCAGCCTGAGAAGGCTGTGCTTGGGGGAGGAGGGCAGAGGAATTTGTCCCTCTGGCCTTGTGTGAGGCGGTCCTCCTCCTACCCACTCTATTATCACTGTCGCTTCCCATTTGTCTCTGTTGGTGGCTCCCTCGGCCTCAACTCTGAGAACAAAGTTGGTGGAGGATCTGTAAGGAAAATATGGTGAGATGCAAACATTTAGAGAACTTTTGAAGTCCTCTTGGACCTTTGGTGTGACCGTTGAGTAGGAAAAGGGGCCTGGCTTGAGTCTTGACCTTCAGTTCCCACTTCCCACAGGTGGTTTGCATGGGCCTCTTGAAGTTCAGAGCGCTTTTCTGTAAGCTGGCCAGATAAGCATCCTGCTTTCCTTTAAACGGTCTGTTGTGTGTAAGGTTTGGGAAAGAGGTGATTTGGGAATGGAGGTCATGGGTGTCAGGTGAGGCCTTGAGTCCCTTACCCGGGAGGGGCTGAGTGTTAGGAGGAAGGAGAGTAACCCCCTTTACTTTGACACGGCATTTGGAAATGAAATTGTGAACTTAGGAATAGTGATAGCGCGTTCCCGGGGAACTGATTTCTGATCTGGGGCACTGAGTGTTTCCCTTGTTATTCAGCCCCAAGTGCTTGACTGGGATGTGTGCTGTCCGGTTTTAGAGGACAGGATTATCTGTACCCAGGTTGGTGTCATCACTGGCTGGATGGAGGAGAGGAAAAGATGGGAGATGAACTTCTCAGACTTTCATTATTTGCAGTTCTTTTTCTGGGATTCTCCACACCTCACCAGCACCTTCTTTAGATGTACTCGACTCTCTGATTAAGAAAAGGGCCCACCCTCTTCCCTAACAGCTGTAGGCACTTTGCCTTTCAACCTTCTTATGTAGGGTTCCTTTCCGAGTCATAATCTTGGTGATTCTTGGCTGTTTAAACATTTTAACTGTGTAGCTCTGACTAGCCTGGAGCTCTCTGTGTAGATCAGGCTGGCCTCTAACTTGCAATGATCCCTCTGCTTCTGTCTCCCAAGAAATGGCATTGTTGTATATGCCACCAGGCCTGGCACCTCTGTAATTCTTACTCCTGACTCCTTTCAATCTTTGTATACTACTTACTATGCTGCCTTGGAGGGCAAAGAAAATTCACCCAATGTTCTGTGGGTCTTAACCTTTTCAGATGTAGACTTGTGTATTTCACTGGGTTTTGATATGTGCTGGACTCTGAGAGGGGAGAGAGGGACCGTTAACTCTGTGAGTATTTGGAAACCCTGCTTGACTTAAGAGGAAGGAAACTATTCTGCTCTGTTATGTCCTGCCCCATTTAGCCCTCCTCCAAGTGGCAATGTGCTTCCTGAGACTACAACTCCCAGCATGCTTAGCCCCAGGCCTGCTTACACATGCTCAGTAACTCTTAAGGCCCACTTCTGTTAACTACTAGGAGCATCTAAGGAAGAAGGGCAGTTGGCGTTGCTAAGGGCAACAACCTGAGGCCTTCATGCTAGGTGAGACCCAGGGCTTATTTAGGCCTAGGGCCAGTGGTGGTCCTGAGTTTTCATGCCTGGCAATTGAGGGCTCCGTCTGTTGTGTTTGCGATGTCCTTGTTGAAAGCAGTGGAGATCTATTCATAGCTAGCCTTTAGTTTAGTACTGTGTTGAATCTCTTGCAAGACCCTAGGACTCTGCCTTTTGAGAGAGGGATTTTGGCATGACTGAGACTTCTGGGTCATGATTAACCAGTGGGTTGCTACTTTCAGGACTGTAGGGTGGTAGCTGACTGGAGACCCAAGGATAAAGGCCAGGGAGTAGGGCCCAGGAGTTAAGATGAGACAATGGATTGTACTAAATGTAACTGGATGTATTTTGAGTTGGATGTGATTGCCCTAGGGATTGTTACAGAGGAGGGTGGAAGTGGGGGAGTGGAATAGATACCTTGAGAATCCAGGATGAAAGAAGGAGGTATGTAAACATGAGGTATGGGAAGAACTGGGATAAGACTTAGAATGATTTTACTTGTCATTGCTATAGAGGTTTGTAGACAAGGGTTGTCTCTGATGTCTAAAGGGTTTGATTACCATTAGCTGACTTCTTATAATGGGAAAAAGGCTCATTGGAGAAGTTTACTGGATATACAAGTATCTTTTGGCACCAACAGGTCTCCCCGAGAGGGCCCTGCCCAGTCGGAGAGAGGGATGGACAGCCAGAAGCCGCCTGGTGAAGATAAAGATTCAGAACCGGCAGGTGAGTAGGATAAATTCTGAGTTTGCTGACAGCGTTTGGCTCCTCATGGTAGCCCTTTATTTCTGGTCCTGGCACAAGTCCTGGCTAAGTCTGTAATAGACAGGTAATTGAAGAACTTGGTTCTTTGAGACAAACGTTGAAATGCCATCTCTGTGAGCTGCTGAGGTTTTAGATAATTTCATGTATCTGATGAGTGAACTTGGTAATCTAAGTCAGGCTGACACATACTCTTCTGTCTGTTTATTCAGCTGATGGACCTGCAGCCTCTGAGGAGCCAGGTGCCACTGAGCCAGACCTTCCTAACCTGTGTGTTGGGGAGGTCTCTGTCCCCAGTTCTGGGAGTCCCAGGCTTCAGAAGCCTCCTCATGACTGCAGGTAATTTGTTTGTGGAAAACGGGACTTTCTGGACACATAAAGATTTGGTTGGAGTGTCTAGGGCTTTGCAGAAGAGGATGTAGGAGAATGAAATGAGTAGGATGCATGGGTCTGCCAGTCCTGGGGTTCTCAGAGGCTGGCCCAGTGCTGATGTTTGTGTGTCCACAGTGGGGGTCCAGCACGGCGTTGTGCTCTCTGTAACTGCGGAGAGCCCAGCCTGCACGGGCAGAGAGAGCTACAACGCTTTGAATTGCCATTTGACTGGCCCCGGTCTCCAGTGGTGTCCTCTGGGGGAAACCCGGGGCCCTGTGAAGCAGTGCTGCCCAGTGGGGACCTGTCACAGATTGGTTTCCCTGAGGGCCTTACACCTGCCCACCTAGGAGAACCTGGAGGTAAGTGAGAGAGGTGGTGGGTTAGGAAGCAGGGTGGAGACTGGGCAGCCTTGAGCTACTGGTCCCTGTGTTAATTTGTTCCTGTCTGTCGACCTCTTCCCACCTATGAAGGGCACTGCTGGGCACATCACTGGTGTGCTGTGTGGTCAGCAGGTGTATGGGGACAGGATGGCCCGGAACTGCGTGGTGTGGACAAGGCCATCTTCTCAGGGATCTCACAGGTAGGGCTGAGGTCAGAGGATTGCGTGGGTGAAGGCAGGGCTGGTGGGCTTGCGAGAGTCAGGCAGAGTGGGCCCTATTGAGGACGGACGGACGGACGGACGGACGGGCTGCTGGCTCAGCTTCCTCCAGAGAGAGGCGGCTGCCTCTGAGGCTTCTCTCCATCCTCACAGCGCTGCTCGCACTGCGCCAGGTTCGGTGCCTCCGTTCCTTGCCGCTCGCCGGGATGCCCACGGCTTTACCACTTTCCGTGTGCCACTGCCAGCGGTTCCTTCTTATCCATGAACACACTGCAGCTGCTCTGCCCAGACCACAGAGAGAGGGCTGCACACTTGGGTGAGAAGTCAGAGTCTTTGGATAGAGAGCAAATGAAGGGCCAAGTGTGCCCTGGATCTGGTACTCCACCAGGCATTCTTCAAAGTCTGAAATTGCAGAGTCCTTCTGTCCCGGGAAGATAGATGGAAACTTTGTGCGTACAGGGGCTTTGCCTGTATTTATTAACTCCGCTATCTGCAGTGCCAAAAATAGTACCTGGCGTCTATTTGATGGGCACTTGGTAACTTTCTTATTCTGTGTCCATGAAGTGCCTGGTAGCTATCCATCACTGTGTGCGCACCCCACAGCTGACCTGCACTGTGCCTTCCTTCCTGCTGCAGAGGAGGCTCGCTGTGCAGTGTGTGAGGGACCGGGGGAGCTGTGCGACCTCTTCTTCTGTACCAGCTGTGGGCATCACTATCATGGAGCCTGTCTGGACACTGCTCTGACTGCCCGCAAGCGTGCCGGCTGGCAGTGCCCTGAATGCAAAGAGTGCCAAGCCTGCAGGTAAGAGCGAGGGCTGAAGTGTAGCCACATGCAAAGTGTGAGCAGAGGATGATGTGAGAAGGGATCCCATAATGCGTCCTGTACCCCTCAGGAAACCTGGGAATGATTCTAAGATGTTGGTCTGTGAGACCTGTGACAAGGGGCATCATACTTTCTGCTTAAAGCCACCGATAGAGGGACTGCCTGCCCACTCCTGGAAGTGTGCGGTGAGTGTCTTCTGATGCCACCTCCCTCAGCAGCTCCAGAGTTGCCCGCACCCCCCAGCCGTGTGTACGCCTGCCCTGCACTGTGGGGTGACTAGTGCCCGTCTCGCCCGCTTGCTTCCCCAGACATGCCGAGTGTGCCGGGCCTGTGGGGCGGGCTCAGCAGAGCTGAGTCCCAACTCTGAGTGGTTTGAGAACTATTCACTCTGTCACCACTGTCACCAAGCCCAGGGACGTCAGCCTGTCGCTTCCGTTGCCGAGCAGTGCCCACCTGTCCGTGGCAGGTAAGTGGCGTAGACTGAGACAGCAGAAGGGGCCATGTGAGAAGTGGACAGTCCGCAGTGCGGTCCACGGGATATGCCTCGCCCCAGGACGCTCTCTGGAGCCGTTAGCTGCTGAGAGCCACAGTGCCTGCTCCCTGTGCCCTCTGCAGATTTCCACCCCCAGAGCCTGGTGACGTCCCCACTGATGAGCCCGGTGCTCTCTACGTTGCATGCCAACGGCAGCCAAAGGGTGGGCACGCGACCTCTATGCAACCCAAGGACCCGGGGCCCCTGCAACGTGAAGCCAAACCACCAGGTGAGTAGGGTTTAAAGGTCCCTGAAATTAATCTTTTGTTCTGTGGCAAGAGACAGTTTTTGCTTTGCCTCAGACCCTTCACTTTTTGTGGAGTCAGATCTGAGCTAGGTAGGAATAGAATATGTTGTGTCTACAGGGAGAGCAGGGACCCAACTTGAAGCCCAGTTGGAGGCTCCCCTAAACGAGGAGATGCCACTGCTGCCCTCGCCTGAGGAGTCACCCCTGTCCCCACCACCTGAGGAGTCACCTACATCTCCACCACCCGAGGCCTCACGCCTGTCCCCGCCACCTGAGGAATCACCTGAATCTATGCTACCTGAGACATCACGCCTGTCCCCACCGACTGAGGAGTCACCCCTGTCTCCGCCACCTGAGGAGTCTCCTTTGTCTCCCCCACCTGAGGCCTCACCTTTTTCTCCATTGGAGGAGTCACCCCGATCTCCTGCACTAGAGACGCCCCTGTCCCCACCGCCTGAAGCCTCACCCCGGTCTCCACCATTTGAGGAATCTCCTCTATCTCCTCCACCTGAGGAATTGCCCACTTCCCCACCACCTGAAGCTTCTCGCCTGTCCCCTCCACCTGAAGAGTCACCCATGTCCCCTCCACCTGAAGAGTCACCCATGTCCCCTCCACCCGAGGCATCTCGTCTGTTCCCGCCATTTGAAGAGTCTCCTCTATCCCCTCCGCCTGAAGAGTCGCCTCTGTCCCCCCCTCCGGAGGCATCACGCCTGTCCCCACCCCCTGAGGACTCACCGATGTCCCCCCCACCTGAAGTATCACGCTTCTCCCCGCTGCCTGTCCTGTCACACTTCTCCCCCCTGCCTGAGGTATCACGGCTGTCCCCACCACCTGAGGAATCTCCCCTGTCCCCACCACCTGAGGACTCTCCCACCTCACCTCCACCTGAGGCTTCACGACTGTCCCCTCCCCCTGAGGACTCTCCCACCTCACCTCCACCTGAGGACTCCCTCATGTCCCTACCGCGGGAGGGGTCGCCCTTGTCACCACAGCCTGAGGAACCGAGACTCTGCCCTCAGCCCGAAGAACCATACTTGTCTCCTCAGCCCGAGGAGCCCCAACTCTGTCCCCAGCCCGAGGAGCTGCCCCTGTCTCCACAGTCTGAGGAGCCATGCCTGTCCCCTATGCTTCAGGAACCACACCTGTCCCCTCAGCCTGAGGAACCACACCTGTCCCCTCAGCCTGAGGAACCACACCTGTCCCCTCAGCCTGAGGAACCACATCTGTCCCCTCAGCCTGAGGAACCACATCTGTCCCCTCAGCCTGAGGAACCACATCTGTCCCCTCAGCCTGAGGAACCACATCTGTCCCCTCAGCCTGAGGAACCACATCTGTCCCCTCAGCCTGAGGAACCACACCTGTCCCCTCAGCCTGAGGAACCACATCTGTCCCCTCAGCCTGAGGAACCACATCTGTCTCCCCAATCTGAGGAGCCTTGCCTGTCCCCCATGCCTGAGGAGCCATGCCTATCCCCCAAGCCTGAGGAACTATACCAATCTCCTCGGCCTGAAGAACCTCCTGAGGAACCAAGCCAGTGCCCTGCACCCGAGGAGTTGCCCTTGTTTCCCCCAGCTGGGGAGCCACCTTTATCCCCCATGCTCGGAGAGCCAGCCCTGACTGAGCCTGGGGACCCATCTCTGTCCCCACTTCCTGAGGAGCTGCCCTTGTCCCTCTCGGGGGAGCCAGCCTTGTCACCTCAGCTGATGCCACCAGGTAAGGAGCTGTTAATGTCCCCTCTCTGGGCCAGTCTTAACCCTTTATGGCACATCTAATCTAAGAGCCTCTCTTTTTCTCTTGTCCCTCAGATCCTCTTCCTCCTCCGCTCTCACCCATTCTTCCAGCGGCGGCTCCTCCTGCCCTGTCTCCTTTGGGGGAGTTAGAGTACCCCTTTGGTGCCAAAGGGGACAGTGACCCTGAGTCACCATTGGCTGCCCCCATTCTAGAGACACCTATCAGCCCTCCACCAGAAGCTAACTGCACTGACCCTGAGCCTGTACCCCCAATGATCCTTCCGCCATCTCCAGGCTCCCCGATGGGACCTGCTTCTCCTATCCTCATGGAATCCCTCCCTCCACCTTGTTCTCCACTCCTCCAGCATTCCTTGCCTCCTCCAGCCTCTCCTCCCCGATGTTCACCTCCCGCTCTGCCACTGTCTATCCCCTCCCCACTGAGTCCTGTGCAGAAGGCAGTGGATGTCTCAGATGACGCTGAGCTGCATGAGATGGAGACTGAGAAAGGTCCAGAACCTGAGTGCCCAGCCTTGGAACCCAGGGCCACCAGCCCTCTGCCATCCCCTATGGGGGACCTTTCTTGCCCTGCCCCCAGCCCCGCCCCTGCCCTGGATGACTTCTCTGGCTTGGAAGAAGACACAGCCCCTCTAGATGGGACTGATGCTAACACTTCACAGTCACAGACTGGACAGACCCCTGGCAGTTTGGCTAGTGAACTTAAAGGTTCTCCTGTGCTCCTGGACCCTGAGGAGCTGACCGCTGTGACCCCTATGGAGGTCTATGGCCCGGATTGCAAGCAGGCAGGACAGGGCTCACCCTGTGAAGAGCAGGAGGAGCCTGGTGCACCAGTGGCCCCCATGCCGCCCACTCTCATCAAATCAGACATTGTTAATGAGATCTCTAATCTGAGCCAGGGCGATGCCAGTGCCAGTTTTCCTGGTTCAGAGCCCCTGCTGGGCTCTCCTGACCCTGAGGGGGGCGGCTCCTTGTCCATGGAGCTGGGCGTGTCTACAGATGTTAGTCCAGCCCGAGATGAGGGCTCCCTGCGCCTCTGTACCGACTCACTGCCAGAGACTGATGACTCACTGTTATGTGACGCTGGGACAACTGTCAGCGGGGGCAAAGCGGAGGGTGACAAAGGGCGGCGGCGCAGCTCCCCGGCCCGGTCCCGGATCAAACAGGTAAGAGGCCCCTCGGCCACCGGGGGTCAGTTACAGCCCTGAGCTGCCTTTGCACCTGACTTTCTGCAGTCTGGATCCACACGGAGATCTTTTAGTCCAGCTTTGCCTAGCGGACTCCTGTGCGTAGAGGAGGAGGTGATTTACCCAGGTCCACGGGCTCTCAGAAGTAGAACTGGGACCCAAAGCTTGGTCCTCTCCAGTTATCTTTGTTACTGTTTTTGTCCTTATCCCACGTTCTCCATTCTTGGAAGCAGAGATTGACTGGTCACTACTTGCTGCTATTTGGAAACTTGGCTTTTTTCCTGTCCTCTAAGTGGGACCTCTAGGTCTTTGTTTTCCTCCTTAAACTGTTCCCCTCGCTTGGCCGTCCTTCTTCCCTCCAGGCTTGTGGGCCCAGCATGCTTGGCCCTGTAACGGTCGCCTTCCCTCACTCAGGGTCGTAGCAGTAGTTTCCCAGGAAGACGCCGGCCTCGTGGAGGAGCACATGGCGGCCGAGGGCGAGGACGGGCTCGACTGAAGTCCACCACTTCTTCCGTTGAGACCTTGGTAGTAAGGACAGGCTTTGCAAACCCCCCCCCCCCCCCCCCCCCCCCCCGTGCTTCACATGCTGCTTCAGAGTTAAGCACGCTGAAAATCCTGTCCGCCCTTTGCCTACTAGTCCAGGGCTTGACGACTTGGCCCTGAGGGTTCTTGAACTTGCTGTTGGGCCCCAGCTGGGAAATTGGAGTGTCACTGGTTACTTGACAAGGCCTTCATGTTAGCCAGGAATTCACACCTTTTTCCTGGGTCTGAGGGAGAGGATGGCTGAGCTGGGGCAGGCTTCTCTTCTTCACTTTCTGCAACTTTCTCCTTATGAAGGTGGCTGATATTGATAGTTCTCCTAGCAAGGAGGAGGAGGAGGAAGATGACGACACCATGCAGAATACGGTGGTTCTCTTCTCCAACACGGACAAGTTTGTTCTGATGCAGGTACCGCACTGAACTGGGATGGCCCAGCTTTAGCGGGGAGAGTGGGCATGCAGAGCTCGCTCTGTGTGTGTGCGAACTAACTTTGCTGAGACGGTGGATGGGAAAAACCAGGGACCCACTTTGCTTCCTGGGATACCGAGCTAGTGAGGACGTGGATGGTGAATGCCCGAATAGGGAAAAGGGCAGAGATGTAGTCCAGGTAGCCTGTATATGTTGCCACTTAAATAAATCATCTGGAAACTGCTGTGTTTTTGTCACATACAAGTCTTAACAGACAGATCTTTACCCTGGCTTGTCTTCCTGTGACTTCTTATGTTTACTGATGCTGGACTATATTTCTGACTACTTGACCAGGCCAGGAGGGGCATCTTAGGGAGGTGCATCTTTTATGAGTTGAGTGGGAGGTGCAAGGGTCCCCTGGTGACCTACTAAGTGTCTTAATGCTGTGACATGGGCTTCTGATTACTTTCCTCGTCTTTGGCTGGGACCTGGGATAGCGAAGAGACTTACTCGCAGGGCTAGATAGATGACTTAGGAGTAATGCTTGCTCTGCATTACAGAGGACCTGAGTTCAAAGCCCCGATAGTTATTAAAAGCCGGACATGGCTGTACATGCCTGGAACCTCAAGTGTTAATGGGGAGGAGACAGGTGGGTCCCAGGAGCTTGTTGGCTAGCCAGCTTAGTTGGGATTGTGAGCTTCAGGTTTGTTGAGAGACCATTTCAAAAAAATAGGCTAGAAAGTAATAGAAGAAACCCTTGACTTCTTCCACGTTACCCCCACCCCCGTACAGAGAGAGACAGAGAGACAGAGACAGAGGCAGGGGCAGAGGCATGCTTGGACGTTGGGGTTTCTGTGTTTCCACAGGACATGTGTGTGGTGTGTGGCAGCTTTGGCCGGGGGGCCGAGGGCCACCTCCTGGCCTGTTCCCAGTGTTCCCAGTGCTACCACCCTTACTGTGTCAACAGCAAGGTGAGTTCAGGGCCCAAGATGGACGGGCTGCAGTCAGGGTCAGTCCTCTGTTACCTAGTCCCCATTCTTGCCACACTGTTTTTATTATTTTATGACATTTATCTGGTGGCGGGCGGGCGGGGCGGGGAGGAGTGCATGTGTCAGGGTGTAATTGTTGAGGTCAGAGGACAGCTTGTGGCATCATTTCTTTCTTTCCACCATGTTGATCCCAGAGATCAAACTGAGGTCATCAGACTTGGTGGCAAGGGCCTTTATCTGCTGAACCACCTCATCAGCCTGACACACGATGTCTTAAGTGGCTGTGGGTCTTGGAAGTCACTGTTTACTTGTCACTGCCGTCAAACTTGGAGAAAAGTGCCTGGGAATTCAGGGTGGACTTTGTAGTTGCTTTGCGTAGACAAAACTTGCTGGTGGAATTCAGTCCATTGTGTAAATGCTGACAACTTTACTAGTAGCATGGTATATGGTGAGGAGTGGTGGCGTGTGCCTTTAGTCCCAGCCAGAGGCAGGCTGATCTTTTGTGAGTTTCAGATCAGCTTGGTCTACATAGTGAGCTCCAGGACAGCCAGAGCTACATAGTTGAGACCCTGTTTCAACAAAACCATAGTATAGTCTGGAAGTAGATCATAGAATCAAAAGCGTAACTGCACATCTACAAATAGATAGCAATTCTTTAACCTAAGGCATAATCGATCCTTTGGAGTTTTTCCAAAACTATTACTTTATTAATTAATCCACTACTAACATTTACTAGCTTGTATTAGTAACAGGTTCTAAAAGGTGAAGAAAAGCTGAGGGAAATGAACCTTGATCTGTCATCAGTTTGGGGAGGCTGCTTAGTAAAGGACGTATAATTCATTCTCGGAGTGGGGCTGTGACTAGTGAGATTGTTCTCTGTCAGCAGAGATCCCGGGAGCCTCTGGAGACTCACCTTTGGGGGCAAAGAGTGCTCTGTACACATCTCTCTGCTCAGAGGTCTGGCTTTCAGCCGTATAAACCCTGTGCCTCCCCCTGCCCCCAACACACCTGAGGCATCTCTCTCTGTACCAGATCACCAAGGTGATGCTGCTGAAAGGCTGGCGTTGTGTGGAGTGCATTGTGTGCGAGGTTTGCGGCCAGGCCTCCGACCCTTCACGCCTGCTGCTCTGTGATGACTGTGACATTAGCTACCATACATACTGCCTGGACCCTCCACTGCTCACTGTGCCCAAGGGTGGCTGGAAATGCAAGTGGTAAGGAGCCTGGGAGTCTTTCAAGGGTCTGACAGGAGGTGGTGAATGGGCCTGAGATACAGTTAGAATAGATACAGTGTTGAATGCGTGATAACCTGTGTTTAGGAAACCAGCTTGCTGATTTGGTTCTCAGTGGGAGTACCTCCGGGAACCTAGGTTAGGTGCTGAAGGTCCTTCTGCCTCTCCTAGGTGTGTGTCTTGTATGCAGTGTGGGGCCGCCTCCCCTGGCTTCCACTGTGAATGGCAGAATAGTTACACACATTGCGGGCCCTGTGCCAGCCTGGTGACTTGTCCTGTCTGTCATGCCCCCTATGTGGAGGAAGACCTGCTAATCCAGTGTCGCCACTGTGAACGGTGAGAGCGTCCCTTTCTCCCCACGTCTGCTCCATGTGCTGGTGTCGGCTGGCTTTGCCTGTGCTCATCCCTGTCTCCCTCCTCCCAGGTGGATGCATGCTGGCTGTGAGAGCCTCTTCACAGAGGATGAAGTGGAGCAAGCTGCTGATGAAGGCTTTGACTGTGTTTCCTGTCAGCCCTATGTGGTGAAACCTGTGGGTGAGTGTCGGCGGGCGCGGAAGAAGCCAAGAGGACGGGTGTCTCTTGCCTCGGGGCGGGCCCTAAGCTGCCTATGGTTGTCCTTCTCACAGCACCAGTTGCCCCACCAGAACTGGTACCAGTGAAGGTAAAAGAACCAGGTAAGTCCCAGAGATTCTGAGTATCCAAACCAGCTAAGACATCTCTGCTCCATCCTCAGGGTAAATGGCCCACACCTAAGGCCACTTACCAAGTTAGTGGCCACGTTATGGTTAGAACCAAAGCTTCCCAATCTCCAGATGTGGCCCTTTTGCCAGGCAAGTCAGCTTCTCTACTGCAAGAATCTCATTCAAGAGAGCACACCTTTCTTCTTACAGAGGGGACAAGGTCATCTCTTCTGTCACAATGTGGGCAGCGCTCTTGCAGTCTAGGGTGCTGTGTGCTGGCGTCCAGCAAGTAGAGTCCTTCCTGTCCCTTGACAGCTTGAGATTTCATTGGGTGAACCCGTGGTTAATAGGTTCTGGACACAGCTTGGTTTCTGCACTAACAGACTCATGTCAGTGTCCCTCAGTCACGGTTGGGGCCTCCGGTGGTGGCTGTTATCCAGCCCTTGGAGTCTGACAGGACCTGTCTGTCACTGCTTATGTCTCAGCGGGGAACAGGGGTTGAAATTTGGAGTTTTGGTTTCCCTGGGCCTCCGTCCAGGGGTCATATGTTCTTCCCTGTTGTCCAGAGCCCCAGTTCTTTCGCTTCGAGGGTGTGTGGCTGACAGAAACTGGCATGGCCGTGCTGCGTAACCTGACCATGTCACCACTGCACAAGCGGCGCCAGCGGCGAGGACGGCTAGGCCTCCCAGGCGAGGCAGGGCTGGAGGGTTCTGAGCCCTCAGATGCCCTTGGCCCTGAGGACAAGAAGGATGGGGACCTGGACACTGACGAGCTGCTCAAGGGTGAAGGTTGGGCTGGGGAATCTCAGAGAAAGGCAGATAGTGGGAAAGGCCCAGCCCACTGGAGTTGGGATGTTGGGTAGGGCCCCACGGCCACTGCCGGTCCTCCCCTAGCGCTGTTGGTCTTGCTCAGGTGGCTCTGTGGCAGGTTGTTGGGTTCCCTCATTCAGGATGACAAGGATTCAAGGGCCCACTGCTCTGACCTGCCTCCGTCTCTGGTGTTCCGTGCAGGTGGGGTGGAGCACATGGAGTGTGAGGTTAAGCTAGAAGGTCCTGCCAGCCCTGATGTAGAACCTGGCAGAGAGGAGACAGAGGAGAGCAAAAAACGCAAGCGCAAACCCTATCGGCCGGGTAAGGGCCCGGAGTGGGTTGAGGGGCAGTAAGAGGCCACTCACCAGGTCTCCGGTGGCTTCTCGTCCCTAATTCTGATTTCTCACAGGCATTGGTGGTTTCATGGTACGGCAGCGGAAAACTCATGCACGTGTGAAAAGGGGGCCTGCGGCACAGGCGGAGGTGTTGAGTGGGGATGGGCAGCCCGACGAGGGTGAGATGGGTGAGGGCACCAGTGGGGTCCGGGAAGAAGGCGGGGATCACAGCATGGGGCAGTGCCAGAGAGACAGGGTGTGCATTTACTTGAAGGGAAGAGTGGGTGGAGGGTCTGACTGGTTGGGGAAGGAGTAGGTAGGGAGGGTCTCCCTCCAGAGTTGACTGTGGCATGCCTGGTGTCTCCAGAAAGTCTGAGCCCCTCTTTGTCCGCAGTGATGCCTCCTGATCTGCCTACAGAGGGCTCTGTGGAGCCAAGCGTTGCTGAGGGGGACGAGAAGAAGAAGCAGCAGCGGAGAGGGCGCCGGAAGAGCAAGCTGGAGGACATGTTCCCTGCTTATTTGCAGGCAGGTTTCAGGCTCCCCAGGGCAGGTGAGGGGAGGTCTGCACCTACAGGGCATCAAGAAACCATTTCTCTCGACTCCTCCCTCCTGCAGGAAGCCTTCTTTGGGAAGGAACTGCTGGACCTGAGTCGGAAGGCCCTTTTTGCAGTTGGGGTGGGCCGGCCAAGCTTCGGATTGGGAACTCAAAAGCCCCGGGGGGATGGAGGTTCAGAGAGGAAGGAGCTCACTGCCTCGCACAAAGGTCAGTTGATGGAAATGACATGTTCTGAGGTGTCTAGCCTACCTTTCTGCTTCGTAGTTGGCAGAGGTGTCTGGGGGAGGGCTGGTCAACTAAGGGTGGTCCAAGGGCCCCATTCTGGGCGTCAGGTGTCATTCATCTCTGATTGGAGTGGAACTGTTGCTCGTAGGAGACGATGGTCCAGATGTTGCAGATGAAGAGTCCCGTGGTCTTGAGGGCATGGCTGATATACCAGGTGAGGACTGGTGGGGGAATTGGGTCCTGTCTTGGTTTTGCTTGTTATCAGTTGGCTCTGCTCCTAAACACTGCCAGAGCTGGAGCCTGGACACTGTTCCATGCCTCTGTGGTTCGTGGCCTGTGTGGTACCTCATACCTCTGTGACTGGTGGTTTTCCTCTGGAAGTTGCAGGGCTTGAGGATGGGGGTGTAAAGGCATCGCCAGTGCCCAGTGACCCTGAGAAGCCGGGTACCCCAGGTGAAGGAATGCTTAGCTCCGACTTAGACAAGATTCCCACAGAAGGTAAGGCTTGTGTGTGGTCTTCTTCTCTACAAGAGTCCTCCATGGGAAGAGAAGGTCCTGTCTGTGGAACTGCCCTAGCCTGCTCTGGTGGGAGAGTCCTGCTTGCCCTCCTTGGCCATGACCATTTGTAGATCTGTGGTGTCATATGAACCTCATACTCAGCACTGTGTCCTTTTCCCACAGAACTGCCCAAGATGGAGTCCAAGGACCTGCAGCAGCTCTTTAAGGATGTGCTGGGTTCAGAAAGAGAGCAGCATCTGGGTTGTGGAACTCCTGGCCTAGAAGGCAACCGTACACCACTGCAGAGGCCCTTTCTCCAAGGTGCTTAGGACAGGGCTGATGCAAGTGGCCAAGCCAGCCTTGTCCCTGGGTGGGCTGTTGCTCCTTTCCCTCCCTGATCCTGGTGTTGTTGCAGGTGGACTCCCTTTGGGCAGCCTCCCTTCCAGCAGCCCAATGGACTCCTACCCAGGCCTCTGCCAGTCTCCCTTCTTGGATTCTAGGTTGGTATCTACGCTTAACTGTCATGGGTGGTCCCTATTGGCGTTTCCCTCTGCATGGTCCCTGCCTCGCCTCCTTTTGATTCTGAGCCACTAAAGAGACAACTCCTTTGCTCTTCCTACTCCCTTCTTAGTGGCCTTCCTCAAGAGCAGTGACTTGGGCTCTGGGTGGTTTGTCTGGGGTGGGTCTTGAAATCCTTACCCTCTGTGACTCTCTGCCCCTGCGCCCCAGGGAGCGCGGGGGCTTCTTTAGCCCAGAACCCGGTGAGCCAGACAGCCCTTGGACAGGCTCAGGGGGCACCACCCCCTCCACTCCCACCACCCCTACCACAGAGGGTGAGGGCGACGGACTGTCCTATAACCAGCGGAGTCTACAGCGTTGGGAAAAAGATGAGGAACTGGGCCAGCTCTCCACCATTTCACCTGTACTCTATGCCAACATTAACTTTCCTAATCTCAAGCAAGATTACCCAGGTACCTCTGGGCGAGGGCAAGAGAAACAACCTGGCAGGTGGAGGGGTCACCTGCCAAGCCTCCTCTGACTTACCGTTCTGCTCTCCAGACTGGTCTAGCCGATGTAAACAAATCATGAAGCTCTGGAGAAAGGTTCCAGCTGCTGACAAAGCCCCCTACCTGGTAAGACAGCGTGGGCCAGCCTGAGACCTGACGTGGAAGCATCTGAAGGGTTTCATCTCAGTTCCTTCTCTCCTTCTGTCCCTCTTCTCTTGTCTCCTGTCATCCCTAAAGCAGCTGGGTTAGGAAGGACTGAGTTCTGAGGAGGCAATGTGGCAAGGTTGGGGGCTGGGCTTGAGGCTAAGCACAAAGCGCTCTGTTGTGTCCTTGTCCCTCAGCAAAAGGCCAAAGATAACCGGGCTGCTCACCGCATCAACAAGGTGCAAAAGGTGAGTGGGCGGCTGTCGTCGGGCGGGGGCCGTGGTCATTCCTCAGGAAGCAGTCTGACTGTTGGACTTGGTCTCCCTCTGTAGCAGGCTGAGAGCCAGATCAACAAGCAGGCCAAGGTGGGCGACCTAGCCCGTAAGACTGATCGACCGGCCCTCCATCTCCGCATTCCCTCCCAGCCAGGGGCACTGGGCAGTCCGCCCCCTGCTGCGGCCCCCACCATTTTCATCGGCAGTCCCACCACCCCTGCTGGCTTGTCTACCTCTGCGGACGGGTTCCTGAAGCCACCAGCGGGCACAGTGCCCGGCCCTGACTCACCTGGTGAGCTCTTCCTCAAGCTCCCGCCCCAGGTGCCCGCCCAAGTGCCTTCGCAGGACCCCTTTGGACTGGCCCCTGCCTACGCCCCGGAGCCCCGCTTCTCTGCGGCACCACCCACATATCCTCCTTACCCAAGCCCCTCTGGAGCCCCCGGCCAGCCCCCGATACTGGGCACCACAACTCGACCTGGGACTGGCCAGCCAGGGGAATTCCACACTACCCCACCGGGCACCCCCAGACACCAGCCTTCCACGCCTGACCCCTTCCTCAAACCCCGTTGCCCCTCATTGGACAACCTGGCTGTGCCTGAGAGCCCAGGGGTAGCAGGAGGCAAGACATCCGAGCCTCTTCTCTCACCCCCACCTTTTGGGGAGTCCCGGAAGACCCTAGAGGTGAAGAAGGAAGAGCTTGGGGCATCCTCTCCTGGCTATGGTCCCCCAAACCTGGGCTGTGTTGACTCACCCTCCTCAGGCCCCCAGCTGGGTGGCCTGGAGTTAAAGGCACCTGATGTCTTCAAAGCCCCCCTCACCCCTCGGGCATCTCAGGTAGAGCCCCAGAGCCCGGGCCTGGGCTTACGGGCCCAGGAGCCACCCCCTGCCCAGGCTTTGGCCCCTTCTCCTCCCAGCCACCCAGACGTCTTTCGTTCTGGCCCCTACACTGACCCCTATGCCCAGCCCCCATTGACTCCTCGGCCCCAGCCACCACCCTCTGAGAGCTGCTGTGCCCTGCCTCCTCGGTCACTGCCCTCTGACCCCTTCTCTAGAGTGCCCGCCAGTCCTCAGTCCCAGTCCAGCTCCCAGTCCCCGTTGACTCCACGTCCTCTGTCTGCTGAGGCTTTCTGCCCATCCCCTGTTACCCCTCGCTTCCAGTCCCCCGACCCTTACTCTCGTCCACCCTCCCGCCCTCAGTCCCGTGACCCCTTCGCCCCATTGCATAAGCCACCCCGACCCCAGCCCCCTGAAGTTGCCTTTAAGGCTGGGCCCCTAGCCCACACTCCGCTGGGAGCTGGGGGCTTCCCAGCAGCCCTGCCCTCCGGCCCAGCAGGTGAGCTCCATGCCAAGGTCCCAAGTGGACAGCCTCCCAATTTTGCCCGTTCTCCTGGGACAGGCGCATTTGTGGGCACCCCGTCTCCCATGCGGTTCACTTTCCCACAGGGGGTGGGGGAGCCTTCCCTAAAGCCCCCTGTCCCTCAGCCTGGTCTCCCACCCCATGGGATCAACAGCCATTTTGGGCCTGGCCCCACCTTGGGGAAGCCTCAAAGCACAAACTACGCAGTAGCCACGGGGAACTTTCACCCATCAGGCAGCCCCCTGGGACCCACCACTGGGCCCACAGGGGAGGGCTATGGGCTGTCCCCACTGCGCCCCGCGTCAGTTCTCCCGCCCCCCACACCCGATGGACCCCTTCCCTACTTGTCCCATGGAGCCTCACAAAGGGCAGGCATCACCTCACCAGTGGAAAAGCGCGAAGACGCAGCAGGAGCTACAGTGAGCGGTGGCTCTTTGGCAACCCCTGAACTCTCAAGTACCCAGGATGCAGGCATGTCTAGCCTCAGCCAGACGGAGCTGGAGAAGCAGCGGCAGGTGAGTGGATGTCCTAGAACTGCCCCACCGTGCTTCTGACCCCTCCACCAGCCCTGTGATTAGAATGGAGTGGACTGACTTTTCTGTTTCCTGGACAGCGCCAGAGACTAAGAGAACTGCTGATTCGGCAGCAGATCCAGCGTAACAACCTGCGGCAGGAGAAGGAAACAGCTGCAGCAGCTGCAGGTGCCGTGGGGCCTCCAGGCAACTGGGGTGCTGAACCCAGCAGCCCTGCCTTTGAACAGCTGAGTCGAGGCCAGACCCCGTTCACCGGGTCCCAGGTAGGTGGATTGGCAAGGGGCGGTGGGGCCAGCATACTGAGGGTGGCCACACCTTCATCTCCTTCTGTCATTTAGGAGAAGAGCAGTATTGTGGGGTTACCCTCAAGCAAACTAGGTGGTCCCATCCTGGGACCAGGAGCCTTCTCCAGTGATGACCGACTCTCCCGGCCACTTCCACCAGCCACACCTTCCGCCATGGATATGAACAGCAGGTGAGGTTCGGGGTCTAGGGGTGGGAGAGTGAGTGAGTGAGTGAGTTGAGTTGAGTTGAGTGTGTGTGTGTAAGAGAGAGAGAATGGGACAGATTTTACCGTCGCTGTATTTATTCTGCCTCTGATCTTTCTTTGTTGTTACGTATTCTTCCTCATTTCTTTCCCTCATCATTTCTTTTGACCTCCATCACTGTCCTAAGCCTCTGTTCTGGCTGTCCATGCTCATTGCATTGACTGAATATTTTTCCAGGCAACTTGTCGGAGGCTCCCAGGCCTTCTATCAGCGCACACCATATCCTGGGTCCCTGCCTCTACAGCAGCAGCAGCAGCAGCAGCAGCAACTGTGGCAGCAGCAGCAGCAACAGCAGGCAACAGCAGCAACCTCCATGCGACTTGCTATGTCTGCTCGATTTCCATCAACTCCTGCACCAGAACTTGGCCGCCAAGCACTAGGCTCCCCCTTGGCAGGGATCCCCACCCGCCTTCCAGGCCCTGCTGAGCCCGTGCCTGGTCCAGCTGGTCCTGCTCAGTTTATTGAGTTGCGACACAATGTGCAGAAAGGACTTGGACCTGGGGGATCTCCGTTTCCTGGTCAGGGTCCCCCTCAGAGGCCCCGTTTTTATCCGGTAAGCGAGGAACCCCATCGAATGGCTCCTGAAGGTCTTCGGGGCATGGCTGCTTCAGGCCTTCCCCCACAGAAACCCTCAGCTCCACCAGCTCCTGATTTGAACAACAGCCTCCATCAGACACCCCATACCAAGGGTCCTGCCCTACCGACTGGCTTGGAGCTGGTCACCCGTCCACCATCAAGCACTGAACTTGGTCGCCCCCCTCTGGCCTTGGAAGCTGGCAAGTTGCCTTGTGAGGATCCTGAGCTAGATGATGACTTTGATGCCCACAAGGCCCTAGAGGATGATGAAGAGCTTGCTCACTTGGGTCTGGGTGTGGATGTGGCCAAGGGTGATGATGAACTGAGCACCCTGGAAAACCTGGAGACTAATGATCCCCACCTAGATGACCTCCTCAATGGAGATGAGTTTGACCTGCTGGCGTACACTGACCCAGAGCTGGACACCGGGGACAAGAAGGACATCTTCAATGAGCATCTAAGGCTGGTGGAGTCAGCAAATGAGAAGGCTGAGCGAGAGGCCCTGCTGCGGGGGGTGGAGCCAGTATCCTTGGGCCCTGAGGAACGCCCTCCCCCTGCCACAGATAACGCTGAGCCTCGCCTAACATCTGTGCTCCCTGAGGTGAAGCCCAAAGTGGAGGAGGGAGGGCGCCATCCTTCTCCTTGCCAGTTCACCATTAACACCCCCAAGGTGGAGCCAGCACCTTCGGCCGCTCCCCTCAGCCTGGGACTTAAGCCAGGTCAGACTGTGCTGGGCAGCCGGGACACTCGAGTAGGTACAGGACCATTCCCCAGCAGTGGGCACACAGCCGAGAAGGGCCCGTTTGGGACCACAGGAGGAGCACCAGCTCACTTGCTGAACCCCGGCTCACTGAGTGGCCCAGGTGGATCCTCCCTTCTGGAAAAATTTGAACTAGAGAGTGGGGCTCTCACCTTGCCCAGTGGACACGCAGCACCTGGAGATGAGCTGGACAAGATGGAGAGCTCACTCGTCGCCAGCGAGTTGCCGCTGCTCATCGAGGACCTGTTAGAGCATGAGAAGAAGGAGCTACAGAAGAAGCAGCAGCTTTCAGCCCAGCTGCAGCCTGCCCAGCAGCAGCAGCAGCAGCAGCAGCAACAGCAGCAGCAACAGCAGCAGCAACACTCCCTCCTTCCCGCGCCAGGCCCTGCACAGACCCTGCCTTTGCCGCATGAGGCTGGGCCCCCACAGCAGCTCGCTCTGGGGCTTGGAAGTACTCGACAGCCAGGTTTGGGCCAGTCACTGATGCCCACCCAGTCACCAGCTCACGCGCTTCAGCAGCGCCTGGCCCCGTCTGTGCCTATGGTGTCTAACCAAGGGCATATGCTAAGTGGGCAGCAGGCAGGGCAGGCAGGCTTGATGCCCCAACAGAGCTCCCAGCCAGTGTTAGCACAGAAGCCCATGAACGCCATGCCAGCTTCCATGTGCATGAAGCCCCAACAGCTGGCAGTGCAGCAGCAACAGCTGGCTAGCAGCTTCTTCCCCGACACAGGTAACTTCACGGGGGCGTGGTTAGCGCTGAGTCGAGCGCACTCAGAGAGGCCTTCGTTAAGGGAGGTAGGGTACCACAAAGTTCTATAGGCAGAAGCAGTGGGACTTTGGAGAGGAAAGCTGAATGAATGATTGAAGCCTGATGAGCAGAGGCTCTCTGTCTGTGGTGAAGGTTAAATTTAGTCCTCAGAGAAAAGACTGTAAGGATAAGCAAACCAGGTAACTGGAAGATTAAATGAAGCTGTAGGGCAGGACAACCTATGGAGAGCAGCGAAAGATAGGGCACAGGGGAGTGGGCACCGCTGTCGGTTAGGGCGCGGGGGAGTGGGCACCGCTGTGGGATAGGGCGCAGGGGAGTCGGAGGAAGGGGCCACGTTGAGGAACATCTCACACTGCATTTATTGAATAGTTAGTCTTTATTGGACATTGGTTGGTTGATTTCATTGTAACAGATTTGTTAAATGGCTACTCTAGTTGGCTTTGATTACCAAAGAGTAAATAGGCATAAAAGTTAAATAATGTGTCTAAGATTATACAGCTAGCAGAGCCAGCCCTGAACTAACAGCCTTAGAATTAGTCCTTTATAAAGCTGAAAGTCAGTTTTCTGAGCCCTAGTACTCGAGAGGCAGAGGCAGGAGAATCTCTGAGAGTTGAAGGCTAGCCTGTTCTATATAACTAAGTTCCAGGATGTCCAGGGCTACTTAGGCCGTCTCTCAAATAAATAAACCAATTAATTAATTAATTAAAGCAAATAAATAAAAGCACCCCAAAACAAAATAGAGGATTTTAGGAAGGTTTGAGGTTTTTTTTTTTTTTACGTGTGTGGTTATTTCTTTATGGTTTATTTATTTATTTAATTTTGAGTCGGGGGATAAACGTAGAATAGGAGGTGAGTTAGCGTCTCATGTATCCCAGGCTATCCTCAGACTCTCTATGTAACTGAGGATGAAGATGACTTTAAATTTAGGATTCTCCTGTCTCCTCCTTATCAAGTGCTGGAATTACAAGCATATGCCACCATACCTGGTTTATTCTGGATTGTTTTGTTTTTTGAGGCAGGGTCTCACTACATAGCACAGGCTGGCCTTAGATTCAAAATCTTTGTGTTATAGCCTCTCCCGAGTGCTGGGATTACAGTTGTATACCACTGTGCCTAGTTATTTTTTGTTACTCGACTAGATGGCAGAACAATGGGTTATTAGGTGATTGTTGTTGTTGTTTTGTTTGTTTTTCGAGACAGGGTTTCTCATGTAGTTTTGGTGCTTGTCTTGGATCTTGCTCTGTAGACCAGGCTGGCCTCAAACTCACAGAGATCCACCTGGCTCTGCCTCCCGAGTGCTGGGATTAAAGGCGTGATCCACCGCCGCCCGGTTTAGGTGATGTTTTCCCGTCACAAACAGCTCTATTGTCTAGGGCTTTGCCACAGAGTCTATACCTTGGGTTCTTGAGCTGGGTTGGTTGTAGACTACCACTTTGAAGAGTACTGTCTGGCTCACATAGCATGCCTTTATTCTTGTCACGTGATCCTGTATAGCATCACGAAGTAGGCAGAGTAGCAATCATGGTTTCTCTTCAAATGAGGGAAACTGAGGCTTGTAAAGGTATAGTGCCACTGCCTGACTCAATGTTTTCCTACTCCCTTAAGCGAGGGACAAACAGAAGGACTGTGTGTTCTGTGGACATTAGTGCCGTAGCACCATGTTGATGGCTCCTGCTTAGCTGAGTAGACTTGCCACATTGTTCTACATGTAGAGGTCAGAGTGTTGGGAAAAAACAGCCATCTTGCCTTGACCCCCAAACCCAGCTTATTAATCTCTTCCCTCTTCAGATCTGGACAAATTTGCTGCAGAGGACATCATTGACCCTATTGCAAAGGCTAAGATGGTAGCTTTGAAAGGCATCAAGAAAGTGATGGCTCAGGGCAGCATTGGGGTGGCCCCCGGAATGAACAGGTGAGCCTCCGGGCTGGCGAGCTGACTTTTATCGCACCGCTCTCCTGGGTTCCCTTCCCACTTGTCTCACTGCTTTGTGTTTGAACTGTGCCCTCACTGACGCCATAACCCCTCTGCTTTATGGACTGTAGGCAGCAAGTCTCACTGCTGGCACAGAGGCTCTCGGGGGGATCTGGCTCTGATCTGCAGAACCACGTGGCACCTGGGAGTGGCCAGGTAAGGAGGAAGTAGGAACTTGTGTACTATTTCACTGGGCTACCTTTCTTAGGGCCTGGCATGGAACAGTGACCTTCTAGAAATCTCTCTCACCACAGGAGCGGAATGCTAGTGACCCTTCTCAGCCTCGTCCCAATCCACCCACTTTTGCCCAGGGAGTGATCAGTGAGTATGGGCGGACGTGGTTAGGAGTCTGGAGGGGGTCACCTTTTTGCAGACTCTAACATGCGGGTTCTGTTCCCAGATGACGCTGACCAGCGGCAGTATGAAGAGTGGCTGTTTCACACCCAGCAGCTCCTACAGATGCAGCTGAAGGTGCTAGAGGAGCAGATTGGTGTGCACCGCAAGTCTCGGAAGGCTCTCTGTGCCAAGCAGCGCACTGCCAAAAAGGCCGGCCGTGAGTTCCCGGAAGCTGACGCTGAGAAGCTCAAGCTGGTTACAGAGCAGCAAAGCAAGATCCAGAAACAACTGGATCAGGTAGGAGAGCAAAGTTCAGCCCAGTGCCCAGAAACCAGGGATAAGGTGCAGCAGGGGTGGGCGGCCTCCATCTGACCTCTCCAACCCTCCAATGTTAGGTCCGGAAACAGCAGAAGGAGCACACGAATCTCATGGCAGAATATCGCAACAAGCAGCAGCAGCAGCAGCAACAACAGCAGCAGCAGCAACAGCAGCAGCACTCAGCTGTACTGGCTCTCAGCCCTTCTCAGAGTTCTCGGGTACTCACTAAGCTGCCTGGCCAGCTGCTCCCTGGCCATGGATTACAGCCACCACAGGCACCTCCAGGTGGGCAAGCTGGAGGTCTTCGCCTGCCTCCGGGAGGTATGGTACTCCCTGGACAGCCCGGTGGTCCGTTCCTCAATACTGCCTTGGCCCAGCAGCAGCAGCAGCAGCAGCAACAACAGCAGCAGCATCCTGGTGTGGCTGGATCCTTGACTGGCCCCTCAGGGAGCTTCTTCCCTGGTAATCTTGCTCTCCGAAGCCTTGGACCTGACTCAAGGCTTTTTCAGGAAAGGCAACTACAGCTGCAGCAGCAACGAATGCAGCTGGCCCAGAAATTGCAGCAGCAGCAGCAGCAGCAACAACAGCAGCAGCAGCAGCACCTCTTAGGGCAGGTGGCAGTCCAGCAGCAGCAGGGTCCCCCCGGAGTACAGAACCAGACTCTGGGTCCCAAGCCTCAGGGTCTTCTGCCTCCCAGCAACCACCAGGGCCTCCTGGTGCAACAGTTGTCCCCCCAGCAATCACAGGGCTCCCAGGGCATGCTGGGTCCTGGCCAGGTTGCAGTGCTGCAGCAGCAGCAGCAGCAGCAGCACTCTGGAGCTTTGGGTCCTCAGGGCCCTCACAGACAGGTGCTTATGACTCAGTCCAGGGTGCTGAGTTCCCCTCAGCTGTCGCAGCAGGGTCACAGCCTTATGGGACACCGACTGCTCACAGCCCAGCAGCAACAGCAGCAGCACCAACAACAGGGCTCTATGGCAGGCCTTTCCCATCTTCAGCAAGGAATGATGTCACATGCTGGACAGCCCAAAATGAGTGCTCAGACGTTGGGCTCCTTGCAGCAACAGCAGCAGCAGCTGCAGCAGCAACAACTGCACCTTCAGCAGCTGCACCAACAACAACAGCTTCAGCAACAACAGCAACATCTTCAGCAGCAGCAACAGCTCCAGCAGCAGCAACAACAACAGCAACATCTTCAGCAGCAGCAGCAGCTGCAGCAGCAACAGCAACAGCAACATCTTCAGCAGCAGCAGCAGCAGCAGCAGATGGGCCTCTTGAATCAGAATCGAACTTTACTATCTCCTCAGCAGCAGCAGCAGCAGCAGCAGCAGCAGCAACAGCAACAGCAGCAGCAGGTGACCCTTGGCCCTGGCATGCCAGCCAAACCTCTTCAACACTTTTCTAGCCCTGGAGCCCTAGGCCCAACCCTCCTCCTGACAGGCAAGGAACAAAACATTGCAGAGACATCACTTCCTTCAGAGGTCACTGAGGGACCCTCCACCCATCAAGGAGGGCCACTAGCAGTGGGGACTACACCTGAGTCAATGTCTGTTGAACCAGGGGAGGTAAAGCCCTCCATTTCCGGAGACTCACAACTCCTGCTTGTCCAATCCCAGGCCCAGTCTCAGCCCGCCTCAATGCAGCTGCAGCCACCACTAAGGCTCCCAGGACAACCCCAACAGCAAGTTAACTTGCTCCACACAGCGGGTGGAGGAAACCATGGGCAGCAGCTAGGGAGTGGATCCTCTTCCGAGGCCCCATCTATACCCCACCTGCTGACCCAACCCTCTGTTACCTTAGGGGAGCAGCCTGGGCCTATGGCCCAGAACCTTCTGGGTTCCCAACAGCCCCTTGGGCTAGATCGGCCCATTCAGAACAATACAGGGCCACAGCCTCCCAAATCGGGCCCTGTCCCTCAGTCTGCACAGGGTCTTCCTGGGGTTGGAGCCATGCCTACGGTGGGTCAACTTCGAGCACAGCTCCAAGGAGTCCTGGCCAAAAACCCACAGCTGCGGCACTTGAGTCCGCAGCAGCAGCAGCAGCTGCAGGCCCTCCTCATGCAGCGGCAGTTGCAGCAGCAGCAGAGTCAGGCAGTACGCCAGACTCCACCGGTCCAGGAGCCTGGGACCCAGCCCTCTCCTCTCCAGGGCCTCTTGGGCTGCCAACCTCAACCTGGGAGTTTTTCTGGATCTCAGACTGGATCCCTCCAGGAGCTAGGGGCAGGGCCTAGACCTCAGGGCCCACCCCGGCTCCCTGTCCCACAAGGAGCCTTATCTACAGGACCAGTGCTTGGCCCTGTCCATCCCACACCTCCACCATCCAGTCCCCAAGAGCCAAAGAGACCTTCACAATTACCTTCCCCCAGTGCCCAGCTAACCCCTACCCATCCAGGGACTCCAAAGCCCCCAGGGCCAACCTTGGAGCTGCCTCCTGGGAGGGTCTCACCTGCTGCTGCCCAGCTTGCAGATACATTCTTTGGCAAGGGGCTGGGACCTTGGGACCCCTCAGAAAACCTAACCGAAGCCCAGAAGCCAGAGCAGAGCAGCCTGGTATCTGGGCATCTGGAGCAGGTGAATGGACAGGTGGTACATGAGCCACCCCAACTCAGCATCAAGCAGGAGCCTCGGGAAGAGCCATGTGCCCTGGGCGCACAGGCAGTGAAAAGGGAGGCCAATGGGGAGCCAGCAGGGACACCGGGCACCAGCAACCACCTTCTGCTAGCAGGCTCCCGCTCAGAGGCCGGGCATCTGCTCTTGCAGAAGCTTCTACGGGCAAAGAATGTTCAACTTGGTACTGGGCGGGGGCCTGAGGGGCCTCGGTCTGAGATCAACGGACACATTGACAGCAAGCTGTCGGGGCTGGAGCAGAAACTCCAGGGTCCTCCCAGCAACAGAGAGGTGAGTGCTGTGGCTAGTGTGGTGTGACAGTGAGACGTGTAGCTGTGGAGGTCAGACGGGCAGGGCAGCACCCTTCACAGGCCTCCTCTGGTTTAGGACGCAGCCACAAGAAAGCCTTTGCCAGTGAAGCCCAAGCGGGCACAGAAGGCGAGTGACAGGTTGGTGAGCTCCCGAAAGAAGCTGCGGAAAGAAGATGGGGTCAGGGCCAACGAGGCCTTACTGAAACAGCTAAAACAGGTGATCCCCGAGGAGCCAGTCCAGTGGTCCCCTGTCCGCCTGGGGGATGGGCAGCCTGCGGCCGAAAAGGATATAGCTGTGACTGCTGCAGCTTCCCAGCTTCGTCATCTTGTCCCTCCTAGGAACTGTCCCAGCTGCCCCTGACAGAGCCTACCATCACCGCCAACTTTAGCCTCTTCGCTCCCTTTGGCAGCGGCTGCCTAGTCAGTGGGCAGAGCCAGCTCAGGGGGGCCTTCGGAAGTGGGGCTCTACACACCGGCCCCGACTACTATTCTCAGCTGCTCACCAAGGTCAGAAAAATGGCAATACTTTTTGGGAATAATACAGTTCTTGGGGTTGGAGGTAGGGATGAAAGACTGGAGGAAAATGCTGATGTAATGGGGGGCCAGGAGATTATACCAGTCTCCCTATGCCATCTTGCACACAACACCCACCCCACCCCCCAGAATAACCTGAGTAACCCGCCGACACCACCCTCGTCGCTGCCCCCCACCCCACCCCCATCGGTGCAGCAGAAGATGGTGAATGGTGTTACTCCCTCTGACGAGCTGGGGGAGCACCCCAAGGATGCAGCCTCTGCCCAGGACACTGAAGGAACATTGAGGGGTAAGTGAGAAGCTGACCACCTTTCCCAGAGGGATTCGGTGGATGATTGGCGGGCATGAGTGGTATCCTGGTAGCCACTCAGTATCAGAAGTGAACGGGTGGCATACACTGCCTTGTGCCCTTACACAGTAGACATTGGGTGGGAAGGGCCCAGTCATGGTTGTTTGGTTCGGGACAAAGGATGGGCTTCTAGAGTCTGTTGCAAAGGCAATGGAGGAGGTAGGTAGCGAGGTGACTGAGTGAAGTTCTGTGAGGAAACAGTCCAGCATTCGTGCATGGGAAGCCACAGTCTAACCCACATTTGAACTCCAGCACGTGAGTGTATTTAGCTGTGTTACTTAGACCAAGTAGCTTGACTTGTGTGAACCTTGATTTCCTCTCTATAAACTGGATACTGTAAAGTTCACCTTAATAGTTAAAAATACTTAAATAAAGTGTTACAATGACTTATGATCCCAGCTAAAACTGGAGAAGAATGGCAACAGGGCTTAAGAGTTTGAAGTCAGCTAGCCTGTGCTACGTGAGTGAGACCCTATCTTTAAATCAGTGTGGTACACAAGGAAGGCTCAATGTCTATATTTAGTGTTCCTGCCACAGGCTGTTAGTTGAGTAGGTAGTTGATAGCAGTAGCTAGCTGGACCTGGAATGCTGGGGACAGCATGACTGACTCTCCACTCCCCTGACCTCTACTCCTTCCACCCCTCAGATGCTGCAGAGGTGAAGAGTTTAGACCTGCTGGCTGCTCTGCCCACACCCCCTCACAATCAGACTGAGGATGTCAGGTGGGCATAGGGTGGAGGGCAGATGGGGCAGGTTTCAGTTACGGCTACACCTCCCGATCTCTGCTGTTGAGAGGGAGAACCCCTGTGGCTGTACCAACGTCTGCTTGCGTTTGGCCTTCAGGATGGAGAGTGATGAGGACAGTGACTCCCCTGACAGCATCGTGCCGGCGTCGTCCCCTGAGAGCATCCTTGGGGAAGAGGCCCCACGTTTTCCACAGCTGGGCTCTGGCCGGTGGGAGCGGGACAGTCGGTCCCTCTCTCCTGTCATCCCTATCATCCCCCGTGCCAGCATCCCTGGTAAGCGCTGCTCGTGGCCTGGGCAGGCCCGGTGTGGTTGGGTCATCAGAAGTGAGGGCCTAGGGTTGTGGCGGAGAGTGACATTCACTTTCTCTCTCTCATCCAGTCTTCCCAGATACAAAACCTTATGGGGCCCTTGACCTGGAGGTCCCTGGAAAGCTGCCTGCTGCAGCTTGGGAGAAAGGCAAAGGAAGTGAGGTGTCCGTCATGCTGACAGTCTCTGCCGCCGCCGCCAAGGTATGTCCTAGGGGTACCTTGAGGCCAAGGAGAACTTGGGTCAGAGGACATTCTTCAGAGCTTGTCTGAATTTAAGAAGGGAAAAAAAAAAAAAATTCAACTGTCCAAATACTTGTCCTAAGCACCTGCTCTGTTTGAAAGGCTGGCCAGGGACTGTGGGCTGAGCAAGGAAAGCCCGTTCTCACAGGGCTCATCATCTGTGGATAAAGACAGTCCGCCAACACACTGACAAACGCTACCAGACCTCTCTCCTCCAGTTGCACTTGGGGGACCCCCCGCTGCAGGGTTCTGTGGTCAAAGAAAGTTGGAAAGCAGTTCAAACGGCAGACACTCCTGTGTGAGGAGAGCGGGAGTGAATGGGGAGCACTGACCACCCCATGCAGTAGGGCGGGCTCACTGAAGGTGCTGCTGGTTTCTCCATCCTTTCTTCTGCCCCAGCAGAATCTGAATGGTGTGATGGTAGCAGTGGCAGAGTTACTAAGCATGAAGATACCCAACTCCTACGAGGTGCTGTTCCCAGACAGCCCTGCCCGAGCTGGCCTTGAGCCTAAGAAGGTGGAAGCGGAGGGCCCTGGTGAGTAGAGCAGGAGACCGTTTTCCGATCCGAGAAGAGTTCTGGTGGAAGACTGACTGACCCTTTCCTTTCCGTAGGTGGGAAAGAAAAAGGTTTGAGTGTCCGGGGCCCTGACGCTGGACCTGATTGGCTAAGGCAGTTTGATGCCGTGTTGCCTGGCTACACCCTTAAGAGCCAGTTAGACATCTTGAGCCTCCTGAAACAGGTGGGTCTAGGGGAGAAGGGTCAGTTTTAGGAAGAAGGTGCTCCCAGAGCAAAGAAGACAATGGCTTTCGGGGGAGTGGAGTCTGGTCAGGAGGAGGGAGGGGCGAGTGGGCTGAAGAACTGGCACTAACACCAGGGTGCCCTCTCGTAGGAGAGTTCTGCCCCAGAGCCATCCACCCAGCACAGCTACACCTACAATGTCTCCAACCTGGATGTGAGGCAGCTCTCCGCCCCGCCTCCTGAGGAACCGTCCCCACCTCCATCCCCTTTGGCACCTTCTCCTGCCAGCCCCCCCGCTGAGCCCCTGGTTGAACTTCAGGCTGAACCCTCTGCTGAGCCACCAATCCCTTCGCCTTTACCACTGGCTTCCTCCCCTGAATCTGCCCGGCCCAAACCCCGAGCCCGGCCCCCTGAAGACAGCGAAGATTCCCGTCCCCCACGCCTCAAAAAGTGGAAAGGGGTACGCTGGAAGCGACTGCGACTGCTGCTTACCATCCAGAAGGGCAGCGGGCGGCAAGAGGACGAACGGGAAGTGGCAGAGTTTATGGAGCAGCTCGGTACAGCCTTGAGACCAAACAAGGTGCCTCGAGACATGCGACGGTGCTGCTTCTGTCATGAAGAGGGAGATGGTGCCACTGATGGGCCTGCCCGCCTCCTCAACCTTGACCTGGACCTCTGGGTACACCTCAACTGTGCCCTGTGGTCCACGGAGGTGTATGAAACCCAGGGTGGGGCACTGATGAATGTGGAGGTGGCCCTGCACCGAGGACTGCTGACCAAGTGCTCCCTGTGCCAGCGAACTGGTGCCACTAGCAGCTGCAACCGCATGCGCTGCCCCAGTGTCTACCACTTTGCCTGTGCCATCCGTGCCAAGTGCATGTTCTTCAAGGACAAGACCATGCTGTGTCCGATGCACAAGATCAAGGGGCCTTGTGAGCAGGAACTGAGCTCCTTTGCTGTCTTCCGGAGGGTCTACATTGAACGGGACGAGGTGAAGCAGATCGCCAGCATCATCCAGCGGGGTGAGCGGCTACACATGTTCCGAGTAGGAGGTCTTGTGTTCCATGCCATTGGGCAGCTGCTCCCACACCAGATGGCTGACTTCCACAGTGCCACGGCCCTCTATCCTGTGGGCTATGAGGCTACTCGCATCTACTGGAGTCTTCGGACCAACAATCGCCGCTGCTGCTACCGCTGCTCCATCAGCGAGAATAACGGACGGCCGGAGTTTGTGATCAAAGTCATTGAGCAGGGTTTAGAAGACCTGGTCTTCACTGATGCCTCTCCCCAAGGTGAGCACTAGAATGGGATTGGGCAGGTTTTTCTCAGGAGTCAAGTTTACAGCGTCAAGAAGCTGCACAGCTTTTATGTAGCTTCAAGTGGCATGGTGTCTTGAAAATCTGAAAATACTGGGATTCAGCCTTACTCAGACACTTTAAATACCTTGCAATTGAAAATATTTTCTTAGCCAAGCATGGTCCTCACCCTTGTAATACCAATACTTGGAAGATTAAGGCAGGAAGATCCTGAGTTCAAGGTCACATCCTTAGCTATGTAGCAAACTGGAAGCCAGCCTGGGCTGCAGGAGACCTTTTCTCAAAAGAAAAAGTTTTGTGGTTAGCTTTTTCCCCTAACCTTGGTAGATTAAATGATGGAGTTTTCGTGTGTGTGTTTTTTGTTTGTTTGTTTTTTGAGACTGTGTAGCCCTGGCTGTCCTGAAACTTGATCTGTAGACCAGGCTGGCCTCAAACTCAGAGGGCTGACTGTCTCTGCCTCCCAAGTGCTGGGATTAAAGGCATGTGCCACCATCACAGGTAAACAGTGATGTTTTGAGATCCTATTGTCTGTTATACAGTTCTAAATTCCCTCTTTTTGCTATATGTAAAATCCCTTTTAGAGTTTTGTTTTTGTGGTACTGGGGATAAAACCCAGGACTCAGGATGTGCTAGACAAACTTACACCAGTGAGCTACAGCCCTGCCCTACCCCCTTAAAGTGTTTTTTAAATTTTAATTTTTGTGTGTCTGAGTGTTTTGCCTGCATGTAAGTCTGTAGATCTCATGCATTCAGTGCCCATGGAGGCCAGACGAGAGTGTGTTGGATTCCCTGAGGCTAGAGTTGAAAACGGTTGTGAGTAGGCGTATGGGTGCTGGGAACTGAACCTGGGTCCTTTGGAAGAGCAGCCATTGATCTTAATGATCTTTTTATCTTTGTTTCTATGTTGATGATAAATGAAGCAGCAGGAAGTATATTTTGTTGAGCATGTCCTATGAGTCACAATTCCGTTAGTCGGGTGATCATTCAGGGGGTTTTGTCCATGCGGCCCTAGAAGGTGAGCACTGTCATTATTATGCAGTGTAGACATACAGTGACCAAGTCCTGTGAGGAGACTTGGGTATTTATTTGGCTTAAGTCCCGTAGCCAGTACTCAGACTTGAACGTAATCTTCTCAGCTCCAAAGCATGTATATTCATTCAGTAGGAACTGTGGCTCCTGCTAGGTCTCTGGGACCTGTGCTTGTCATCCCCTCCAAAATTGAAGCTTCTGGGACTAGGAAACCGGGAGTGGATCCTGAAGAGTCACAGGGAGGGGACAGTCAGACGGCGAGAAGTCGAGCTCGGGAATGGGGTTCTGGGCCGGCGATCAGTACGCAGTGTTATTCCAGAGTGCGGTCTGTCTCACTCACCCCTAGCTGTATGGAACCGCATCATTGAACCTGTGGCAGCCATGAGAAAAGAAGCAGACATGCTGAGGCTCTTCCCCGAGTACCTAAAAGGCGAGGAGCTCTTTGGGCTGACAGTGCACGCAGTACTTCGCATAGCCGAGTCGGTAAGCAGGCAGCGCGGAGCTGCGGCGGCGAGGTGGGCACTGGGAATCTTGGTCCTGCTTCAGAGCAGCTAAGGCATGCTCCCTGTGCCCACAGCTACCTGGGGTGGAGAGCTGTCAGAACTATTTATTCCGCTATGGGCGCCACCCCCTGATGGAACTGCCACTCATGATCAACCCCACCGGCTGCGCCAGATCAGAACCTAAAATCCTCACACACTACAAACGGTGAGCTTGTGCGGCCAGGGCCTGGGCTGTGGCTGTGGGTGTGGGTAGGACCGTCTGGCCACATTGTGGGGGTTTGAGGTGCAGATCAGAGTCTTTTCCAAGAACCTGGGGAATCACCCGTAGACCTGGTTAGAGGTACACAATCATCACTGGGGTATCCCTTTCCTCTTTCCTTGTCAGCTCAGGTGTGCTGGGTTGACCAGGGATACAGGACAGAGCCCTCTTGGGTACCCTGGGAATGGCTGCTGGGGAGGTTCTTGGTAGACAATGGAGAGATGTACGGGAGCTGGTCACTTCTTTCTTCTTTGGTCTTGTTTCCAGAGGGGCCGGTGATACTCCCAAACCTCAGACACCCCATGAATGCTAGGGTCACCATCCCTTTCCAAAGCTGAGTTGGTTTAGAAATAATTAGTATTATAGAAAAATAATACAACCTTACATTTGTATAGCACTTTATACTTTTTTTTTCAAAGCGTTTTCACATCCATTATCTCATTTGATCCTCACAACAACCTTATGAGGTAGGTAGGGCAGGTGGTATGACCCCATTTTATAGCCGAGAAAACTGAGACCCACAAAGACTGCGTGACTAGATAAAGGTCACACAGCTGGGACTAGACCCTCCTCTCATTGTGGGTTGCTGGTCTTTCTGTGTACCACAGGAGCCTAACCTTGGTCCTTGGGTAGAGGGAGGCAGAACCCATGGTAGCCGGGCTCTCCCCTGAAGGCCTTTGGTGGCTTGAAGGCTGTCATAGAACGTTGAACACTCTACCTTTAGTTAGCCTAGTCCTTGCTGCTCTACAACAGTGGTTTTCAAACTCAAAGTCCGTGTGTCCCAGACCACAGAAGCCAGTGAGCAGACTTGCCCTGCTCTGTCTGACTTCACCTTCCTCAGATTGGATTTCGCCAGAGGAATTCCAATTTTACCTATGGATTGGAGTTGCAATCAACGTTTTGCTGAAGAAAAGAAATTGTACTACATAAAACAGAAAAGCACCCCAAAGCGTTTGAAAACCACTGCTCTGAGCGAGACTTGGGCTGGTGCCCCAGGGTGGTGAAGGCCGCTACACAGGCAGCTGTCCTTCCCCTGCTCTGAGCCGGCTGCACTGGTGCCCCAGGGTGGTGAAGGCCGCCACACAGGCAGCTGTCCTTCCCCTGCTCTGAGCGGGCTGCACTGGTGCCCCAGGGTGGTGAAGGCCGCCACACAGGCAGCTGTCCTTCCCCTGCTCTGAGCGGGCTGCACTGGTGCCCCAGGGTGGTGAAGGCTGCACACAGGCAGCAGTCCTTCTCCTGCTCTGAGCGGGCTGCACTGGTGCCCCAGGGTGGTGAAGGCTGCACACAGGCAGCTGTCCCTCCCCTGCTCTGAGCCGGCTGCACTGGTGCCCCAGGGTGGTGAAGGCTGCAACCACCAGGCAGCTGTCCTTCTCCTGCTCTGAGCCGTCTACACAGCCCAGTGCTGTGCTGCAGAGCAGGATGGTTAAGGCCAGGATACCATCAGGCTATGAATTCACAGCCACCTAAAACTCAGATCCAGCCCCTGTAGTACAGGTGGCCCCATTTTTCAGGGTCTACAGCATATGCAGGAGGTAGGACTCAGATGACGGAACAAACCATCAGCTTAAATTCTGGGGAAGACCACCAAGATCTTGTGTGGCCTTGAGCATGGTTGCCAGGGGGTGGTAGCCAGTATGAGATGGGACAGTAGGCTCAGTGTAGGGGAACTGGTACTTCTTCCCTCTCTCTACCTACTCCTCATCCTGGGTGGTTTCTGCTACCCAGGGTGTCCAGAAGGGTCCCAGTGGCTAGTTACTTCCTCTTCCAAGCTAATGGTGCTTGCACTCCATTCTCAAGGCAGCAAGCCCTTGTAGTACATGCCCCAGGGAGGAGGCAGGCGATGAATGCTTGATCTATCTTGTCATGGACTCTATCACCTCCCAGGCCCCATACCTTGAACAGCACCAGCATGTCTAAGGCATATCAGAGCACCTTCACAGGCGAGACCAACACCCCATACAGCAAGCAGTTTGTGCACTCCAAGTCATCTCAATATCGGCGCCTGCGCACTGAGTGGAAGAACAATGTTTACCTGGCTCGCTCCCGTATCCAGGGCCTAGGGCTCTATGCAGCCAAGGACCTAGAAAAGCACACGATGGTCATCGAGTACATTGGCACCATCATCCGCAATGAGGTGGCCAATCGGCGGGAGAAAATATACGAGGAGCAGGTACTTTAGGGTGGCTGGGGAATAGTGTGGCCCACTCTCTGCCAAGGGGCACGGGGCAGGTTTGGGTCCAGGAAATAGTTGGAGAGAGGGAGAAGAAAGCAGGAAGAATTTCGTCATGTCAGATAAGCTGATTCTTGTTCCTTCCACAACTTCTGCCTGTCTAGAACCGAGGCATCTACATGTTCCGGATAAACAATGAACACGTGATTGACGCTACGTTGACTGGAGGCCCTGCCAGGTGAGCGAGGAAGGCCTGAGTGTCTCCAGTGGCCACTTGCTGGGTGCGGCCTGGCATCACTGACGCCGATTCTCCTGCCATCCAGGTACATTAACCACTCCTGTGCCCCTAACTGTGTAGCAGAGGTCGTAACATTTGACAAGGAGGACAAAATCATCATCATCTCCAGCCGGCGGATCCCCAAAGGAGAGGAGGTGAGAGGAACTTCCTGTACCGGTGACAGAGAAGTCCTCTTCTCTGCCATCGCCTAGGAGTTGGAGTCCAAGGCTCCTGCCCTCAGATAGCATCTCGGCCCCTTCCCTTTTCCCCACCTTGATTCTGTCCTCTTTTCTTTCCAGCTGACCTATGACTATCAGTTTGATTTCGAGGACGATCAGCACAAGATCCCCTGTCACTGTGGAGCCTGGAACTGTCGGAAATGGATGAACTAAGAAGCTTTGAGGCTACCAGGCAGGGGAACACCCCACCCCCCGCCTCTTCCCTGAAAGGGATGAGGGGGAAGAGCGGTAGCAGCCAGAGCTAGGACCCAGGGCTGGAGCTGCCGGCCGACCAGAGCCCCTGGAGCAGGAGGCTGGGGCAGAGGGCCCTAGGCCAAGCCCACCCTGGGCACCAGGGACAACCTTCTTCCCTGCCACCGGCCCTTAGGCTGGCATCTCTGCCCCCAGCTCCAGGAGGGGACAGACAGAAGCAGCCACTGGGCATCTCAGGTTTGAGGGGGATATGGGCCGGGAACTACCCAGAAGTGTCTGGGAGGCAGCAGGGAGGGAGGAGGAGGATGTGTGGCCGGGCCTCACAGCCCTGCTGCCTCCACCGGCCTCTCTGGCCCAACTCAAGGCTGCAAAGAGACTTGACTAAAAGCTTGACAATCCCAAAGGCCGGGTCCCACACCTGGCCCTGCCTGCCGGGTCCTGCCCCTGCCCTCACCCCCATCCCCTTCCTCTCTTCTGTCTCTGTCTCCCTCTTTCCTCTGTGTTTCTGTCTCTCTATGGGTTGTGTTTCCTTGTTTTCCACTCTGACAAATGCAACATGATGGGAAAGAGGCATCCAGATGCCCAGGAGGGCAAGCTGGGCAAGCCGGGCAAGGAGACCCCGCACCCACACCTACCTCATTTAAGTGTTGGATTTTTTGCTGTTTTGAAATGTGAGACCCTCTCCAAGCCCCCACTGCCCTGTCCCCCTCCCCCACCTCACTGCCCTCTTCTAGTGGGTGGAGGGGGGGTAGGAGGAGGAAGCAACAACAGTAACAACAAAAAAATCCATCTTTGTTTTTAATGATGGGCATGGGATGGTGGCTGAGGCAAACGGTGATGGAGACTGGGGATGACTGGTCCCTAGTTGCTCTAGAACTTCCTTCTCCATCTGGACATGGAGGCAGGAGGGGGTGTGCTAAACCTAGGACCAGGATCTCTCTCTCCTGTTTTCCCAGCCTCATCCTTAGCCCATTTGCCCTCCAGCCCCTGGATGGGGTGTGGGGGGTAGGGTGAGGGCTATCCCTGTGTGGCATGCCCATACCCAGTGAGGCAGGGTGTGGCCCAGAGCTCTCACTTTCCCTCAGTCACCAAACTGCTGCTGGTCTGGTGGGAATGGGTGGTGATGTGGGGGTGGGGAGCTTAGTGTCAGCGCGGGGAGGGTGGGGGGTATTTATCTATTTATACATGGGGTTGTACATAGTCTTGTGGGACATGGGGGAGCCGGCTGGAGGTGAGAACCCTCCCCTCTCCCCCAACCCCCGGGGAGAGCAAATGTAAAACTACTAATTTTTGTGCTTTATATATTCTATATAAATATATCTATTTTCTTTTTACAAAACCAGTTTATAAATGGTAGGGGGGTGTGGGGCGGACACATGGAGCTCCCCTTGTGGGGGGGCCCCCTCCACTACCCAACCTACCGCCCTTTCCTCACCCCCCCTTTCCCACCCCCTGGCTGTGACTGCTGTAAGGTGGGGGTATAGAGAGAAGCTGGGTGATCCTCACCCCAGTTGTATAGTTGGACTATGATATAACGCACAAAAGTAAGCTGGCCCCAGGGGGAGCCAGAGGGTGATGGGTTCCCTGATCCTCCTTTTCCCTTCCTCTTCTGCCCAAGCTTGTGCTGCAGGTAAACCTCTTCCTGGGGGTGGTGGTAGGGTGAGGGTGTGTGAGGCCTCCGACTGCTCTCTGTAGGGAGCCATGGGGATGAAGATGAAGCTTATATGCAGTTCTCTCCTGGGGGCTGTGGGCAAAGGGCATTTTGTAATTAATATTTCCAAGAATCAGATATCTGGACTGTAGAGATGGGCTTGATGGTGGCACATGAGAGGCCTGCTGAGGGGTAGCACGAGTGCTGTTGTGATCTTAGGTTTTTGTTTTGTTTTAAATTTGGGGGATTGTGGATTGATGGGGGTAGGGAGATTTTTTTTTTTCCTGGCCTTTTTTTTTTTCCTTTTTTTTTTTTTTTTTTTTGAAGCTGCTTCCTCAACTGTTTCAAGCTGCAAATGTTTAAGAGAGTGGCAGCCCCCCCCCCCCACTCCCACAGAAACCATTGTAATTAGATCAGACAGTGGGAACACTGGGCTGCTGGCCCCAAAGCCACAGAGCTGAAAGGTCTAGGCACTAGGTGGGGGAGATTTGTCTCCTGTGAGTCAGGCTCTGGTTGGGGCTTGGGCCCTAGAACTGGGAAAGGAGAAGGGGCAGACTTTGTAAGCATATGCTAGGTATCCGATAGTCCTGTAGAATTTAGTGAAGAAACCTTATACAGTTTTTAATTTTTATATAAACTATAACTCAGACCCACGCTACAAGGTTGGAATTTTGGTTGTTGGTTTTGTTTTTTTTTTTAAGTACCCCGCCTGTATAATTGCATCAAAATCCCACCCCGTGTTTGTATTTTGGGTTGGTTTACACTTGCACATACTCAATTTTCAGTTTCCCCCTTTGACCGTCTACCCTCACCTCCAGGACCCTCCCCCTTTTTAAAAAATAAATCGCTGACAAGTGTGAATCCCGTGAAGAACTTTATTTTGTGTTGTGTGTATCCTGTACAGCAAGGTTGGTCCTTCGTAACAACGGATGAAATGGTTCCCTTTTTTAAAGCGCTCTCTCTTCCTCCACCCCCAGCGCCCCTGTCCTTGGCATGTTTTGTATCAGCGATCATTCTGAACTGTACATAATTTATGTTGCGAGAGGCAAAGGGCAAGTTTTGGATTTTGCTTCTTCAAAGTTTGTTTTTAAACGACAAATAAAAAAAGGACATTTTAAATACAAGCGCCTCCGTCCCATGACCCTCGTCGTTAGCCAGATATTAAGGTCCTAGGGGGCCTGGGGGGGAGGGAAGTTATCCAAACGAGGCTCAGCCACTGCCGGAAGGGTGGGTTCCCCGCCTTCCGCCCTGGGGCTGAGAGGTCCTGACGTAGGCGGAAGTGACGCGAGGCACCGGAAGTGGGGCGGGTCTGCTGCAAGGGAGCTTTCTAAGCTCAGGAACTGGCGGGCGATTGCAATGGAGTCGGTGAGTGGCGCAGGAGGGCGGCGGGGGGCGCTGTGGAGCCGGAGACCCCCGCTAGGAGCCGGGAGGGCCGGGCTTGGTGATGGAGTCCCGGACTCCCGGCTCTGTTTCGGTGGGCGCCTCGACTGGGCCACACCCGTTGCTGCAGGGGTCCGCGGTACCCTGGGAGACCGGGCTGTGAGTTTGGAGCCCACGAACGCCGCCGTAATCTTGGCCTCCTGGCCGTGAGTGCCTCAAGCCCTTTCAGAAGTTTGCATGAGAGCGGGGTTGTGAGCCCCGCTTGCGGGGAGCTCCGGGACCCCGTTTGTGCAACTGTTTACTGCAGTTCTTGGCACGGACATCTGAAAGACTATACTGCATCCAGCCAGGCTACATTCCTTTAATGAGTTCTAGAATTGAGGTTTCTGAAAGGAAGGAATCCAAGAGGCCACTGTGTCCCTTGAACAAGTTTAGGTCGTGTCCTGATCAGTGACGCTATGCATGCGTGTTGACACAGCTCGTTCTTGGCGAGCAGCGTTGACCAATGGTGGCAAGTCCCTGTCACCTCTTACAGATGCTGCAAGTTATCTGCTACTTGCTTGACCTCCCTCCTTCTCTGGAGCCTTTTCTTTAGCACTCGGAAAGCCCTCCCATCGACTTCCTGCTCCAGAGTTTTAACTGTGTATCCCCTGCGGGCGGCTTGGGTTCTGTCTCTCTGTCTCTCTCTCTGTGTCTCTCTGTCTCTGTCTCTCTCTCTCTCTCTCTCTCTCTCTCTCTCTCTCTCTCTCTCTCTCACACACACACACACACACACACACACACACACACACACACACACACACACACACACACACACACACACACCCCGCTGTGTAGCAACACCTGCAGGTTCGCTCTTCCTATTTTTTTCTCCTCTTGAGTCAGATACTTGCCCAGAGTAATTTTTGCGCCACACCTTTGCCTGCAGAGTAGTAATAACTTACAAAGAAGAAAACAGATACGATAGGAAAGTGGTGTGCAATTGGTCATACATGCAAGGATTCCGTTTTCTACAGACAGAGCATTTTAAGCAAAAGTAGTCTAATTACATTAAATTTAAAACAATGCTGTTATTTTTTAGTTGTAAATGTATTATGCTATAATGTTTTTAAACTATATTATTATAGTTTTTATGTACATTTCCGAATTTAGCCCTTATGCTTTATATATACACCGGATTGCAGAGAGAGAGAGACAGAGGCAGAAGGAGAGAGATGTTGGTTAAGGTAGACAGACTGTACTAAGTACTATCATCAAGATACAAAAAGCTGCCAGCAGTGGTGGCATACCCCTTTAATCCCAGCACTTGGGAGGCAGAGCCAGGTAGATCTCTGTGAGTTCAAGGCCAGCCTGGTCTACAGAGCAAGTTCCAGGTCAGGCAGGGCTACATACAGAGAAACCCTGTCTTGAAAAACAAAACAAGCCAGGCAGTGGTGGCACATGCCTTTAATCCCAGCACTTGGGAGGCAGAGCCAGGTGGATCTCTGAGAGTGCAAGGCCAGCCTGGTCTACAGAGCGAGATCCAGGACAGGCACCAAAACTACACACAGAAACCCTGTCTTGTAAAACCAAAAGGGGGGAAAAAGAGAAAGAAAAAGAAAAAGAAAAGAAAAGTCAGCCAAGACCAAGTTGGATGTATTGTATGCTGTGCTAAGTTACACACACATAATTGTTTTTGAGACAGGCTCTCAGTAGGCAGCTCAAATCTTCTGCCTCAGTATAGATACCATTCCCAGCTCTGACTTTTGAAATAAGAGGGCCTGTGGAAGATTAATGAGCAAGGCAGTGAGTGTACTTTTGAGAATATTCTTAACAGCTTTCTGTGAATAGACTGAGCCACTTAGAAAGTAAGTTTTTAAATTTTGAATTGTTGTGTGTGTGTGTGTAAGAAAAAAGAAAAAAAGATGAGGGGTGCACAGGTGGCATGGAATAAATGTGGAGGTAGAGGACAGCTCTCTGGAATTAGTTTTCTCCTTCTGCCATGATAGTGGGTTTGGGGACCAAGCTCGGGTCACCCGGCTTATCAGGTTAGCTCTTTTACTCTTCCAACCGTCTTGCAAGCCTTGGAAAGTATTTTTATGTGGCTAAAGATGGAAATATCTTTAGATATTTAGATTGTATCTTTAGAGCTACTTTGGTTAGAGAACTCAGTGAAAGCACAGAAGATAATTGAGGAGGCAGTAGATGTGGGGCAAGGAGACTAGAATGCTGTGCAGCTCGGGGTGGGGCTTAGTGCCCGCCCACAACTGTGGGTTCCGTGCTCCAGCACCATCCAGTGAAGGTATATAAAAGCTTGGAGGGAGTGCAGGAGTGAGAAGCGGAAGCCTAAGTGAGGGCTGTGAAAATGAACCGAGAGGGATTTGAGGCATTTCAACCCCATTTCAACATCGCGAGCCCTTACATGCTAAGGAGGACGGAAGGACTACGGTCCCAGACACTAGGAAGATAGCAGAATTGCACTGAAAGAGAAAAACTGTCACAGGCTAGGAACAGGAGTGAGGGACAATATTCTGTATTAAAGTAAGTATTATGAATGGTCTCTGTACCCTGTGATTGGCACACAACAGGAAACGTAGATGGGGAGTTTGGAAAGCAATTCTGTCTTAGTATCAGACCTAACCTCTCTGTAGTAATACGTTATACTTGTGTATAAATAAGTGATATAGTCTTGGTTCCCTAAAACGGTTTGTTTTGGGTGTTTTGTTGTTATTGTTTTGAGTCAGAGTCTAATGTATCCTAACCTTGAATTCACTCTGCAGCTGAGGCCGGTCATGAACTCCTGATCCGGTCACGACCTCCTGAGCACTGGGAATAGAGTTGTAACGGGCCCTCAGTCCCCCGTCTTAGTAGAAGGAGGGAAGTGGACATAACCGGCCCACTCGTGGAGAAACAGGATAAAAGCATGTTGAATTGTGTCTGTGACGGCTAGCTTTGTCAACTTGATACCGCCTGGAATTACCTGGGAAGAGAGTCTCAAGGAGGGTTTACCTGTCCCATTGGGTTGGCATGTGGGCATGTCTGTGGAGTACTGTCTCAGTTAATCGATGTGGGAAGACCTAGCCCACCGTGGGCAGTGCCGTTCTCTAGGTAGAAGGTCCTAAACCGTGTAAGAGTGGACAAATGAAAACACGGCAGGCAAAGGGGAGTGTATCCACTCCTTCCTCTCTGCCCTTGACTGGATGCGATGCAGTGTGCTGTCTGAAGTTCCTGCTGCTGTGACCTCCCCACAAAGATGGGCTGTAGCCTGGAATTGTCTCCCCTAAATTGCAAAGTGCTATCAGGGTGTTTTACCACACAACAGAAGAGAAACTAGAACATCTCTGACTCTTTTTTCGATATCTGTATCTCTACCTGTGTATCTTGTGCATCTCTCGGTCTTAGGTTCACATCATTATTATAGAATTTCTTTTAACTGTAAATTATGTAAAGTGCCCCATGCTAGGGCAGTCAAATACAAGGTATAAGGTAGTTGAGGCTTCTGGGAATTTATAATCTGTTTCCGTAGATAATGCCCTAAATAACTGTAGCACAGTGTGATGTGGGTTGAGAGAAGGGTGCCGTCACTTTCAGAAGTAGCTACTTCTATCTATGCCTTTGTGTAGATCATGAGACTGATGCATGCATCTTTACTGGGGAAGCGCCCGCTCCGCTTTTAAGCAATGAGGCTGTTGTTTGGCAGTGAGTCTTGCCAGAAAAGCCAGCCCAGGCTGCTGGTCTTATCAAGCCCGGAGAGAGGAGAGGAGGGTTAGTTGTTCACCTCAGTGTACTTGCTCGTCTCGTGTACTGGAGGGAGGTTTGGGGTCTTCCTGCCCACTGCACCCTGTTCGCCAGCCATCTCTTTAGGTTCAACCCAAGGCCTTTCACTTCGTACCACTGCATAAGTTATGGAAGTGAA